TATGGTTTCAATGTGTTTTGCTTTAAGCAATGCGCGATGTATAGCGGCTAAAACTATTCTGTTTTTATTCTGCCCTGGGCATGAGTCGGAATATAGAATTAAATGAGTGACTGAACCACGTGAATCGAGTTCAGTAATATACTTTTGTAAGATTGTAGCTATTTCATTTCCTCCTCTTTTCCTTCGGTTTCTCCCCACGTATAACAAAAGCCATTTCTGGTACCACTTTCGTAAAAACAAAGGTTGTATACGGTATATTTTCTAGAATAAAAAAGCAGCATACTCTTCCCATGTGGGGTGTTCAGTTCACCTTTTGTAGATCAAAAGAAGTACAAATCATTGTGTTATTCTTCTTGCTTAGTTCACGGTGAAAAGCTAATCTATCTTTTGATGCCTTTTTTTTCTTTTAAATGGCTTAGCATTTCAGGATTTTCTTTTTCATTCTGGCCTTCAAAACTTAAACATTTGACACATTTATCCTTCTTTGGAACGTGAAAACCAATATTGAAATTGTTGTTGAAAATATCACGAAATATTTTTTCACCAACAACATCTATACCCTCTGATGTTTTTAACTGTTTATAAATCCTATAAAGGTTTTTTATGTTTTTAAATTCAGTAGGGAGATATAATTTGGTACTATCTTTGCGACAGTAATGCGATGGCAGCGCAGGTAAACCTTTTATAAAATTAATGGCAGACTCCTTTACTGCGTGAGGCGTTTTATTTTTAGGAGCAGTTTTACCTCTGCTCTCCTCTTTTGACAATCCAGACGAGGCATTGGCTAAAGTATAACTAATATATTTTGAGTTAACACCCAAAGTGTCTACTAGAAATTTTTTACAAACCTTACGTCGGCCTTCACCATCATTAATATAGTAGAAATATGTATTGTGCCTCACACCAGAGTCCTTCGACCTCTTTCGTTTTATGTCAGTTCTTACAGTCATTCCTACTAGCCAATCTTTTTTTCTTTGGGATGGTAGTCCCCAAAAATAATCAAAGATATTTTTTCTTTTTTCTTCGGAAACATTGTTACAGTCGTTGCCACAGTTTTTTCCTAGGCATGGATTAGGCTTAAGTGATCTTGCACTTACAATGCTTCCGTCTTTTTTCACATACTCTTTTCCTTTTTCTCGCAAGTTTTTTGCTTCTTTGCGTTTATTCTTTTTTTTCTTCTTCAATCCTGCTTCTCCCACTTTACCGTCTTCCGCTCTTACTTTTTATTTAAATAGGGATACAGTGTATTAAATTAATAAAAGTCTATCAAATAGTTGATTTTTTATGATTTTTTTTTCCAAAAAAAAAACTTTGATCCTTATTCCTGCAAGTTTTACAAAAAGTCGCTTAGATCAATTAGCCTTTCAACCGTCGATATATTGATATATATATATATATATATATACAAGAATAGCTCGTTTAAATATATAAGATATATATATATATATATATATATATATATATATATATATATATATATATTTGACTTATTTATCATTAATCCTAAAATACTTATATCTATCATAGAATGATGTGTACTAGAAACACGAATAAAAGGTAATATATTTTCTATCTTAATTAATTCGGCCATTAGATCCTCTACATTTTCACCAATTATAACTAAAAGTTGAGCGAATTTTGCGTACTTAAGTAAACTATTTTCTTTATAAGCATTTAAATTTAATATGAGCTGTAAAGTATTGTTAATTTTAACTTGATTTTCAACTAATTGAGTAAGTACTTTATTGTGTTTCGACATCCATTCCTTACTATATTATATATACTATATATATACTAACATGGTTATTAAACTCGGTCACTATCTTAACTTGATTATTATCTAATAATTTTATTGCATTATCATACTTTAATGCATCTTGATAATCTAAATTTCCTGTTATACTCTTGATAATGGAACCCAAGCCATTTACAATACCTCTTTTGGCACGGTTTGGTCCTAAAGACCTTAGTTGATCAGAGACTTTAAGAAACTTTTCAGTCAGGTAATTTATTTGAAGGTCATATTATTGGTAAGTTTCATTACTAAGGAGATTCTGAAGGCTATTCAATTGAGTCATTAAAAGCTCTATTCTATTCTCTATATAGTCTAATTTAATATATTGTAGGAAGGTGTGGTGGTGAGTGGTAAGTCTAATTGTCCAAACTCTCAAGTCTTATCTCGAGGGGTTCGTCACGTGAATGGTCAGCATTACAACTATTACCCTGTAACAAGTTAGCTCCTTTAGGGACTCGTTTCAGACGTGATTTAGCTTCAGGACCACGTTTTTTCGAGGTATAAATATGAATTGGTAGGTCAGCTAGAACTTTATCCTGCGTATAACGCGGTGCAGTTTTCTGACGACTACCAAGGGGGTTTCTAATAAAAACTTGTTACTGAGGTGCATATTCGACTTCGGGTTCGCGATTTCTATTGTCTATTAAAGCAGTCCGATTCTCAAGGGAGGTACTATTTATTATTTCGTAAACTTTTTTTATGTTTTCTTTATGACTAATCAAATATTGTTGTAATAAATGTTGAGTTAAATCGGTATCAAGAGTCTCTCGGGTCAAAGTGTCCATTAGTGTTCTGCTAGTTGTATATACGTTCGTGACTTCAAAGGGATCGTAATTGAGAGGAAAATTAAAAAAATATTTCGTTACAGCATTGGGGCTAATGAAAGATTCATTTGCACCGGTATCTATTAAAAGTTTAAGGGGTGGATTTTTTATTTGAATGTACGGAAGTTGTCTTTGAGTCTGTAAGTTTAATTCTATTTTGGTTTGGGTGATTTCCGATCCAACCGAAAATCATGATCTATATAACTAGGGTCCGATTGTGGTTCAGTCTCGTTTATTAAACGATCGTCATTTGTTTCGTACTGTAAAATAGAATTATTATTGCAAAAGTCGGGTCTGTAACTAGTATTATAGTCATTGTGCTCACTATAGTAATAATTATACTCTGGTTCGTAATAGTAATCCTGATAATTGTAATACATGTCTTCATAAGGCAAACATTCGTTCATATTCATTTCTCGAGATTTTAAATAATTTGTAGGTGGCGGGTTACCTAATTTACGCCAGTCATGTCCCGTCATTAAAGTATGAGGCGAGGGTCTGGGGTTAAAATTCTGAATTCCATTCATAGGCTTTGGCATAGAATTTTGAGTTGGATTATTCCTAGGTGGTAAACGGAAAACATTACTGCGTGGGTTATAATTCGGTGGTGGTACACTAAACATTTGCTGCGTTCTCGTATGCATAGGCATATTATATTGGGGTTGATTACGGTTAAAATTAAATCTAAAAGGATGTGGTGGTTGCATAGGGCGTTGTCCTACAGGGTTTGGCCAGTTAACCGTTGGGGGTTGAATATTTTGAGATCGAGGGGGTAAGAATGCTACGGGGTGTTCTTTAGGGGTTGTCTGTTGTTTTAGTCCGTCCGTACGTTGTTGTAAGTATGTAACATTTAATTCCTCTTGTACGTATTCAAGAGCCTTTTCTATATTTTCGGGGCGCATGCATCGAATTCGCGATCCTAACGGCTCCTTTAAGCCACGTACAAATGCCTGCATAGTAACTTTTCTATAAAGATCACGTTTAGCTTCTATCGTGGTTGTCAAAGTCTCATGTAATGTTACGTAAGTCATTATCGTACAGAATAGCGTCTGACAATGGCTATAAAATTCCTGGTATGTCTTATTTCCTTGTACGGCTAGTGAGAGGTCATTTTATAAAGCTGTTTCGTCCCGTTGATCAGAAAATTTATTTATTAAAGAATTTCTTATACCTAACCAATTGTCCGGTATACCATTAGAGTTAAGGGTAGCGGCAGCAGTTCTTGTGATTTTATTTAATATCCCGTTCAATAAACACAAATTAGTTAATTCACTACCGGGCGTATTATTTAAATATTGCGTTACAATCTGATCACAAATAGTATTAATAAATCTAGTAAGTACGTTGGGATTTCCATCAAATTCGGGCACAATCCTAAGGATTTTATAAATAGTGTCCGGATCCTGAGCCATATTTAAAATATTATTTAAAATTTGTGACTTACAATTAATTTCTAAATTTAAATTTCTAATATTATCTAAATTACGATGACTGGCCTGCTGCGATGCAGATTCCCGATTTCTATAAACTCTAGGATAAAAATTTTTGGAATGGAAATATAACTAGGGTATTAGCAACATGAGAATAGTTCAAATGTAATCACATATAATTGATTTCTGGTTTCTCCTCGTAAATCGAAGTTTGGATTCTCCTTCCGGCTCTGCAGCTGGTCCGTAGGTTCAGGATACTAGCGATGACCTAACTGTCCCTATTCTAGTATCCTACCGACTGCGCCAGTTACGTTAGCTACAGTCGGAAGGTTGAAAAAAAAACCAAAAACTAATTTAAACTAATTTATTTTAAAATTACAAATTAAACTTATTATCTAAATTTAATATCCAACTCGATGTAAGTTTATGGAATGTCACTAAACAATATGTAAGAATTAAAGTATCCGAAAACTGCAACTCTGCATTCCCGTCCCGATGTCGACATTCTGTTTATTATTTCAATCGTGTGAATTTAATGTATAAGCGATTCACTTGGAACACCTGTATGTAACTCGCTTGTTAATGTCGTTGCCTTTTTAAAAATGTTTCAGTGAACGTTAGCTCAATGTGAGAATAATTATAAGTTTTCTTCTTGCTTCCTCTGTCCCCGCGATTTTATACGGGCGACAGGTAAGCCGCTATATAGTTTTGTTATTTTGAGTTATATTACTAATATATTTGTTTACATTTTAGTTTTACTTATTAAGTTACCTTTCCAATACATAAATAATTTAAGTACAATATATATTATTTTATAATAGTCTATATATATATTAGTATATATAAAAATATACAATATTAGTCCTGTCCTGTTGTTAATTGACGTCCTTGTTAAATTCTTTAAGCGTGGAAACTGTAAATTTAACAAATTTGTTTTGATCGTTGGAGTTAGCAGCCATAGTCTATGTTGTATTTTACTTTTTCAGCAGCCGCTAACTTACGCGGACATGCAGGTGAGGTGGATGAGTGATTGGTTGCATTTTTAAGATTAAATTTGGTGTTATGATTTTTGCAGTTATAACATAGGACGGTGGTCCGGTGGTCGGGAGCGGCGCAGTGGGAGCAGTTGGATTGAGTGTTGCTACAGTGCTTTGAAGTGTGCCCGAATATCAAGCACTTAAAGCACTGCAGCAGCGGGATGTGCTCGGATACATTTATCTTCTGATGTTCGATGTTTATTCTACCCTTCTCGATGCAGGTGTTAAATACGTGAGGGGAGACGAGAAGTATAGCGTTATATAGGGCGGGGTGTTTATTGTTTGTGGTGAATTGAACTTTCATGTCTATATCAGTGTCGCCTACTTCGGGGTTTTGTTTAATGATGGTATCAATTAATTCGTTTTTATCGTTGTTTTTGCTGATGCCTTTCAGAATGAGCATGGGCTTCAGTCTTTTAGGGACCTCTGCGTTCAATTCTGTCGAGCTTTGGATGGTGTCTATGGTGGCGTCTCTCTGTTGGTTATTTTCGAATTGTACTATGAGTCACTTGTTGGATATTGGTATCACCTTTTCTGGTGCGAAGCCGCTGTTTTTAAATGTTGAGTTCCTCTGCCACTTGTCTATTAGCTCAGCTTTAGATTTTACAGGGGCTTTGACAGTAATTACTAAGCTGGGCTTGGATTTCGGTTTCTTACGGGATTGAGATGTTGATGCAATTTGGGCATAAGTAGGTTGAGGGGGTGCGGGGTTGGAGATGAGGCTTTCCTTAATGGTGGCCATCTCATGTTTTACACATTCCGATTTTTTGGAGTGTAGGCTGTCCGTCAGTGCTTTTAAGTCTTCGCCTGAGACGAGGGGAGGTCTTTCGATCGAGTAAGTTCTGTCTATGGTGGGGGACTGTGGTGTGCGGGCGTAGGTTTCCAGGTTTAAGCTAGTAAAGATATCTATTGCATTTTTAATCTCGGAAGCTGCCATAGTGATAAGTGATTTGTTACGAGAGGTAACGCTCTTTCCCTCTGCGACCGCTATGCATATCGCTGTCACGAGGCCACATACTGTGCTGTTGAGTATCGGCAGATCACTCACGTCAGCTGCGGTCGCAGGGAGAACGATGGGTACCTTATTAGAGATTTTTGTCTTCTTTTTGGCATTTACCGTATCTAGCGGTGCGGGAGGCGACGCGGAGGTGGAGGGCAACTCGGGAATCGAAAACAGTCTCTCCATACTGCTTTCTCGACTGGTGCAAGGCTCATCCGAGCTCTGTATTTGAGTCCGGGCCCCCCAATCGGCCTCCGGGTTCCTTGCCGGGCGTGTTTTGGGAGGTGTGCGGAGCATGTTGGTAGACAGAGAATACAACGGCGGTGTTGAAAATGTGAATCTGGCGTTAAAATCGATTTTTAAATACTTTTATATGCTCAAGGTCACCGGAGTCTATATACCGAGAGAAAGAAGGGAGGGTGGGGGGCCTTTTTTTCGATTTCCCGCTATATAATGGGGAAAGAAACTATGGGGAGGTATACTAGACGTGTTCACAATGATTTTAGAACAAATTTAGACAATAAATTTAGAGAAAATATTTTTTTACGTAATATAATTAATAACCGTAAAACGGGGTGAATAGCAATGATTTTCAACTTCGTCTTAAGAATTTGTTGTTTGTTACTTTTTTTTTTAATCTAAGGTTATTTTATATCATGCCCGGTTCCATAAAGAAATTGCTGAAACAATATTTTTTTAACTATAAGCAAAGGTTTTCCAGATTTTTAATAAAATATGTACCGTTTCTATTCACCCGACGTTTGGGGTCAATAGAAATGCGTAAAGGGGTGAATGGAAAAACTGGTAGGGCTACCAAAAATGACTTATCCAACATTGCAAAAATATAAGGTTGTATATTTAAAAATTGTTTTGGTTTGTAAATGTTAATTGAAAATCAAAATTTGTGATTTAAGCTATTTATGCGTATGAACATAAATAATAAAGTATGTTTGTATTTTAACCGATTTAATTTTTATGGAATGTTATCTCTTTTCGATAAATCAAACAAGATACTACTTATTCGTATTTTTATTTAAATTAAATAAAATAACAAAATAAAAAACAACCTTCTGAATTAAAAGTTTAGTTTTTCTGAATTTTAAGTTTATACATATATGACGAAAAATAAACAACTATAAATCTTTTGAACTTAACTTAATCATCATAACAAATATCACAGGTAATCAACTTCAGCCTACGTTATGGCTTTGTAGAATCAGTACTACTGGCGTAAAAATAATCAATATTCTTTAAAAAAACCCAAATTCTAAATCTTCTGAACTTATCGATATTATAATAACAAAGTTGTAACAAGGTAGGTAACTTCAGCCTACGCTATAGCTTTGTAGCACCAGTGTGCTCAGCGTGAGTTTTCTCAACCAATAAGAGCGCCAAACACGGTTAAAAGTTACTATCGCGTCAAAGAAAAAAAAAACTCGCACTAAGTACACTAAACTACTTACTATGTACAAGTAATCAAAATTCTTAACTTAACAATTATTATAACAAAGTTTTCACATGTCATCATCCTCTTCTAAAACTTTTAATATTTTGTCACTATTATTGTAGTAATTATTTGTATGGTTTTTCTTTGGCAATTTAATGAGATCTTTTACCGCTACAGTCTTGTACTTTTTTATAATAGGTGATCTGTATTTTTTGTTATACTGATCGTCATTCACTAGCTCATTCGATATTATTTTTACTTTATTCTCCATAATAGTATTATCATCAGCAGGTTTTTCAGTATTGATCGTGAGCTCTTCACATATGCTGTCAAAAAAGAGAATGGGCAGACTGTTTATGTTATCATTAGGTATTTCGCATTTTAATTCTTGTAAGATATTATTGTAGTTTTCCGTTTCCGTAATACTGTTATAATTTTGTTGTTCCATATTATTATGATAATTTTCGTAAACCGTGACGTTATCGTAATTTACCTGACCAATATTATTATCATAATTGTCGTAATTCGTGTTGTAATCGTAATTTTCCTGCCTTGTTAATCGGTATTTTTCTTGTTCTTCGTTTATGTGAAACTCTTCTTTCCATTCTTTGTTGTTATCATTATTGTCCTTGTCTTCTGTTTCTATTCTTTTCAAACTTGATTTTTTTGTTATTCCCTCCATATCTTTTCCTTTAATCTCATTGTTTTCTATATTATTCTCGAGATTTTCTTTTTCTTGTATTTCTTTTGCTTCCAAATAGGATGTTTTAGTTTTTTTTCCATTCCCTTTGCCTTTTCCTTTGTAAGGTTCTATTTTATTAGGGCAATTTTCTTCTTCTTTCATTGGTTTTAGTTTCAACTTTGTAATTGTATTTTTTTTTGCCTTACCTTTATTTTTATTGTTTAAACCTGATGGATAGCTTGTATCGTATTTTGTTTTTTTTTAATTTGCCATACTAGTATCAACATCGGTTTCTGCATAATCTTCGATTTCCTCTGGAGCGACACTTTTACCTGGGAGTACATTGAGTTTTCTCTTTCTTCTTGGCTCTACAATATTCATAGAACCATATCTCATTTCTTTGAGGAGTGTCACAACAGAATCTTCTACAGCACTTTCATGGTTTTCATCTAAGTCTTCACCGGGAAGTCTGGCTAATATTTCATGTTCATTTAAAGGGCTAATTCCTGTTTTCTTAAATCCAGCAATGATATTCTTTGAAGCATTGATTTGAAGTTCATCAATTAACAATTTTAATAGTTTTGGAAAACAACCTTTTGGAATTGTGGGTAATTGTCGACCATCTGTCTTTTTCCATTTTAATATTAATTGCCTCGAGGCACGCTTCATGGGACGAAAAAATGCTACGTCCAGTGGTTGCGTCAGGTGAGTTGAGTTGGCTGGTAAAAACACAAAATCGATGTTATGCGTTTTACATATTTGGATCAAGGCTGATAAATGTGAAGACAAATTGTCTCCAATTAAGCACTTTCTGCCTGGTAAATCCTTAAAATATGGCACGACCATATTTTGCACCCAATCCTCAAAAGTGGTTCCATCAAACCATCCAGATGTCGACCTGTCATATCGAGTACCTTCTGGGCCATGTTGAATCCAAGAATCATATAAATGAGTTGCTTTATATACCACATAATATGGTGGTAACATTTTGCCATCTGCGGTACCAGCCATCATAATAGACACGGAAGCCTTGGTATGGTTCAGAACCCTTTCAGGGTACTTGCATCCCCGCTTGATTAATATTTTCTTCCGCCCGGGGTCGTCCGTTAAATTCGTTTCATCGTAGTTTAATATGTTAGAAGCAGGTACTCCATTTAAAGACTTCGCAAGTTCGATAAAATATTCTTTAATCGTATCTGGAGACACCTTAGCTCTCACACGCTTGATATTTTCACAAACTCTTTGCGAAATCTCATTTTTGTGTCTTAATAAAAAGCTCTGCACAAAATCAGGTCCTGGAAAATTGTCCTTGAATCTCTTATGGATTATGCCTATCTTATCAAGATACATCTTGACTATGTACCTAAGATCCAATGTATCTAAGGGATAACCCCATTCTGCGCATTTATTGATGTTCTCTATTAACAACATTTCTGTTTCGTCGGATAAAGCTCTTTGGCCTCCATGTTGCTTCATATCCCGGGTACTGTGGCGATACAACACCGATTTGTGAATGCCATATTTTTTTGCAACATCTTCTAGTTTTAAATTCCGAGAAGATGCATACTCTTCCACAGCTTTTTTTATGATTTCTATGCTATATTTTTTATACCTTTTCCTTGTAGGATCGGGTTTATATACACGCGGCATATTGAATCTACCTACGGCGGTATGTACCTGTAAATGAAAATTATCACTTCATAAATATTATTTATTTATCAATCACAAAATCTACCGCTGTCATCTAAATAATACGGACTTACTATTCATTAATACAGAAAGTATGAAAGTAGGTAGTTAAATTTAGTTCTGTTAACAGTTTTTGACAACCCTATTTATTTATCTCTATTAACCCCTCATTAATTGCTATTCACACATTAATCGTTTCTATTATTCCATACTAGACTTCCATTAAACCCATACTAAAGTTCTATTCACCCTTCAATGGATTCTATTAACCCCTTTTAGACAATAAATGTACACTAACTGTGATTTTAATATTTTTTTTAAGTTTAATAACGTATTCTCACTTACCTTTACTGTATTTTTATAATGTATCGCACACCTAATGAGATAAACACGTTAATTAGTACAAGTCACAAGTTTTTCTTACATAAAACCAAGAGTTTCGGCACTTGATTATACCACGTTCACAGACGGTACACTTTGAATATATTTTGAAGGATAAATGTCAATTTTGACATTTCAAAATTGTTGCCAACGCAAAGAAAAAATGTTGATATGTTAAAATATAAAATTCTACCAAAATTCTTCAACGAAAAGTAATTACATATTAGCCTTGAAAACTTTCCTGGTATTTTTTCTATTCACCCCGCAATTCCTATACACCCCGTTTTACGGAATATAAAATTGAAATTTTTAATTTGAAAACTTAAATATACTTAACCTATAGAAATAGGTAGATCTCAGAGCTAAAACTACTTAATTAAGTAAGAACGATGCAATGATAAGTGGATTGAGAGACATTTTACAAATTTTTATATATGTTATAGGTAGTGTATTTATTTTTACAATAATTCTTATGTTATTTTTGTTAAATTTATGAAAGAGTTTTATGTGTTTGCAGACATACCTCAGGTAGGTGTCTTTCTAGATGACGTTATTTTTACTGGACAAACGACAGCGGAACATATAGGTAATTTGTACAAGGAGTTCGAAAGGTTAAAGAAAAACGGACTCAAGGTTAAGAAGGAAAAATGTGAGTTTTTTGCGGATTCTATTAATTATTTAGGACACGTGATAAGTAAAGACGGTGTACACACTTGTTCCGATAAAATTAAAGCTATCGTAGACACACCAGGTTCACACACATTGTCGTAGACACAGTGTTCACAGGACAAGTGGATTAAGGGGAAAGTAAAAAGATCATCTCCATAGCGGCTCAGGAGATTAAAAAGGCGGTTGGCTTGTTTGTAAATATACAACAAGAGACCACTAAGGAAAACCCGGCGGCAGTAAAGCCAAGCAATCTAAATGAGACTTTCTCAATAGGAGGCAAGCAACAAATGACAAATACCGATATAAAAACAATTACGGATAGCCTGGAACTCAAAATAAGGGAATGTGTTAAACAGGAAATGTCTACAATAAAGGAACACTTAACATCTACTGTATCCAAACCGACACAACCCTCATACGCGCAAGTGACTTCATCACCTGTGCCATTTAAAGTCCCAAAAACAAAACACACGGCTATAGTAACAGCCACAAACCCACTCAAATCGAAGCATGAGTTACTAAAGTCATTTCAAGAGGAAGCCAAATTTAGACAGAACACATATGCCCCACACAAAGTTACACCCATAAATAACCAGAATATAATAGTAGAATTTGAGACAGAAGAAAATAGAAATAGCATGATAAATAAGTTGGAGGATTCGACAGGATTTAAAGTTAAAGCACAAAATAAACTTAGACCTATGTTGATGCTAAAAGGTATCAATAAAAATACAAATAAGGAAGAACTCATAGAAATAATCAAAAACCAAAACCCGGATATAATGGAGAAGTATGAGAGTGAGGAGGATATAAAAACAAAGTTTTACACAAATAATAAAAACATGGCATTATACAATACAGCTATAGTGGTTTCGCCGAGCATATACGGAGTCTGCATGGAGAAGCAGCGCATAAATATAGATTACCAGAGAGTGCAGGTCTCAGAGCATGTGCCACTGTTGCAGTGTTTCAAGTGTTTGCACTTTAGGCACACGGCCAAGCACTGTAACAATGAGCTCACCAACTGCTCGCACTGCGCAGCCGGCGACCATAGTAATAAAAATTGTCCCCATAAAGCTAATAAAGATAAAATAAACTGCTATAACTGCAAGTCCCACAACGAAAAATATAACTTAAATAATCCTACAAACCACTCAGCCACAACAGCGTTATGCCCGCGCAAAGTAGCGGCGGCTGTTAAAGTCAAATATAGCATAAATTATGGGAACTAGTATCAATAATAACAATAATCAACAATGCAACATTAATAATCGGCAAGAGGGACTTGCTAATAGTATAAAAATTATTCAATGCAACCTAGATAGAAAATACACAGCTCAACACGAGTTCATGCAACACTTTATAAGTGAAAAAATGGACCTGGGACTAATCACTGAGCCATACACGGGCAACACAGGCTGTATGAAGGCAATTTCTGGTGTAAATATATATCAATACAACCACATAGACAGAGTGAAGGCGACGGTAGTAGTCCGTGCAGGGATAGGAGCCATTATGGGTATCAGCAACTATTCTAACAATAATATTTCAATAGTTCAACTGATCACAAGGAAATTTAAAATGTATATAGTTAGTGTATACATAGAGCCTAGAGAAGACCCTAATGGAATAATAAATAAAATAGAAACCTTCATCAAACACCACCCACATGCACACATACTAATTGGTGGCGACCTAAATGGATGGCATCCACCATGGGGCTCTGAAAAATCTAATAAAAGGGGGAATGAATTACTCAAGATGATATTAGGAAATGATCTAATAATAGGAAACAAAGGAACTACACCAACTTTCTAAACAATCACACATGGAACAAGTAGACATTCGATTGTAGATTTAACCTTATACACGGCCAACCTGGAGAGAGCTGTGCTCAATTGGAAAGTAGACACAAACATAATAGGATCAACACAACACAAGCCACTAACGTACACAATAAACATGGAAAAGGATAATAGAATAAGTAAAAGGAAAAAACAACATTCAAATATAACACAAAAAACGCTAACTGGGAAAACTTTAAAATAACTATAGAACAAGAAATAAAGATGAAGCAAACAGACAAAATTAACATAAAAGAACTTAACTCCGAAGAAATAGAAAAATACATAACAGAAATGACCAAAACAATCCAAAAAGCTTGTGATGAAACCTTGAGACCCAAGAGAAATAGCATAGACAGAGTCCCATGGTGGACCCCTAAACTTGAAGAGCATAAAAAGGAAGTAATAAAACTGCACCACAGACTACAAGATCTGGTCAAAGGACGCAAACCTATAGAAAATATATTAAAAGAAAGGGAAGAGGCACGTGAAAAGTACATAGAGGAGATGAGAAAAGAGTCGACAAAGAGCTTCAGAGAGTTTTGCTGCAAACAGGGGAAGGAGAATGTCTGGTCTTTGACAAATCGCTTGCTAAAGACTGGCCCTCCTCCAACCCCTCCGCAAACACTTAAGAAACCGGACGGAACATATACTAGTACAACTAAGGATACAGCTACAGTAATATTAGATCACTTTTATCCCGACGATACAGAAGACTCAACAGACACGCAAAGAAATATCCGAGACACAATAACGATACCTCCAGACACAACAGACGACACACAAATTACGACAATGGAAATTACTCAAACTCTACAAAAGATGAACCCTAAAAAAGCTCCAGGTCCGGATCACCTTACATCGGACATTTGCCTGGTTTATGTAAATACATACCCTGATCAGATGACCGACCTGATAAATCAGTGCATTAAACTTGGCTACTTTCCCAGGGCGTGGAAGGAAGCACAGTTGTAGTGCTCCCTAAACCTGGGAAAGACGACTATACCAACTTAGAGTCATACAGACCAATCGGACTAATAAATGTCTTTGGAAAACTACTGGAAAAAATAATAGCAACTAGGATCAAATATAATGCATGTACAAACAATTTAGACAACAAACTACAATTTGGTTTTAAAGAACAGGTGTCCACCATTGACGCCATAGGAACAGCAATAAATTACATCAAGGAGGCAAAAGCCGCGCGGGAACACGTTCTGGCGGTATCACTGGACATCAAGTCAGCCTTTGACAATGCATGGTGGCCCTTGATTTTCAAGGGTCTAAAAGAAATCAAGTGCCCAAAAAATCTATATAAAATCTTAATCAACTATATACAGGACAGAACAGTAAATATTAACTTTATAAACTACACCCACAGTAAAGGCATGTCCAAGGGCTGCATCCAGGGATCAGTCCTGGGACCACTTTTCTGGAACACATTATTGGACCAACTTTTTAAATCACCTCTTCCGGAAGGATGTTACCTGCAGGCATATGCGGATGACGTCCTTCTAGTGGCAAAGGACAGGAACATAAATAGACTACAAGAAAAGACAAATCAGGCCCTGGACATTATAGTAGAATGGGGGAAGGAAGCGAAACTGACTTTCGGACCCGGAAAAACACAATCAATAGCGTTTACCAGGAAAGCAAAATTAATAAAAATAAAATTTCAAAATCAAATAATAGAGTTCACAGACAGTATCAAATTACTTGGAGTCATCATAGATAAAAATTTAAAATTCATACAACATGCCAAATATGTAACAAATAAATCACTTAAAATATACAAACTAATATGCAAATTTGTGCGACCAACGTGGGGAATCAGATCCGAAAATATTAAAATAATTTATGAACATGTAATTGAACCCATAGTCACTTACGCTGCTGGTATTTGGGGCGAAGCGGTCAAATATAAGGTTGTCCGGGACACTCTAACGTCCATGCAGCGTCTTTTTGCTTTGCAAATAATTAGGGCTTTTCGAACAGTCTCCGCAAATGCAGCAATCGCATTGGCGACATTAAAACCTCTGCACCTCAAAGTTGGAGAAGTAGCAGCTAAAGAAAATACAAAGAAAATAAAAACCTGTAAATTCCTACCTGAGGACATAAGACTGGATGAACCTGCACATCACTCCAAGCTACTACACCCGGCACATCGTACAACAATTCAAATTATTAAAGTAAACAATCAAGAAGAATTAAATATAGCCACAGACAACATAAACTTAAAAATATATACGGATGGAAGCAAATTGGATGACGGCAGGGTGGGCGCGGCCTTCGTAGTGTTTAAACCGGATGGAACTAACATAATAAAGAAATACAAACTACACACTAGTTGTTCTGTCTTCCAGGCAGAACTCCTAGCAATACATAAATCAATAAAATGGGCGACCACAGAATACACCTCTTCAAACATTGCAATTATATCAGATTCTTTGAGTGGCCTAAATGCAATCGCAGATAGCAGTAACACAAATCAACTAATAGTCAAAATACATGACGACATAAAGGCAATAAGAGAAGAGAAAGGGAAGGTTATCTTTTGCTGGGTCAAATCTCACACCGGTATAGCAGGTAACGAAGCTGCAGATACATCAGCGAAGTCTGCAGCAGCGTCACACCAGCCTCTCACTTTTGATCGCTTCCCACTGTCTTATGTAAAACATAGGTTGGCTAAAGAAACAGAGGTGGAGGCAAATGAAATATACAGAAACTCACTAAAGGGGATTGTCACAAAGAACCAGTTACCAAACCTTAACATAATAAACGAACTCTGGAAAGTAACCACACCTACTTTCGAACTAACTCAGTTCCTTACCGGACATGGTTATCACTTGGAATATTTAAAAAGGTTCAAGATAAAAACTACAAATATATGCCCATGCTCTGACCGAGAGATACAAACGCAGGAGCACTTGATTAAAATATGCCCAAGATATAATAAATTCAGAATAGACCACCAAATAAATAGTAATAATCATAACATGGAAAATCCATATGACATAAAAGAACTAATAGAGAAGAAAGAGTGTATGAAAACATACTTAAAATTAATAAAGAACATAATAAGGACTCTAAAGGAATATAATAATAATATGAATACATAAAGGGAAAAAATAAATAAATATAATAATAGTAATGAAGATGATGATGATTGATGATACATAAAACAGAAGTACTGAAGAAGAAAACAGAACAAAACTAAAGAGTATGCACAAGAGTCTACATATCAATCGCCCGTACAAAATAGCGAGGTTTGATATGCAAAAGAAGGAAGGAGGAAAAAAAAAGGGGAAAGTAAACGAGAGAGAAGGTACGACGTAGATCACACATGTCTGATGTTATTTGTCCCGATAACTCATGTTATGAGAAAAATAATAAGAACGGAGGTGAGGATGGTATCATAGAGGCAAGGGAAGAGGTGGATGTTAGTAATGGTAGTAAAGAACACGATTTAACTCCGGTTAAGGAATTAAAATCTAAAGAATTATTCGCGGTTGAACTTAATAGCGATATGGATATCTCTACTAAAATGCTAAGTGCAGTTCGAGGTATGGAACTATTAATAGATGAAAAATCTAATATTACCAAGTCCTCATGCACAGTTTGCTGCGAAAGTACGCAGTCTCGTCTCCCCTTTAATCACATTGGCTCAATAAGTACTGAATTACTTAGTGTGATCCATACTGACATTTGTGGTCCTATGGAAAATATTTCTATTGGTGGATCAGGATATTTCATATTATTCATTGATGATTATAGTCGAATGATATATATTTATTTCTTGATGAAAAAGAGTGAAGTATTTGTATGTTTCCAACAATATAAGTCAATTGTGGAAAATCAGATAAATTACAAAATCTAGACTCTCCGCAGTGACAATGGTAAAGAATTGTGCAATAAAGAATTTGATGATTATTTGAGGAAACATGGAATAATACATCAAAAATGTAATCCGTACACACTACAACAAAACGGCTTAGCTGAGCATTACAACAGGACAGTAATCGAAAAAGCTAAATGCCTTTTATTTGATGCTGGTCTTGGTAAAAAAATTCTGGGCTGAGGCAACCAATACAGCTGTATATTTACAAAATAGAATTGTGTCATCATCCCTAAATGATAAATCACCTTATGAGATATGGACAGGTACCGACATCAGTCATTTAAGGATATTTGGAAGTGTGGTTATGGTTCATGTAGCCTAAGAAAAAAAAAGACTAAAATGGGATAAAAAATCAGAAAAGCATATTATAGTTGGCTATCCAGAGGATGTCAAAGGTTATCGTCTCTTTAATCTCAGAACAAAGCAAGTAATAACCAGTCGGGATGTAATAATAATGGCAAAAGTAAGGAAATCAGAAATACCAGTACCAGTGCAAGAAACTGTGAGAAATAATGAAGAGAATTTAAATTCAGTGGCGGAAATACCTGTAAAAGAGGATACTGTATCAGAAGATGATGCTGATGATTCAGATAGCACATATGTCCCGAGTGACTATGAAGATGCAAATTCAATTGAAAGATTACATGTGGAGAGACCAACTAGAGTAAGGAGAGAGCTTAATAGATATGGATGGTACGCATGCATTGGTGATAATGCATTTAATGATGCTAGTGGTTTATCCGTACAGGAAGCATTAAATGGAACTGAAAAAGAACAATGGTTAAAAGCTATTCAAGAAGAACTTCAGTGTTTTGAAGATAGTTGTGCTTGGGACTTAGTAGACACTCCGAAAAACGGTACCATAGTAAAGTGTAAGTGGGTTCTAAAGAAAAAGTATGATAGTGAAAATAAAATGAGATTTCGTGCACGGCTAGTAGCAAAAGGTTTCATGCAAAAGTATGGTGTTGACTATGTAGAAACCTTCTCGCCAGTTGTGAGACATACAACATTAAGAACATTGTTTGCGTTGTCAGTACAGTTAGACCTAGATATTACTCACCTGGATGTTACAACGGCTTTTCTGAACGGCGACCTTGACGAAATTGTTTATATGCAGAAAGTTTTCAGGTATATTAGCAGCGGATGGAGCGAAATAAAAGGTGTAATGTTGGATTAATTGCGTTGTTTTATTTTTCTCTTTGTAGGCGATACAGAAACATGGATGATTACCTTGACCGGCGTACACAGAGAGAATGTTGCCATACAAAAAATTCAATTACCAAACTATAATAATTAAAATATTAATGTTGCCACATACTTACAAATATTCAATACACCCCCTCAACATGATATTTTAATTTAAAGTACACTTATAACCCCTTAAAAATTTTGAAACACTAGTGCACCCCCTTAATAACACAAACATAACCTCAAAACAAATACTCAAGAGTCAGAGCCCTCAACTTAAGAATAACAAACATCTTTTACGGTCATAAGATACTAACTCAACACTTTCCATGCATGTTTCTACTTATAAAGTTAGTTTACAAAGTTATGACAATATCATATCCCTAAGTTTAACAAAAAGTATTTTTCCTAATCAGCAACATTGTATTACTACAAACAAATTTTATTTTAACTAAACCTGCTGATACATTTTCTACTATGTATTGATACTTTATGTCTATATGTTTTAATCTCTTATTACTGTCATTGTTGTTTGCTATATTAATTACACTTTGATTGTCTTCAAGTATTTCAAAATATAATAATAATAATAATAATTTATTTATTATAACACAACCACAATAAAAACTATAAATTAAATAACAATATACATTTACATTTGAAATAAAAATTAACACATAATTAATTGATTAATTTAAAATTTATTTATTTCAAATCAAATCAAAATTTCAATTTTGTGGTTGGGATCCCCTTTTAAGCAAATAATTTGCCTGTATTAGGAGACCCCGCCCTTTCATAAAAACGTAATTTTATCTTTTAGCTGATTATAATATTATGGGTAATACTACAAACTTAAAAGATCAATTAAGACAAACAAAAAATATAAAATAAAAATTAAAAATAAAAATTAGCGTACATATATTTGTTTGTGTATTGTGTGTGAGAGTGTGTGTGTGTATGTGCGTGCGTATGTGTGTGTGTGTGTGTGTGTGTGTATGTGCGTGTGTGTGTGTGTGTGTGTGTGTGTGTGTGTGTGTGTGTGTGTGTGTGTGTGTGTGTGTGCGTGTGTGCGTGTGCGCGTGTGTGAGTATTTAATGAATATGTTCTAACAGTTTTTCCGTATCATTGTAACTAAGGGTTTTTATCCAATCTATTAATGTCTTTTTGCATTTATGGTAATTGTAGGGGTAAACATAAATGATACTGTTAATTTTATTATATAATTGTGCAGATCTTTTATCGAATTGCATTGACGCAAATGTTGTTCTTGTTTGTGGGATTTTAATTATGTTTTCTTTCCTTCTTTTTAATGTTAAAGACGCATCATAGGAAACAGCCTTATGTACTTTTAGTATAGTTTGAGTAATATACAGCTTTCTAACCGAAAGCAGTGTGCTAATTTGGTACAGATTCTCAGTTGGAAATGTAAGTTTTTTAAAGTACATACATTTTATTAGAGCACGTTGTGCTCTCTCAAGTTCAATAAACTTCGTTTTAGCTGCTCCGCCCCAAATCGAGATACAATATGATAGCACTGATTGTACTAAGGCAAAATATATTTCATTCTAGAGATTCCTGGGGCGAGATGAGCTGCTAAAAACTTGTGTAGGTAACTTAAATATACATTATCATATGCAAAGTCTTTGAGTAACTTTTTAAAAAAAGATCCTTCTATAATACTCACACTAAGAGCTACATATTCAGCTTCACAAGATGACATTGATACACAAGATTGTTTCTTGCTATACCAAGAAACTGGACAATTAAAAAAATAAAATATTTGTCCTGATGTTGACTTCCTGTCTGATACATCACCGGCCCAGTCTGCATCACTGTAACCTTGCAGTTTACATACATTTTTACTTTCCTTATCATATTTGTATGTTAAAGATAAATCAATAGTACCATTTATCTATCTCAATATCCTCTTTAAACATTTAAACAAAACTACACTAGCACAATGCACATATCTACTAAGAAATCCTACTGCAACACATAAGTCTGGTCTAGTACAAGTAGCATATAAAAGACTGCCTACTAAACTTCTACAGGCTTTTTCTATTTCAATACTTTCACTTTTATCTCTCTGTAATAATTCAAAATTAAAGTTATGTTCCATTGGAGTACATACAGATTTACAATTTGACATTTGATATAAATCCAACAACTTTAATAAATACTTTTTCTGATTAATTACAGTTACATTATTTCTAAGATCCTGTTTAATATTTAATCCCAAATAATTACTGGCCAGACCCAAATCTTTCATTTTAAAGTTTTTACATATTGAACTTTTAAAGTCATTTACTTGGTTTTTATTATTACCAAAATACAACAAGTCATCCACAAATAATAGCACATAAATAAAATCATTTCCAATATGTTTAACTTATAAACAAGGGTCATTCTTTGATCTTAGAAAACTTTCTTTTGTCATAAAACTATTAAATTTTGTGTTCCAATATTTAGGTGATTTTTTAAGACCATAGATTGACTTTTTTAATTTACATACCTTATTGTCTGGTAATCTCATAAAAACTGTCTCATTTATGTCACCATAAAGAAATGCCCCAGTAACGTCCATCTGATACACTGGTTGGATTTTCTGGGTAGCTACAGCCATCATGGCTTTGAAAGTAGTTAATTTAGCAACAGGTGAGTATGTCTGGTCATCACAGTTTTTCTGCTCGAATCCTCGGGCCACTAAGCGAGCTTTATACAAAGCTTTTCCTTCTACCTCCTTGACTTTAAATACCCACTTGCTACTTACTATGTTTTCTCCGTCAGGAACTTCTGCCACCTCCTCCCATGTATTATTTTCCTCCAGTGTTTGCAATTCTTTATTTATGGCTTTTTCCCATTTTCTTTTATCGGGTCTCTTCATAGCTTGTTGGTAGGAAATAGGTTCATCACAGCTGTAACTCAGGAACATATTTTCATCTCCTTGTTCAAAGTCTTTAAACCAGCTTGGCTTTTTCCTCGCCCTTCTAGGTCTTTCGGTTACCTCTTCTGTCTGTTGTGAAGTTTCCTGTTCTTTTTCTATCTCTTCCTCTAATATTGCTGACTCCTCATGAAAGGAATGAATTGAGTTCTCTTCTTTTTCACTTTCTATTGTTTCAGGGTCCTCAATATCTTCATACTGGCTTTGTTCTAGTTCTAATACTTGTTCTGTGTCTTCTTGAGTGTCAAAATCTATGTAATTTTCTTTTTCTTGTCCTCTGTCTCTTTCTTTGTATTCTTCAGACTTTTTTATAAATATTACATCTCTCTTAATGTCTACTATGTTTCATTCAGGAAAGTATATTCTGTGTCCTTTTGTATTTTCTCCATATCCAATGAAATAGCCTAATTCTGCTTTGCTATCAAATTTTAACCGTTTCTGATCCGGAATATGTACAGATACTTGACTACCGAAGACTTGTAGATTATTTACATCAAAATCTTTATTCCACCAAAGTTCATATGGAGTTACATCCTTCACGCGACTTGGACCAGTTCTGTTGATGACATAGACAGCAGTATTAATTGCTTCAGCCCACAGATTCTTGTTAAGGCCGCTCTCTAGAAGCATAGTTCGTGCTGACTCAACCACTGTTCTCATCTCGCGCTCTACACAACCATTTTGTTGTGGAGTGTAGGCTACACTTTGTTGGTGTTGTATTCCATATGAATTTAGCAAGTTCTCCATTTCTTTACTGATAAATTCTTTTGCATTATCACTTCTTAAATATTTCACTGCGTGACCGGGGTTCACTTGCACTTCTTTCAAATACTGTTTTAAATATTCTATAGACTGACTTTTGTTCTTCAGAAAATACACCTTTCTATATTTGGAATAATCATCCTTAATGAGTAAAAGGAACTTTGCCCCTCCTAGTGAAGTTTCTTCTATTGGACCTCCAATATCTATATGGATAACCTCTCCTGGTTTTGTTGCTCTATGGGTACTCAATGGGAAGGGAAACTTATGTTGTTTTCCTTTCAAACATGGCAAACAGGTTTCTTCTTTACTATTTTTAAACTTTATATTCTGTTTCATCAAGATGCTTTTCACTTGGTTAATGTCTTGGTGAGCTAGTTTAGTATGCCATTCCCTTAAATTTGACATCACTTTTCCAACCATGGCACAAGCATCGAGCTTTTTGAATAACATTGTGTACATTTTACCATGTCTCTTCGCTATAGCATAGACACTATTGTTTTTTATAAACTGGCACTCAGTAGCAGTTGATTCCAGCTTGTAGCCTTTATCCAGAGCAGCACTCATGGAAAATAGGTTTACCTTGATGCTCGGCACATACAAAACATTGCTTATTAATGTTTTGATCCATTGTTGACCATCATATGCTACAAGGTCAATGTCACCATAACCTAATGCTTTTATTATTGTCCCATCCCCAATAACAACGTCTTTAGGCACTAACAACTTCTTATAGTTTATAAGAGTCGCTCAGCGGAAGAGTGGCCCAAGCCTTGCACATTAAGTATGGAGATAATGAGCATTAATGATCTGAGAATTACATCAGTACTGATATTTAAGTATTTTCTCTAGTTATTTAAAAATTTAAAACAGACCATAGAAAGTAATCATTTTATTGATATTTTTATGCTTACAAACTAGTATAAAACATAGAAATTAAAAAAAATGTGTGTTGTATAGGCCACTATTCTACTAAATAAGAAAGTTAGTCTTGGGTTAGGTCATCATCATAGAAGTCAGCTTCAGTATCTTGTGCAGAATTATTTGTCTTCAGGTTGCGATAGAAATCATGTCGAATTGGAGGAACATATGGTAAAAGCTGTAATAGATCTTCATATTTTTTCTTCTCTATGGGGCGACCATTGGGGTACAAAACATCTAGATTAATATCAGTCAAAGAGGAAGAAAAACGAGTTCTTTTCTTTTCAATATCAAAACAGTTAAATGGAGAAAAAGTTTCATCATTACTGTTGGTATACTTGTAATATATTTTGTATGGATTATCATGGGTAAACCGCAACCACTGAATTTTTAGCCATTCGACTTTGGTTCTTTGACTTTTGTCAGTATTGTTATCTATTTTTCTGTTAGTTATTAGTTTTTCCAATTTTTCAATACTTTTGAAGTTTTCTGTCATCATCTTCACAATCAAAAATTTTGGACTCTTTTTCTTGGCATTTGATATAACACAATTCCAGTCTTCAGGAACGAAAATGTCCTTATTATGTTTCTTTTCCTTTTCTACTAACCCGAAATCACGGTCACAAGGTAGATAGCTATGACCAGATACAAGAAACTTGTGATCTAATTTTTTTACTGCAAACTTGTTTGAACACACTATGTAATTGCAAATTGCTGATAGTTTTATGTTTCTGTTTTGGCCTCCACATTGGTCACTGTATATAATCAGATTCGTAGTAGTTACATATTTCTTCATGTAGTGTAATAAACAAGATCCAATTTCACATGGTCCACGAGAAGCCAAGCCTTCATGCCATACATACATATACACTTGGTTTGATGTCAAGTTGTGAATACCAAGGCAGTATGTCCACAATTGCCGTTTGTAGTATGCTACGCCAGTGGCTATGTGTGGAGTAGGAAGTGTCTTCATCAAGTCAAATGCAATAACACTAGTATCATTTTCCAATATTTTTCCATACTGTGTATCATTTTTCATTCCATCTCTTGCTAAATCAGCTTTACGTAAATGAATTTCCTTCTCAATCTTTACAGCACTTTGCTCTTCTGGACTTCCAATCTTCAGTTTGATATTGAATATATCACATTTTTTACACGTATCACTGTATGGTGGACGAAAATGAAGATTGAATTTCTCATTAAATGTCTTCCTAAATATGAACTGCGATACAACTGCATCTCCATTTTTCAAACACTCTCGTATAATTCATACATTTTAGTGATGCTTAAGTCCGGGCATAGGTACTGGCGATTTGGGTTTTTACTTCGACTATAGTGTGATGTGTACGAGGAAAATTTATTTATGAAATCCATAGGTGTAAAAGTAACGAAAAGTAGCGTACCCGTATGCATTCATTACTATAGCATCAGTACTCGTTACTTTTGTATCATTACTCGTTACTTTTGATACCCGATGGGCCGATAGCATACTCGTAGAGCATCGCATCGAGTCGTGTTGCGTATGTATTGCGTACGGTATAACGTTGACGTCGCGTTGTTCGTACTTTGTAGAAAAACATACAGCCGAATTGCCCTCCGCCTTTTTGAGGAAGTCAGTTGAAAATATGTTACATGACATAACATTTTCTGGAGTTAAATTTAAATTACGAATACTTACATTTTGAATTGATTCACCAGAAAGTGACATTAATTTATTATAATTATAAATTTAAAATTTAAAAAATCCCCTACCCAAATTAATTATCATTTAACAATTACACTAATAAATAATAAATAAATACACTGACACGCGTGAAACACTTAATCAAGTAATCATACGCCAAAATGTCTTACATTATTGTGGAAAAGAGCTGATACTCTTACACTGCTGGATCGATATTAATCAAACATAGCTAAGAACCACCGGAAGGAAACTGGCTTTCAAATGAAAAAACTGAATCGAAATCGGTCCATCCGTTTAAGAGCCACGATACCACAGACACACACACACGCGCGCGCACACACACACATACACACACACACACACACACACACACACACACATACACACACACACACACCTACACTTATAACACTCCTCTTTTTGCGTCGGGGGTTAAAAAAATACTTATACATACGTTACATACCTAGCTGCGTAAGGTGCGTTTTTTAACTTTATCTTATTTTGAACCAGACAGTAAATCTAAATTTAGTTTGATTTAATAGATAAATTGGTTAAAACTACAAATAGACTGTAATTTAATTACCCCAAGGATCTGACAAAAAACTACAGAATTTGCAATGGATTTACTGTTTCGAATATTTTATCTGCGAAAACATATAATACCTATCACAATAACACTACAAATTATCATGCATTGACTACATAAAAAGAAACGAATCAGTATCGCAAATTATTTATTGACAATAAAATTAAAACAACATTCTAACGATAAAACAACATAAAATACTTTTCTTTTTTCTTATAATGAAATTGTACATACAATAGTAAAAAATGAAACATGTAAAAGAAAAACACATTTTAAACAACACTTAAACATAAAAAAATCTTTTTTCTTCAAATGAAATTAAACTTATAAAATAAAAACATATTTTAAATAAAATTTAAACAACATCAAAAATCTTTTTTTTATAATGAAATAAAAACATTTTAAGGTAAGAATCTTACTCTTTATCTAAAAATCTTTGGTTCATATTTAAAAATAAAACCTTTTCCATTCGCTTTGGTTTAATGGAACTGCGCTTCTCACTCAATATTTGGCCCGACTTTGAAAAAGTTCTTTCAGATGATACCGAGGTAGCCATCACCGATAAATATTTCTCAGCCAAGTTTGAGAGTTCAGGATATAGAATTTCCCGCTTCTGCCACCACTTCAAAGGGCATTCATTTCGATGAATAATGCGTTCTTCTAGGTATTGCCTCATGGTAATTATGCTGCTGCTAACTGTGGAGTTCGAAGCGGACGCTGACGATGTCAAAGCGTCAAATTCCTTCCATAATGAGTCGTTATCAGTGTCGGTATCGCCTGTAGATGGAGCTAGCGTGGATTCGTTCTCATTAGGCTCGATTGATTGCTGTTTATGAAGGTTTAGCTGGTTTTGAAGCTCAGTTTTCAATGCATCTTTGGCAGACTCATAACTTGATGCATCAAACCTAAATGCCAGCTTCTTAAAACGCGGGTCTAACAACGCTGCTTTAGATAAAACTGGGTGCCTGTAACAATTCTTAAATCTACTTTTAAATTCTGTTATTATCTTGTTTGCCAGTTTCTTGCCTATTTCAGTAATAATATTTGTGCCTAAATTGTCAAAAACCCTAATTATGCTTTCTGTGGAAGCCAAGACCATTGAAACAGTCACTTTTTTTTCTGAAGAAATTTCTTCAGTGAGCTGCTTAAATGGCTTAAGAATTTTTATTACTTCTGGTAGTGTCTGCCATTCGCCTTCCGAAAGATTTTCTACTGGACTGTGTAGAATTCCAAGAGCTGCTTCTAAAGGTTCTTGAAGTGAACAAATTCTCTCTATCATGTCTAGGGTGCTATTCCATCTCGTGACAACGTCCATTTTTAGCTTCAATGGCTTCTGATTAGGCCTCAGCTGCTCCTGCATCGCAATTAGTTTTTTGGTAGCTACTGGACTCTTGTGGAAGTGTTCCACAATGGCTTTTATTTTTTTTACCAGCTCCTCGAGTCCACAGCCCTGGAATCCTGCACGCACGACTAAATTAAGAGTGTGAGCAATACACGGCAAATGTTCGTAGTTAAATAATCGTATAGCCGCTTTCATGTTCGCTGCGTTATCTGTAACGCATACAAATATTTTATTTTGTATGCTCCAATAGGAGAGCAACCTATACAGCTCATTTTTAATATATTCGGCCGTGTGTCGCTCATGACACTCAAAACATCCTAATAAAGCTGACTTCAACTCCCAATTTAATAAATAATGGACTGTAACAGCTTGATAAGAAGTTGTTGCTCTTGAAGTCCAACCATCGGTGGTAATCGATATATATTTTGCACTCTCCAATTCTTCTTTTAACCTTCTTTGGACTTCTGAGTATTGAGTGTCCAATAAAGTATTGCTTAATATGTACCTTGAAATCATTTTGTAACCTGATTCTATGTATTTAAGAAGATCTTTAAAACCCATGTCTTCAACTATAGAAAAAGGTTGAAGGTCTTTAACTATTATTTTAAAAATTAAATCATAAATTTTTTTTTTCTCTAACTGTAGTTAGAAAAAAAAAATTAATGATTACTTTTATAAAAATTATTATATTACTATATAGTATATTACTTTTATACACACATAGGTACACCTACAGGACGTTTTATAAAAGTACTTAACTTAGTCTGCTTCGAATTGGTTTCATTTCTTAGAGATATCGATTTAATTACAGGATTAGTAGTTTCAGTATTTGATGAAGTTGATGGTATAGAAGCTTTCAGAACCGCTGCATCTGACACGGAGCATGGAATGATGGTTTCATAAGTTGATCTGTGTTTCTTCAGGAGATGCTTTTTCAAATTTGTAGTGGAGCCGCCTTTTATTGAATACAACGAATTACAAAGATCACATTTTGCTTTATCGTCTTTAGTCTGCGTAAAAAAACTCCATAGGTTGCTTCTTTTCTTAACCATTGTAGAAAATTCAGCTGTAAATTAAAAAAATAAGTGTAAATATATCAAACTAGCATTACCCGCGGCGCCGCCCGCGTTCAGATTACCAAAAATTAAATTTTTAGGTTTTACATATTAGTATACTCTTACAATGCAGTTTTTGTATTTTTTCTTAGAAGTGAGATATTTTTTCGCAATAAAAAGTATTCTATATGTTGACCCGGATAACCAGTCATCAACATACCAAATTTCATGAAAATCCCTCCAGTGGTTTTCCGTGATGCGGTAACAGGCAGACAGACAGACAGACAAACATTTTAAAAACTATAGATTCGGTCTCTATATCGATAATAATATCCATTTCAATAAGATTTTCCAAAAAAAAAATGTACAGATTCGGCTTAGTTACAATTTTATTATATGTATAGATATCAACAATAAATACAGCCTTTAGTAACCAAAAAACAATTAGATCTCATTATAACAGCTTTATTATAATATCTCTTTTTAAATAAGAAAAAAGAAACGTAATTTTACCATTATTTTTAGTGAAAATAATCGACAATAAGATAAAACAAAAATATATCTATTTTGTAAAAAACTTACCTTGTTTCTGTTCCAATTCCAAACTTTGTCTAACCAATTTCTTTAACTAAACTTAAAGTAATAAGTAACTAAACATTAAACAAACATCGTCCTTTGTAACGTATATTTTTGAAACCACCGAAAAAGCGCGCCGCAATCCGCAATCCGCGCGCGCGGGTGCGTAATTATTATATTATCTGTGGAATCAGATCAGCAAACCATTTCAATTGGAGAGTTACATGATATCCAGAACCCAAAAATTTTAATTATTTATAAATCTATACAATTTTTAAAAACTTTACTAACAATATTTTTTTATTAATAATTTTTTAAATTAAATAATAATTAAAAAATAAGTAATTTATATATAATGATATTATATATAAATGAATAAGTAACGCCATCTATCGCGTTAGTGTGACGCATAATGTATATATGTTATTTTAAAATTAAAATTAATTGCGCGAACGATCTATTAAATCATAATCTGTAATTGTATTACACATAATCAGTAATAATTATAAGTATTCGTTACATAAAAAACTCCCCAATTTATTCATCAACGGTAGTAACTAAAAGTTGTATATTTTTGTTGAATAAAAAATCAATAAAAACATCAGTACGAAAATATGTACGGAAAATGCGAGTAACGAAATGCATTCGTGAGTAACGTTTCGGTACTCGGTACTAGATGGCGTACCCGTTACTCAGTAACGAATACATACGGTTTGCTACAGCTCTAATGAAATCACAAACCTTTTTTATCTGCTCTTCACTTGTTTTATTATGAGCTGAAGCTGTACCCCGTTTATCAATTGGAGCTGTAGTTTCAGAATCTGGATTTGTTTTATTACGCAGAACTCTTGTCAGTCGTCCATCAGATACCTGCAAAGACTTTTTAAAAAAATCTTTACATACTTTTACGTCTCCGCCGTTTCCACTAGGCAAATAGTATATTCGTGAGAACTGACGTCTATTGCAAATTTGTGCAGTGTATGTTCTGAGTTTAACCAGCCCAAATATAAATGCAGATTGTAAGTTGTAGTTTCCAAGTGCATAAAAGTCATCAAAAATCTTCCTTCTTTCTTCCATCGATAGCTTGGTGTGACACTTGAATACATGACACACTTGAACACATGAATACATACACAGTCTTCACTATTAAAAATCTTTGCTGGTACAGAACTTCCTTTCACATTTAGGTACGCTTGTCCGAAAGCCCTGGCTCGTTTTGCCTTCTCCTTTTTCCAGTTCCATACGTTCCTTTTTCTTTTCTGACTTTTGCATACGCTATCGTCTTCGGCAACTAGAAAGAAGGAAATATAAAATTAGTACTACAATAATAACTTTATAGACTTTTTAGTTGATGTTTATTTTATCAAATATTTACTACGAAACTTGAAAAACGTACCTTCTATAGATGAAATTCCATCATTAGCTTCCTCAACAGAAGATTCATCAGAACTTTCAGGAATTACAAGTTTTTTTCGAGAACGATGCCTATTACGCTGGTTTTCTTTATCAGATGGAGTATATTCCGAACCAGAATCCTCGAAATCTGCCCCGGATATTTCCGATATCTCATTTTCAGACATATTTCATAAACTTGTTATTATTCTATGTTTTTTATTACTTTTAGGCGCGAAATAGACAAACCACAATGAAAAATTTACGATGACAGTGACATATTCCAGCGAAAATGATTGACGTTTTATTTTGGTGTGGCCATATTTTAATAACTAAAGTGGCCTAGAGTGGGTTGGGCCACTATTCTGTTGTTCTAAAATTATTAAGTGCTGAAGCAAGAGGGCCTATCAAATAATAGGCCGCTTTTCCTACGAAAGTAATCATAAATTTGAAATGGAATACGAACATTCATCAACGCCATCTATCAAACACTACCGAAACTAAGTTTTAGGCCAGTATAGTTTTAAAGATCTATAGTCTAGTGTACAAATATCTACTTAACTCTGTTTCTGTAAATTTGTGGATTAGGCCACTATTCCGCTAAGCGACTTTATTTATTAAAATTGTCTACTGTAGAGCACATATGTTCGGAAGCACCACTATCTAAGAACCACTCATTGTTTATACTTTTTGACGCAAGTCCACACGCTGACATGACAAACGCGTTTTGTTTATTATTTATATTTTCTTGTTTTTTGTCCTTGTTGAACCAAAATTTTTCTTTTGTATGTCCACGTTTTTTACATTGTTTACAAAATGGAATGTTTTCGGACTTGTAGCTGTTTCCAACCTTTTTAGCTTTACAGTCTTTTTTATAATGCCCCACTTTACCGCAGATAAAGCACTTTCTTGTTTTTGTGTCAGTCTTGAATGCTGTGGAACTACTGCTTCCACTCTCTTGGTACATTTTGTTTCTTTGCTCTTCTATAATGAGCCTGGCTGTCAACTCAGACAGGGTTCGCTTTTCTATTGGAACGGAGTCCCATGCAGAGACAAAGTGTCGAAAGTTTTCACCTAGCGAACTTATAATTTTTGTAACAATCATGTTTTCAGCAATCTCACCTTTTGCTTTCCTTACTTGTGTCACGATTGCTTCTATTTTGGCTATGAATGATGATACATCTTCTGAACCATTGTATTTTTCTTCAAAGAAACGCTGCTGCAATATGTGGAGTGACACGTCAGATTTTTGTTCATAAATTGTATTTAATTTGTCCCATATCTCTTTGGCTGTTTCACAATTCTGTACATGCAGCATAGCTGTGCTGCCTAGTCTGTCTACGATGACTGCTTGAGCCTTCGCATCTAGTTCCTTCCACGTGGCTTTGTGTCGTCATTTTCTGGGCATTTTAATAAGCCGTCCATCAAGTCATAGGCATTCACCGCCTTTAGTATGACTTTTACTTGGAATTTCCATGTATGCCAGTTACTGGCATTTTCTAGTAAGAAGCGATTGTTCGCCCCAAAGATATCGCCCTCGCCGTCCATTTTTGCACCGAACGTGAATGCTTGACCGCAGTACCACACCGCCGTTTTACCACAGCTGCCCCGCAATACAATACTCCTATTTTTCGCTCCGGGAGACTGGGCCCATAACCTTTTCAGGTATATTAGCAGCGGATGGAGCGAAATAAAAGGTGTAATGTTGGATTAATTGCGTTGTTTTATTTTTCTCATTTTAGACGATACAGAAACATGGATGATTGCCTTGACCGGCGTACACAGAGAGAATGTTGCCATACAAAAAATTCAATTATCAAACTATAATAAGTAAAATAATATTAATGTTGCCACATTCTTACAAATATTCAATAGAAAGAGAAGAAAGAAACCAGAATATTTTTCATATCCAGATTGTGATGGAAAAGTTTTAAAGTTAAATAAAGCCATGTATGGGCTGAAACAGTCAAGGGCGTGGTATATGAAAGTCGATAAAATACTTGTGTAACGCGGGGTTTTTAGAAACAACGGTGATCGCGGGGTATCGTGTCGGAACATGTACAATCCTGTAGGGCCGTGTTTTGGTGTGACCGTATAGTTAGCCACCTGGTACTATGCCAAACGTGTATTAAAATATCTTAAGAAAACTAAAGATTTTGGTTTAAAATTTTCAAAAAATGGTAATTCAATAAGTTGTAATATATGTTATATATGTACATATGTATGTATGTATGTATAAGTGAATATTATTACCTTTATTTCTAGTATATATTTAGTAAATTTTTTTGCACTATATAGCCCTCTGACATCTTCTTCCACAACCAGGGGTTGACTGGAAGAGATCTCTTTTTGAGATAAGTCCACCTTGTGAACTATGTTTACTTTGTTATGTTTTTTCTGTATCATGTTTTAAGTGCAATAAAGAATATATTAGGTGTAAGGGAAAGTTCTGTCGTTTTTTTTTCTAAAGAAAAACCATTTTTTTTTCACTTTTTAATTAAAAATTAATCCAAAATATAGTGTCCTTTATTAGTTACAACTGTCTGCCAGCGTTCTGGCAGCTTATCTAACCCCCTGGAAAAAAACTCCTCTTTTTTGGAAGCAAAGAATTCTTTCACTGCTTTTTGGACACCCTCATAATTTATATATTCATTTCCATCAAGAAAGTTTTGCAGCGACCTGAACAGATGATAGTCAGATGGTGCAATATCTGGAGAATATGCTGGCTGAGGTAAAGTTTCCCAACCCCCCAACGTGCGTTCACCTTGTCGTGGTGGGGGGCTCAGTAGTGCCCGGCAATCCAACCGGGCGCGAAGCTAAGAAACGCACAGGGAGGTTGCCCACTTCGGTGGGCGGTGGGAGGTGGCCCTCTTTGGGGGGCGGTGTACCATGCGGGTTGCTCCTGGTACTTCTCTGATAGCAGAGTGGACTGTGGAGCAACCCCATGGTTGTGGTGGTCTGCTTCGGCAGACCTGCCGTCGGGGCGTCGTAGTTGAATGCGCAAGCGATCCTGCGACGCCCCATTAAGACGGGGGAAGGTTTTGTTGGGTTTTAGTGGGTAGTACTGGCTGTATTACGCCGGTGAGTCCTACACGTCGTGCGTAAATGCATTTCCCAACGTTAAAAAAAAAAAAAAGGTAAAGTTTCCCAACCCAACTCTGCAATTTTTTGTACGGTTTTTCTTGCCACGTGTGGTCTAGCGTTGTCGTGATGAAGAATTACCCCCTTTCTATTGGCCAAACATGAACGTTTACGTTGAATTTCTTTATTCAAAACATCCAGTTGCGAACAATAACGATCAGCATCGACTGTTTTATTCTCTTTTAGCAAATCATAATGCACTATACCCTTGCGGTCCCACTAACAACATAACATAACCTTCTTCTGATGCACGCCAGCTTTGGATGTGGACGGTGGTGTCTCCCCTTTATAAACATATGCCCTTTTTCTAATCACATGCTTATACACTATCCACTTTTCATCTCCAGTCACCAAGTGGTCAAAAAATGGTTACCTTTTGTGACGAGCAAGATTTGAAGAACATATCGAAATTCTGTCCATTAAATTTTTTTCGCTTAATTCGTGTGGTACCCAAACAGAGAGTTTGGACACGAAACCAAACCTTTTAATGTGATCCAAAGCAGTAGTCTGATGAATTCCAAGCTTGAACCCTACTTCTGTGGATTCATGATGCCTTGTCCAGCACAGAGGCTGAATTAACGGGAATTACAGAAGCTTGTAGAGAAGCCATATATTTATGTAATTTATTAAATGAAATAACTGGTGATATAAACACCATAACTTTATATAATGATAATCAAGGCGCTCTCAAGTTATCAGTAAATAATATGTATCACAAAAGAACAAAACACATAGATGTTCGCTACCATTTTATTAAAGATGGCATGAAAAATAATATTGTACATTTAGAATATTTAGGGACAGCTGAAATGCCAGCTGATCTGTTTACTAAAGGCTTAGGTACACTGAAACATTACCACTTCTTTGAAAATGTTAGGTATTGAGAAAGTTTGTCGATTAATTATCTTGTCATAACTATACAGTATATTGTTTTGTTTATTTTAATAAGTGGCGGTGTTATTGTTGTATTAAAATATAACAAGTTTTATTTTATGTGATAAATTAATATTAAAAATACATGTCATAGATAAATAATAAAAATGCTTATTATCTATGGTTAAACACTATGATCTGTTGTCTATGAAATAAACTCTGCCATTTTATGTTCGATGCGAAAGCTAGCACTTAGCACGTTGTTTTATTTTCTAAAGTACAATAAGACGTAAGGTCAGTATTCATGTTTGGGATTTGTTAAATGCCAGGCCATTATTAGTGTGTGTTTTTCTATGTGTCTACGAGACGTCACCTCATTAGTGATTTTTTTTTTACATAGATCAACCGAGTACATCAAAAATTAGTCACAAAAGAAGACGGGTGGTGGCTAGTATTAGTGAGGACTTCGAAAATACGATACAAAATTGGTTAGAAACAGAATTAGCAGCTGATTTTAGTGACGTTGACGATGAACAGGCAGACCCAGACTTTTGCATGCAAAGCGATCACGAAACTGAATCGGAACAGTCGTAAGATGAACTTGTTGATGTCAAACAAAGTTCAAGATCCGAAACTATCCTTCCTTCGTTAGTTTTATCTGGGAGCCAAAAGTATTATAACGGAAAAAATGGTTTCAAGTGGTCAGCTGAGGAACCCGTAAACAGATGGAATCGTACAGCAAGTCATAACATTGTCAATATACCTCGACCTCAGTCCAAAACCTTCAATGACTGAGAAAGTCTTTGGCTTGAGCTATTTGACACAAACATGATTGATACAGTTGTTACTTGTACAAATCAAAAATTATCACAGAAATATGATTGAAATACAAAAAAAACCGTTCGCATGAAATACAAAAAAACCGATAAAATTGAACTAAGAGCTACAAATCGCGAAGAAATGAAAGCTTTGGCTTATATTTTATACATCTGTCTTAAAGTCCAACACACACCAGATGCATATTTGCTACTGATGGTTCTGGACGTGAAATTTTTCACTGCGTGATGTCTCAATTCCGATTTATCACCCTACTAAATTATGTTCGTTTCGATGACAGTAACAGTAGACCACAACGCCTTGAAACTTTCTTGGCTGCAATTTCAGAAATTTTCGGACAGTTCATTGCCAATTGCAAAAAAGCATATACTCCCTTGGCGTATCTATGTGTTAATGAGATGCTAGTCCCATTTAGAGGCAGATGTAAATTTAGAATTTAGAGAAGAATTTTCAGAAGTTGTGAGAAAAACGTGCAAAATCTGTCCATCAAGGCTCAAAAGACGTACGAAGTACAGTTGCATTGTGTGTCACAAGGCTATCTGTCTCGGATGTTCAAAAACAGTATGCATCGATTGCGTAGTAAGAAGTGATTTATTCTAAAATTTTTACGAATGATGGGATAATTTTTAATTACTTGAGTCATATTATAATAATGACTGATATTTTAATAGAACAAATTTAGCAAAAATACCTTTAAATAGTTTAGGATGGCCGAATTGTAACGAATGTGTCTCTAAAAGTGCCAAAAATATGTTGCTTAATTAGTACCAAATAAATGTTGATTCCATATGAATATTTTGTTGCTTTTTATACATTCCTACTAAATAAATAATAGATGGAAATTATTTCAAATAAATAATGAGTTTATAAGTAAATAATCATACTATTTATTAATTATTTCTGTAGCCGTCCGAGATAGAGAAGGAGTAGATGAAGCAATATGTATTTATTGTTCAACCAAGCTTAGTACAAAAAATGTCTCTCTAGATACGTTAAAAACACATTTAACAAATAAACATCCGACTATATCACTTGATGTAGAACGAAAGCTATTATCCAAAACCCTTCAAAATTCCGAAATTACAACTCAGTTACTGAACGGTCCACTCCAGCTACTGTAACTCAACTATTGGCAATACCATCATCTAATGGTATAATAAGAAACTATTCGTAAACCACCCTATGGTGACCAAAAGTCATAACTCCTTTAGAAAAGTAAACGAACCAGAATTCAGGAAACTCTTAGACATGGTGTCTACATATCCTGGATACAATCTTCCCACAAGAAAAACATTAACAAATACACTTATACCAAAATGTTACACGGTAGTATTTAATTTTGCTCTGCAGGAAAAAAAAAGAATCTTTCACAGTGTGTTTGTGCACTGATGCTTGGACATCCAAACTACGCAAAATTATATTGCAATAACAGCGCATTATGATGATGATGTGATGTTCTCCTAGCCGATTCCGGCCACGGCGGCCAATCTCAATGAGATTAGCCAACTGCGCAGGAGATATTATAGTGCTCAAGTGTACGCGCAGACACAAGTGCACTCTCTATTCCTGTCACTCTCATACTCCGGTGGGACGACCACTCGACACGACCGGTGAGAGTTAAGGCGCAGGACCGACGGCTTTACGTGCTCTCCGAGGCACGGGGGTGAAACGCCGCCAACTTCCCAACTCCGGGCTGTTACTGAGACTTACTATACAGGAAGACTCAATAACTAAACTTGGCCCGACCCGGGACTCGAACCCAGGACCTCCGGGTGTGCAGCCGTACATGCTAGCCACTACACCACCGAGGCAGTAACACATTATATAGATGATAATAGCAGAGTTTTACCTACCATTAAAACTCATATTATGTCCGGAGCCTTATTCGAGGCCTAATAAACAATATTGAGATGACATCTTCCGTTTCCGGCCGCTTTTAGTCGTTGTAGTTCCCTTTAATTTAAGAAAATATGACAACTTCCGGCCGCCATGTTCACCAGGCCATTGGAGTTCCTCTTCATTGTGGTCTCAATTAGCTACTTATATCTAACTTAAATAACACCAGGCAGAATTTACTGTTAGGCCTCGAATAAGGCTCCGGACATAATATGAGTTTTAATGGTAGGTAAAACTCTGCTATTATGTCCTTCCGCCGTTATTTGAGGCCTAATAAACAATATTGAGACAGTGTTTGTTATCGCCTGGTGAACAAGACGCCAATGTGATTATAAGATAAATACCTACTACTATAATTACATTTAGTTTATACATCAATTTTAATTATATCCTTTCTTTCTGTTTTTTTTTTTTTTTTTATATATATATATATATATATATATATATACTATTATTATTTTATATATATTTCTACTTATGTTTTTTTTTTTTTTTTTATTATTATTTTTTTTTTTTTTTTTATTTTTTTTTTTTTTTTTTTTTTACTTCATTATTACTTTGTCAAATAACATTTCAGTTAATCATTAGATAAATAATCACAAATCACTACGCAAAAAAAAGTAGATTACTATATTACAGGTTTAAACAACGCTCTTAGGGAGACGCTATCTGAAGTTACATTAGGCAATGGTCTTATTTCTTTTTTGTAGAACTTTGAGAAAGTTTTTACAGACTTCCAATTAGCTCTAGATAGGATTTTGTCCAATGGTTCACTATCTAACCAACCCCTGGACGCCACAGCTGATCTCACGCTACCTGGTGTTGCATCAGCGCCCGCGTCAGACAAAACAGATTTTACCCAGCCTGCGATTACAGTACGAGAAGCAGCTTTAGCGGGTCCACGGGCTGTTACAAAGAGGTTACTTACTTTTCCTTCTCTACGTCTATCCTTTCCGAATTGTATTAGCTTTCTTACCCATAGTACAGGATCTATATTAGGGTTCCCATTATTCGAGTACAATTTCCAACCTGATTGAGTATAAGACACAGAATCAGTCTTAGAACCGAAAATGGGCCAAAATGTTAAACAGTTAGCTTCAGTGTCATCTATAAAGTTAGAGTCCGATATACTGAGCAGTGTTAGATCATGCACTCTACGCCCAGAACAAAGTAAAAGTAGAGTAGCACAACGTCGTGATATTTCCCACATATTTAGAATAGGCGGGTTTCTACTGGACAACCAAGATATGACAATATTTGTATCCCAAATGTTGGTTTCGACACGATTCTTAGCATAACTAGCCGCGATAGCTTTTAATACTTGTTTCACTAATATATTAGAGCTTAGTTTAGCATTATTTTCGGTAGTACACAAGGTAGCGACTACAGATTTATGAACTAAAATAGTTTTATAAGATAACCTATGTTTAAAATGAAGATCCGCCAAGTATTGTGCTAAATCGGCACCTACTGGATTAATAGGGCTTATATCTGAAGATTGACACCATTTTACCCATCTCTCCCAAGCAGGTTTGTATGTATTAAGGGTGGATTTTCGCCATCCTGCCATCAATAAAGCCTTCTGTTGAGTAGACCATGATTCTACTGCTTCAGACCACCCCCACATTTCCAAACTTCGAGAGTCAGATCTTCTACTTTTGGCGGGGGACGGCCCGTCGACAGATCTATCAATTTCGACTCTAGTTGATAGATTTTGAATGGGGGTGCTATAGCTCGAGCTTTTAAATCCGCTCTCCAAAACGCCTGCGGCCACCTCGGTGCTACTATTAGATATATGCCGACCGCTCGATTGAGATGCATAAGAACTCTTGGCTTTAAGTTCGGAGGCGGAAATATCCACGCTAGTCTGAACTTCCATTCCCAAGCGAACGCATTGTGTCTCCACGCTGCTCGATCCGTTTGATCCAGACTGACATATTTTGGAACAACATGGGCACGACTGGACGCAAATAAATCCACATCCGGGACGCCCCATTTTTGAAATACTGCCTGTGTCAACACAAGAAGAAGGTGCCACTCTGGAATTATCGACTTCCGAGATAGGCGATCGGCAACACCGTTGAGCTTTCCGGGAATATGATGTGCAACTAGATGAATGTTGAATCGATTTAGAATTTTGAAAATTTTGTAAGTCAGGCTCATTAGTGGCACCGATCGACTTCCTCCTTCTTTCCGTAGATACGCTACGACCGACTTGTTGTCGCACTGAAGTAACAACGATGAATGGCTTAGAAGAGGACCGAATTGGTGAAGACACTTCAATATGCTCAACATTTCTTTTTGATTCGAGTGAAATCTGGATTCCTCTCTCGACCATTCGCCCCGTATCTGTACCCCGTTTAATTCTGCTCCCCAGCCGGTCTCGGCAGCGTCTGTCGTTAAGAAGTGGGTCAGAAGTGGAAGGTGAAGTAGAGACGACCTGTCGCAGTTCTGCCTCCACCACTTGAGTTCTTTCATTACCTGTATTGGTAGCGGAGTTTTCTCCTTGACATTGTTTTGAAGCATAGATATGCAATGTTTCAGGAGATAGCGGAAGTTTAATCGACCCTGTGGGACAGCCAGACGGGCAAAATTCATGGTCCCTACTAGACCTTGAACTTCCCGAAGCGTCGCTTGTTGTTGTGTGAGAAATTTTGCTATAGTGGTCTGTAGACCCAGAATTTTCTTCTGTGGCAGGCTTTTCTTGTTGTTCCAGGTATCCCATACTAGACCTAAGTACTCCAACGACCTCTGGGGGACTAGGATTGACTTGGATGTGTTGACGATCCATCCTAACTCTTTTAGAGTTTTGAGAACAACCTGGGTTTGCTCTACCAACTTTGACCTGTTCTGACACACAACTAAAAAATCGTCGAGAAAAACTACAATTCGAATCCCCTGCTCTCTTAGGATTTCTGCTGTCCAATTTGAGAGGCATGCGAATACTTTGGGAGCCGTTGCTAGACCAAATGGCAAAGAGGTCATCTGTAAGAGTTGACCTCTGTACAGCAGTCTTAGAAAACACCGATGAGACGGAGCTATCGGCACATGATAGTAGGCCTGCGTCAGATCGATTTTTATCATCCAGTCGTTCGGCTGTAAAAAGTCCGGAATGCGATGAACCGAGATAAGTCTGAACTTTGTCACTTTTACAAAGTGATTTAGTCTCTTCAGATTGAAAATGAGGCGCAAAGTACCATCTTTTTTCGGTGTTAAAAAGAGGGTGGATAAAAAACTGGGAGTTACGGGTGCATATTCTAAAATTCTTTCTGTAATTAGATTGTTTATTGTTTGATCCATCCTGCAAGTTGGTACAGTCTGATACCGATTGTTGGTGAGGTGCGGTAAAACAAGCGGGGGCTGTGCTTTGAAAGGAATTTTGTAACCTGTTATAATGTGCAATAAGGGGGTCGGTGCGCCTAACCTTTTCCATATCTCCCGGAACATCCCTAATCTGCCCCCCCAAAACGTCTGTTTTTTGTCAAAAGTTCTTACCACCTCTCCCTCTTCTTTTGACGCTAATGTGTTGGTTGGATGCGCCGTGTTGATTAAATGATTTCCTAGGGTTACTCGGGGCTTGTGGACCCGCGGTAAATGATTGTGGCTTGTATTGAGGTCGAAAAAGCCGCTGATTTCCAGCATAAGCTGGAAAATTGTAATTAAATGCATAGGGTTGCATAGGAGCATACGACCTATACGGATATTGAGGGGCTCTACATTGTAATGCAAACGGTGCTGTGGGGCGACCGGTTTGATTGTAACTACTGGATCCAGGTTGCGCAGCCTGAGATGTACCAGTACTTCTCTTCTCTTGCGCAGAGAAGGAAGGCCTTGAAAATATTTTATTAATGCCCCCATTATTATTTAAAAAGTCTGAAAATTGCTCTTTACTGAATAAAAAATCACAGGATGGAGGTATCTTTTTTAAGGTAGCTTTTAGAAATTTATCTTTTACTAAATTCAAGAATGCTTCTCGTCTTTGTTCAATAATATCGGCTCGACGCCCACAAAGCAATTGTAAACAATCAAGAGATATCTTTTGAAATTCACCCGAAAATATATCTTTAATTTTTTTTACCAGATCGTCTTTAACAAAATTATCGGTATCTTGTACCCACTGCAGTAAATCAAATACTCCTGATTTTAAAGCATCGCTTTGCATAATTATGCCATGCGTAATTGCGCCTAAAGACCTATCTGTTGTAACTAAATTATTTATTTTATCAAACTGTTTAATTTCATCGTTCACCTCAAGTTCAACAAAACCTGGTCTGGCATTATATAACTTTTGAATTTCGGAGTAACGAACGTTAGTCCAATTTTCAGAATTAAAATGTTGAAATGAATTTAATAATTGTAAATGATCGGAAGACGTACTCAATACTGTAGGTTCTTTTAAACTCGTTTTTAAATTAAAATCAAATTTAATGGCCGACTCGGCGGGTACCTCAACTGAATGTGCATCCTGTTGGGTTGGCACCAGATTTTCTACATGTGTTTCTAATGGGTGATGATACCCGGGGTCAGCGGGGTACCAACCCGACGGAGGATATGCATTGGAAGCCAAATAATTTTGAATTTGACTTACTTGTTCAGCAAGGTGTTCTAATACCTTACTCTTTTTCTGACATCCTACCTCCCTCCTAGACAACTTTCGTTTACGACGTTGCGGCGGATCCTCTTCGCCGCTGGTAGACGAGGACGACGTCAGCTCGCCCTCATGTACACTTTTATCACGCACATTTTCATCACTTTCCGACATTATTTCGTTTTTTATTAAGAAATACGCACTTTGAAAACAATTACGATAAACTGTAGGTAGTTTAACAAAACCTTTTAAACGATATTTACACTAAATCACAGAATTACAGAACAATTTATATTAACTAACTACAACGTAACATAATTTGAAAAATTCTAGAAAAATTATATTCCTCGAACGCTAACAGCGTTAAATAAACACTTTACGGCACGAAAATCAAGACGCCAATGAAGAGGAACTCCAATGGCCTGGTGAACATGGCGGCCGGAAGTTGTCATATTTTCTTAAATTAAAGGGAACTACAACGACTAAAAGCGGCCGGAAACGGAAGATGTCATCTCAATATTGTTTATTAGGCCTCGAATAACGGCGGAAGGACATAATACGCAAATGCAGTAGATGTATGCAGCTATAATGAAAGGCACATTTGTGAAAATTTAGTAACCTTCTTACGCCAGATGACGCAAGACTGGCAAATTACACACAATGTCACATGTGTTGTTATCGACAATGCCGCTAACATCCAAGCGGCCATAAAATTGGGCGAGTGACGTCCTGTGGGTTGTTTTCCTCACAGCTTATACCTAAGTCTAAAAAAAGCATTTAATAAAAAAATTACAAATAAGATGGAGTAACAAAATGAACCAAAAAATCGATCGGCAAGATCCGTATACTTAACCTTTGATATATTCTTAACTCAAATTCATTAGTGGAACTAGCGCCCGGTCTAATACAGCCTTGCAACGTCATATCTTAACGGTACCTTCAATTGTCCAAAAAAAAACAAAAATCCGTAAAAATAGGTTATATTCCTGTAAATTAAAAAATAAATAAATCAATAAATACTCTTTACATTTTTCTTCAACCAAAACTTTGACCACCATTATCTTCTATCTATTGCGCAAAATAAAAAAATAAAAAAACACAATTTTCGTCGCCCTTTTAATATAAACACAATAATACAATATATTAACAAACAGAGTTACGTCGAAACAAATTAGACGATATACAACCTTTATACAAAAATTATCAAAAATATATTATTTTTCGACATCTAAAACTTAAAACAATAACGTAAAAAAAGTCACGTAGATACATTTAAAGAACTAATGAATAAAAATAGTTATATAAGGCATATTTAACACATCACTAACTAATACAGCCGCAGATATAATAACATTTCATTAGCAAAATTTTACAACGGTTTTATTTAAAAAAATATATATGGATGAATATTTTGAGACATTTCCAAAATTTGTGAAAAAAATAAATATACATCAAATTAAATTTAAATTAATTAAACGACAATGGCATAAGAAATTTTTTATTATTCATCACAGATAATGAAATATTTCCCTTATTAAGTCTAAGCGGAACATATGTTTAACCGACTTCCAAACAAAAGAGGTTGTCAATTCATGTATACTTGTATGTTAGTCGAATCCCTAAAATCTGCTAAAGTAAGAAATTCAATACGACTTATAAAATATAAACCCACATTAAATAAGACACCTTATGCTTATAATTTACGTAATCCATTAAAAAAATAACTTGTTTTTGTATTCCTTTTGCTATAAAGTCGGCTTTTTTATCTATAAAGACTTGCGATATTCGGTAAATTAATTTTAGGCCTAATGACTGAATTATTTTTTTTTTGTTCTTTTTTTTATTATCTATGTAATAATTATTTACATGGCACTGGTACGGAACAGTAAAGAAAAAAAAATAGCGACGAACAAAAATAGCCTATATGCATTCAGCCCTGTATAACGTCCCACTGCTGGGAGTGGGCCTCCCTTCAATACGAGGGGGATCAGGCCATAGTCCACCAAGCTGGCCAAGTGCGGGCGGACTGAGCGCTTCTTTCGACAACTTGCTAAGTTCTCTCAGATCTGCTTGTTCATTTTTACCATAAACCATATGGACATATTAAGTTACCAAAAGTGGGCTACAAAACAATAGCTATTGGAGCAATAAGTATAATGCAATCATATAGGCTATTTTATTATTTAAAAGCAGTGGAGCAGTGGTAGCCCAGTGTAACGCGCTTTCTTGGGAAACCGAGTGAAACGGGTTCAAATCTCGGGTCTCGCACCGCCTATATTTTCTTATGCGAATCATTTCCAACATGATCACCACTTGTCTTACGGTGAAGGAAAACATCGTGAGAAAACCTGCATGTCTGAGAGAACCTAGTAAGTTTTCGAAAGACATACTCAGTCCGCCCGCATTTGTTCAGCGTGTCTAACCCCTCGTATTGAAGGTAACCTACCCCCCAGCAGTGGGACAATAAAAAAGGGCGGAATACAGGACGAATTTGCGCAAGCCTTTATTTATTTATTTTTACAAAATTGCTTGAGACAATAAATGTATAGTTGTGCGTGTTCAACTAAAATTAAGAAAGGCACTCATGACTAAGACGATATTTTTTTGTTCTTTTTTTATGAACAATGAAAATATTTATACATATTTTTTTAAATACATAAATATTTCATTTCATTTGCACTTTAAACGTTTTCTTCTTTTTTTTTTGAGAAATTTAAAAATATTGTATTTTCGTTAAAACTTCCTAATCGTTTTTGTAAGATTTTTTTGCTCCCTTTTAAATGTGCATTTACGAAGAAATAAAGCTATATATTTTAAAAATATGTATAAATATTTACATTAATTTTTCATTAGTTATTAAAAAAATATACTAAATTCCATTGGCACGATGTTTAAAAATTAATTTATTTACAGTATTATTTATATACAAACTATACAAAAAAATAATTAAAAAATAGAATAACGTTTCAAGTCCAAATATATCATCATAATATATACGTATGTAATGTTGTTTTAAAATAAAACCCAGATAAAATAGAAAAAGATCTGACAACTCTCAAGTGAAAAATCGATTTATAGTAATAAATCGATTGCTATACATACGATACATAATAATCGATTACTTTTGCAAATTATTTAATTAAAATAAATTTAGAAACTACATACTACTATATATTATAATATTAATAATAAAATATAATAAAAAATTATTATTCCTTATTTCAATTTTAAATGAAGAAAAAAATGTCAAATCTTTTTCTATCAAAACTGCATCATAAAAATTATAAACATCAAAGTTATCACAAAAAATGTCATAGATAAAAAAGTATTTTTTTTCCTTATCTTTATTTTTACACAAAATACATGCGCGAGTTAGAATTTTTTTTTCAAGTTTTCAATTGATTTTTCTTTCTACCTACAATTGAATACAAATAATTTGGTTCACTATCTATCAGTTAGGTTATTTACACACTTTCAATACGTTTAAATTATTTTCACTAACTAGACGAAGCGTTTGCATATTTAGTTTTAATCTATCACTATTTTTTATCTATATTTTATGTACACAGATAATATCCTAATATTATTACCACAGTACCATAATAATTAAAAAATAAAAGCAAAGGTATCGATATATGACCTATTTTCCGTCGCCGGATGGTGAAAAAAAATTATGTCATACGATTTAATCTTTTCTTTGCATATTCTGACATAACAGAAAAAAAACGACAATGAATTACCAAGGTTCGTCTCATAAATAATAATAATAATAGGAAATACGCGTGTGATTTAAATAAAGGTGAAATATTTTTTTTTATAATCTTTATTGCTTTAGAATTAAACCTATGTCTATGTATGTATGTATAATTTCTTTTTGATTACGAAAATAATTATTAAAAAGTTCATATATTTTCAAGATTCAAAGTCATCAGAGTATATCATAACAGAGCGATTAGCGATTTTGTCACTACATATACTGTGACGTCACGTCAAGCGCGCGAAATGGCGGGCGTTTAAAGTATCCGTATCGGCATGATATTTAAAAAATATATATACAGAATTTTAGTTTTTTATAGCTGGATATATTTTTTTTACAATTATATAACGATGTTAGCTATTGTATAAAAAAATAAAATCACGCATGTTGCTTGTAGTAGTTTTGTTTTCTTTCATATACATATATATTATCAGACTCACAGTCTACTTTCAGTATATGTTAATAAGATATCAAATCGTATGGCATAATCTTTTTTGTTACTTTGGGGTGGAAATTGGGCCTTATCGATATACCCTCCCTTTAAACAGTAGGTAATTGACGATAATCGAAACTAATATTACACACGTATTTGCTTCTAATGCTTATTTATAAACTTCAAATATTACGGGATAGACATGAAAAAAAAAACTTTTCATTAATCTATATAAATAAAAATGAATCACCGAAATGTATGTACGCGCATTACTTCCGATCGACTGCGCCAAATTGTGTTTGTGTATGAAGAAAATTAAAAGTTTTTTTTTTACTAACACAAGATTTTTTTGCCTTGGGAGTGACATAAGATACTTTTTATCCCGGAAATCATGCCTCAAGGAGGTGAAAATGAGGATGAAAGTTTGTATGTGCAAACAACCTAGTAGGATAATAAATTACAATCAGCAATAATAAGCTACATTACTGTCGAGTGCTATCCATAGTTTGTGAGGATGTTTGTTACTCTTTCACACAAAAACTAGTGAATGGATTTTAATGAAACTTTACAATAACTACATAGGCAACTTTTTTATACCGGAAAATTGTACGGTTGCCGTGGGATAGGTATTGTTTTTGTTTGATTATAAATATGAAAGTTGGTGGGGGTGGCTGGATGGATGTTTGTTACTCAATCATGCTAGAATAGCTGAACAGATCTGGATGAAATTTGGCACAGAGATAGATTATAGTCTGGAATAACACACAAGTTACTTTTCATCCTGGAAAAATGTACGATTGACACAATTTGTGTGAAGCTCATGTCAAATAAATATCTCCGGTAAGGAAAACTATAGATAGATAGATTATTGAGAACCGCCATAATAGATCTATGGAAATGACATCGAAGCATTATGTCACGTGTTTTTTTAGCGATTAGCAATTGTGATTATAGAAATAGAACTTTTCTCACTACAAAATATGTCTATTCCGTAATATTTATATGTATATGTTATTATTTACGAAGAAACAAACAAATATTACCTAAATTAAGCGATATATTGCCAAAATTAATAATGCATCTTCTATAACATTCCGCTATTAGAAACAAATATAAAAAATAACTAAAAAAAAAACGAAAATCAGTTCAAATAATTGTCACTAGATGGCGTCATATGTTTGGATTTGATTAAATTAAAAAAAAAATTCTAAAAACGTACATTCTAATCATAAAAGCCCCATAAGCATAGAAAAATGAAATAATAGGCTCTCAAATCAAATTGTCAAATCAAAATGTCTACTGAACATTGAAAAATCAGCCATTACCATTGATATACAAAAACGCATGGTACACAAATAGCGTATCAAAAGTGTCCTCAAAAAGAAGTGCACAATCCGAAATTGTGCGCTCTTTTCAAATCTTCTTTTGTTCATTGCTGACCGATTGCTTTTGCGGATGACAAAATTAAAACGCACGTTGTTTCGTTCAAAAGAGTATTTTATGTTGATTGCGTAAGTTCGAATTTGTGTTTAGACAATTAGAATTTTGCCTTTTCGAATTTTTTCGCGAATTTATTTTGATTTTTGCTTCCCGATATTTCGAATGCTTTACAGCAATCATGATTCACGGGAGAGACTAAGGTTATAGACGTCTCAAAGGCATTATATAGTTGTTACAAACATTGTTATTTTTATTTAAAATGTCAAATATTCGCGTAAATCTGATAAATCTGATTATAATTTTCAATAATGTTAAAATTTATTACATTGGAATATAAGATAGGTATTAGCCGCATTTTCGCTCTCTCTCTCTCTCTCTTTCTCTCTCGCTCTAGAGAGTGTAGTCAATTTCATGAGAGTATTGCTCAGTCCATTCTGTCTTGGGCATGTCATTCAATATCTCCTGTACGTAATTTACGTTACTATAAAGTTTCAATTTCAAGTACTGCAATATACCTTTTAAGACTAAAACAATAAGGTAGACGGAGCATATAGAACAATAAAAGTGAAGCCAAACGAAACTTATGTATGAAATCTATTGTGTTTAAAAATTAACTGATTTTAAATTTAGTATTATAATATTTTTATTTATATAATATATATTTGTATTTAAAATATATAATATATTTTAAATTTTAAATACAAAAACAATCAAGTTTCTATGGAAACGTGTTAAAAGTAAAACTTCATTGGTTATTTATATTTCTAATCTGTAAGATTAATAAATCAATAAAAACTATTAATAAATAATATTATACTACTCACTACAAAAATATGATTCAAACGAACATCACACAAAGAGGAGAGAATAATGTTCTGTCTCTTTCTATCTAGCTGGATTCTTACATCTATCGCGTATACTCTAAGGGACGAACCTGAGCGAAGCGAAGACAATAACAACGGTTACTATGGCAACCTAATGCAAGCGGTTACTATGGCAACCATGACGGTTTCACGTGACGCGACCTTGAAATTGCGCGCAAAGAAGTTATAAAATCGCTGATAAATTTGATTATTTTTACAATACTAAAAAGCTCAGCTTGGCTACTAATTACAATACCATTTCCTATCTCAACCCATCTCCTGTTCACGCTCCATCTACCTTATCTTTTTTGGTTAGAGTGTACCTTATAAGTTGAGGCCTCTTAAGTTTTTTAACCTATCCTCTAAATCCTCTACGCTGTCATCTCTGGGCCACGGGTCGGCTTTCTTTCTCTCTCCGCCGGGCGCCATTTGAAACTTAGTGCTATTCTTCCCCGGACTATCTGAACTGGAAATAAAGAAAATAATCATAAATAATATTATAATATAAAAGTTGTTAAAATTTCTGTTTGTGCGCGGGTGTGTGTGTGTGCGTATGTGTGTGCGTGTGTATGCACGTGTGCGTGTGTTTTACTCCTTCTTGCTGAAACAGCTAAACAGATTAGAATGAAAATCAATGTCCTGATTCAATTTTGAATATTGCTTTACAAATACAGAAAGATTACTACCGATAAGCTATTTTTTACTAATAAAAAATGTCTTTATTTACACAACAATAGAATTAATAATTAATAACAACCTGTAACCAAATAAACTAAAAAACCTAAACCAATAAAAAAAAATATGTTTCTTTTTAAATTATCGCGTTTCATAAATATAGTATATAGGGGATCAAGGTATATAGCCACTTACGAATTCACTCGTTAAGTCCCGTAGTGTATTATAAAATAAGTTTCATTAATAAAATCAATTCAATTTTGTTATATATATATATATATATATATATATATATATATATATATATTCATAGACAAAATAGAAAATATGTAAGTATTTTCAATAGAGAATGTTTTACAATGGAGCGTGTTTAGTGTATAGTATACGCGCGCGCACACCGTCACGGTATTTGGGGCGGGTTTATCTTGCCAATAGATGTTTCACATCGAAAGAATGGCTGTTGAGTTATTTTATCGCCAACTAGAAAAACTAGAAATCAACTAAGAAAGTCTACTTTCATCTATTTATCTGTATCTATACTAATATCATACAGAGGCAGAGTTTGTTTGTTTGAACGCGCTAATCTGAGGAAGTATTGATCTGATTTGAAAAATTATTTTTGCATTAGTTAGCCTGTTTGTTGAGAAAGGCTATAGTCTATATATCACCATGCAACTACCCAAGGGAGTGGAGCAGTAATCATAAATGTCAACAAAACCGGGCAGACTTCCATACATTATTGTAAAACTATATATAGATTTATTTTTGTTTTCCTAGAGGCGGACCCGAGCGAAGCGAGGGTGAGTCGCTAGTATATAATAAAACAGTAACTTAGCGAAATCTTTGTGTGTGTTTCAGGCAAAAAGTACTGAACCGATTTTAACTAAATTTTGTATAGTGATAACTTAGTACTCGGGTCAACATTTAGGATACCTTTTACTACTGGAAAAAAAATCATTCCCATGGGAAAACACAACAAACAACTGGTCTACAAATAAAGTATCCCACGTGATACTCACTTAGAATACGAAGTGCTAGCCGAGAACTCATCCCGACTGCTGTACAGCCACACCCCGTCCCCCTCATTGTGGTCCCTCACCTGGAACTCGTTGCCGTAGTGGCGTGGGGGAGTTGTGAAATCTACGTTTAGCGACTGACCTGGAAAGGAAATCTATATATATAAAATAAAAATTGATGTGTGTATGTATGTTTTGAACTGAACTAAAGGACGATAATCTGAAGATTGCTTAAAAAATTTCATCAAAATCGCTCCAGCCGTTTCTGAGATCAGCCGTAACAAACAGACGAGCAGACACCCAAAGAATTTAAAAATAGTTTTTTTCTTATAAGTATATTTGTCCATTCTAATTTTTTACTATTTTCATTATACCCACTGTAATAGTTTTGTAACTCTGTGGTAAATTCTTCCATTTCCCAATTTGACAGTTTCACTTTGATAGATTATAAATTATAATCTTCCCAAAAATAACGCGTTAAATTGTAAGCAGTATGTTACGGTTCACAATCTGTCGACAGTTTACAATCTAGCGAGAAAGATTATAACTCAACGATATTTACAATTTTATGTCTCGTATGTCTATAGTTTCATATGCATTTAGTAAAAAGCTGTTACTTTGACATAACAAACATACACTTAAATTTTATTATATATATATATACTAGCGGACCCGACAGACGTTGTCCTGTCTACACGTCTTTAATTTGAAAATTTCAAACTTTTTTTAATAAGCTAAAACATTCTGGACCATTTTGATGAAAATTATTATTCAAATTGTGAATCTAAACCATTCCCAGATCCCCTTGAACACACACAAAAAATTTCATCAAAATCGGTCCAGTCGTTTGAGAGAAGTTCAGTGACATACACACTCACACAAGAATTATATATATAAAGATATATATATATATATATATATATATATATATATATTTATACATTACCTGGATGTATCCTATCATCTTGGCGCAATTCCACATACTCCTTGGCCATATTGGCCAAGGTCTCGTCCAATTCACTCGACCACGTCTGCGAAGTGCTTGATAGAGACTCGGACGACGGCGGATACCAGGCTTGGGAGGGCTTCTCTTTTTCCTCTTTCGGTTTCGACTTCAGAGATGCTTCTGTAAAGTAAAATGTTGTTTTTTTAAAAATATCCCACATTGTCATTGCACATAACTGTCACATTACAATTAAAAATACTAAAGTGTGTGTATGTATGTGTGTGCGTATGTGTGTTTGTTCATCTTTCACGTTAATATGATTGGAAGGGTTTGGATGAAATTTAATATACAGATATGACCTTTTTTTTCTTTAACGTTTGGAAATTCATTTATGCATACCACCTGTATACATACAGGTGGTTATGTGGGACTCACCAGCTAGAGAAGCCAGTACTACCCAATAAAACCCAAAAAAACCTTCCCCCGTCTTAATGGTTCGTCGCAGGATCGCTTACGCACTCAACTACGACGATAACTATATATAATATTAATATATAAATAGGGTACAAATCACCCTCGCTTCGCTTGGGTTCGTCGCTAGGTTGCATCCCCATACAAACATTCATCCCCATTCTCACCCCTTTAAGGGCTGATTTCCGGGATAAAAACTATCCTATATCCTTTCCAGGGTCTCAAACTATCTCCTTACCAAATTTCATCTAAATCGGTTCAGTAGTTTCAAAGCCTATTCAGTACAAACAAACAAATCTTTACTCTTTATAATATTAGCATAGATAAACCAAAACAATACCCAAAGCCTCAGCCAGCGCTGCCCGAGGACCATCTTCCACACCCAGGTTGTTCAATTCTGCAAGCATCTGTTCCTCTCCATCGAAGACGAAATCCCTTTCCCTCTTCCCTTGGGGGAGGGTCGATGGGGGGGATGGAAGGTTTGGTTGTGGAGCTAAAATAAAAATTACAATTAAAAAATATACAGTAACGAATAAAATGAGACTAAATTTAAACACTTTAATTTTATTAGATATTATGAAAGTTTCACTGTTCTTATGAAAGTTGTACTTGTTCTAGTTGAAATAAATATACAACAATGTAAAGGCTTAAAGGCGGTCTCACCAATTGAAGCATCATCCCACCGGGGTGTGGAAGTGAAAGGGACAGAGAGTGCATGTTGTGTGTCTCTCTCACACACGCCTGCACTATAATATCTAATGCACTGGCTAGTCTCAGTGAGATAGGCCGTCGTGGCAGAAATCAGTCTGGAGGATATTATGTATGTATGTATATATGTATGTGTGCATGTATGTATGTAGGGGCATAATACTATACTCACTTTTCTCCTTCGCTTTACCCGGAGTACCACCAGTGTTGCCTGACCCCGACAACAGATCACTCAACTCTTGCTCCAAGTCCGTAGTGTCCAAGTCATCTATGTTACCACTCAAGGCCTTCTCTACTTCGTTATAGCTTTCCATCACCTGAAAAAAAAAATTGTTTAAAGAAAAAAAAAATATAAAGCTTATTACACCATATTTAACAGATGTTCTCTTCTCTCAGTACATCGATCAAAAAAGTACTAAATACACAATCAGCAACAAAAAATGTCCTCCGCTCATTTAAACATTTGAGCGCGCTTTTGATTTAGTACCTTTACATCTATACAGATAAATAAAATTGAAGAGTCTGTTTGTGATGTCAAAATAGTAGCTTTTACTAAACGCATATGATATTATATACGGTACTTATAAGAAAAACACAACTTTTAAAATTTTTGTCTGTCTATATGTATGTCTGTCTGTTTGTTCGGCTAATCTCCGAAACGACTGGACCGATTTTGACGGGACCTTCATTGGCAGATAGCTGATGTTGTAAGGAGTAACTTACGCTACTTTTATTTTAGAAAAAGAATTAGGATTCCGTTTAAAAAAACTTAAAACGTACCTAGGGACTATATGGAGAAGTGAATGTAAGTCTTAACATAGTATAAAATGAAGTCGCTTCCGCTGTCTGTTCGCTTAGATCTTATAAACTACTTGACGAATTTTGATGCAGTTTTCAGCAAATAGATAGAGTGATTCAACAGGAAGGTTTATATTTATAATACATGCATATTGTAGTACAGAAAAGCCGAGAAATTCAAATATTTGTATTTCATACTAACCGTTAAAACGTACTTAGGGACGAACCCGAACAAAGCGGGGGTGAGTCGCTAGTTCATTATAAAAATAAAACAAACAATATAGTCAAGATTTTATATAATAGGTAAAAATACAAACCTCTTTAAGTTCATCCATGGTGTCAAAGACTGCATCTTCTTCTAAACCGCCTTCTTTCATACTCTGTTTCATGGCTTGTGAGCTTTTTCTGAAAAAAAAAATTTTTATCAATTAAAAAAAAAACATTTAAGAAAAAAAAAACAATGCATGCTTTTGTATGGACCGGTGACATCATTTTTATTTTCTTTCACCAGTAATGAAACTTAGATCATAATCAGCAGACTGTGTAACAAATACATTAAAGAACCAATTCGCTAAACCATAACGAACCAGAGATATTGTGTTTGCTATTCCTTTTAATCAGGCTTTATCTATACAGATAAATAAAATTGAAGTGTCTGTTATAATTTCAAAATAACAGCTTTTTACTGAATGCATATAAAAATATATACGGTGCTCATAAGAAAAATACATTTTTTATAGTTTTGTCTGTCTGTTTGTTACGCCTAATCTCCCAAACGGCCAGACCGATTTTGACGGGAGTTTCACTGGCAGATAGCTGATGCTATAAAGAGTAATTAAGGCCACTTATTTTAAAATATAATTAGGGTTCCGCGTAAATAAATTAAAATTAATGAAATAACAAAAAACCGGCCAAGTACGAGTCGCAGTATAAGTAACACCAACCTGTATGTATCAACGACAACATTATTGATGTCAGTGTTACGCGTCTGTTGTAGAAGCTCCTTAATATTTTCGAGGGCCGCTTCACATTTCTCTAAACGTTGTTGGGCTCTGAGTTTTCTCCTCAAATAGTTTTTGGCCTGCAAATATTATTATTTCAAACATTTATTAATAATAAATATTTATCTTTTTATTTATAAACTTGTTTGCTTCCCCATACAAACTTTCATCCCCATTCTCACCCCTTAAGGGATGATTTCCGGGATAAAAACTATTTCACTCACTCACTTTTCATATCAAATTTTTAAAAAAACTAATTTTAGTAAAAAAAACTTATATTTTTATTCTATACAATTTGTCCTGACAATAACAAACACAAAAAAAAGAATAATCCAATTTGGTGCAGTCGATCGGAAGTTATGCGCGTACATACATTTCGGTTATTCATTTTTATTTATATAGAAGATAGATATACATATTATGTAACTCGAAAAGGTATAAAACCTATATAGCATTGTAAAAAATCTGACATTTTTTTTTCAAGGTTGCGACACACTGGGAAGAAAATACAGCGATCTTTACCTCAAAATATTTCAGAAACGCGACATCTTAGAACATCATATTGCGCATATTATTTGTTTGTTAAAGTGTCATCTATATATTCATACCAGTTTCATCACGCGCCGATACTTAAAAAAAAAAACAAAATGGCGGCATGTTGCTAATCGCAGATTCTATAGAAAAATGTCACAATTCATTATTTTTAGGGTTCCTTACCTCAAAAGGTAAAAATGGAACCCTTATAAGATCACGCTCTTGTCCGTCTGTCTGTCCGTGTGTCATCACCGATTTTCTCAGAAACGGGTATACCTATCAAGTTGAAATTTATAAAAGATACTGAGGTCTATAGTCCCTATTAGGTGTATAAAAATCAAGGTCCTGAGTCAACACGTTAAAAAGATATGGGCAAATTTAGATTTTCGTGAAAACTTGTAAGTACCAAAATTTACCTTAGTTTTCAACATTTTTATTTTTATGTATTCTCCCTTTACTTGTGCTGTAAGACTTTGCTTTTAACCAAAATTGACAATTCTAGGTCAACCGGAAGTACCCTATAGGTTTTGGGTCGAAAACCTATAAGGTAGTTCCCGTTAACCTAGAATCACGAAATTTGGTAAAGAGCAAGGTCTTACAGCACAAATAACTTCGTCATTGTACTTCTGTTATAGGTGTTTATATTTATAATATGTATTTAAAATTATACATGTATAGTGTATCAACTATCTGGTATCCATAACACAAGCCTAGTAAGTTACCATGGAACTAGATAGTGATGTGTATTAATCCAAAAAAAAAGGAAAAATTCACAAAAATAAATAAAAAATAGTAGAAAATTAAAGTTAAACAGATTTCCTACAAATTTGTATGGAACCCTCGGTGGGCGAGTCCTTTAATATTTTTCATATCATAGATGATACAATACAGAAGTACAGATGCCTCAGCCCATAGGGAGCAATTGGATTTTTTCGATTTATTTTCAAGGGCTTTTATTACAAAAATATGCCCTACCTTAGTCTAAAATTATATTGCAATGCATTCAGCCCTTTTTATCGTCCCACTGCTGGGCGTGGGCCTCCCTTCAATACGAGGGGGATCAAGCCACAGTCCACCACGCTGGCCACGTACGGGAGAACTGCACATGTCTTTCGAAAACTTTCTAAGTTCTCTAAGACATGTAGGTTTCCTCACGATGTTTTCATTAACCGTAAGACAAGTGGTAATCATGTTGGAAATTATTCGCACATGAAAATATTAGAGATGCGAGACCATTTGAACACGCTTCACTCAGTTTCTTAAGCGAGCGCGTTACCACTGGGCTACCACGGCCTTTATATTTAAAGTAGCAACACTAAACAAGATTTCTAATAAAGCTTCAAAATAAATTCACGAAAAAAATCGAAAAGAAACATATCACTTGGTAGTTCACAATATGTGAATATAAAGATATAAAATAATACAGTAAGACCAATAACCTCAATCGACCAAAAAAGTACTAGATACACATAATACTTTCTTAGATTTACGCGAATATTTGACATTTTAAGTAAAACTATCTTTTCGGATTTTGTCGCGGGTTTATTTGCATTTTAAAAATTTAAAATGCAAATAAACCCGCGACAAAATCCGAAAAGATAGTTTTATTTAAAATACTAGATACACAATCAGCGACAAAAAATGTCCTCACGGAATGAGCGCTCATTTGAACATTTGAGCACGCTTTTAATTTAATTCTTTATTTTTTTGAGAAAACAACTTTAAGCATTGCATTTAAGGTTCAATTTACATTTTTGTATATTTATTCCAACTAGAACAATTACCTAAACACAATTGGTGACAGTTTTAAGAGAACTTTTGCATGGGATTGTGCATCTAATACATTTTCGATCGATGATATCCTCCTATTTAATCAGTTAAGACCACTCACCATAACTTTATTCCCTAACTTCATGGCCGCTCTCGCTTCCCCATCTGCGACAGAAACGTCGCGCGACAGTCGCGTCGCGTCCGCCGACAGTCGCGTCTCGGCCGACATCAGCTTGACTAGCGCTTCGTCTAACTCTGACACCGGCGTCACTTTCTTATTGGGCTCCGCTGGAAATATGTAACATTACATTGGTTTAATACTTACTAATGATATATAATCTATACTAATATTATAAAGAGAAAACTCACAAAGTTTTCTCTTTATAATATTAGTATATAGAGACATTGGAGGAGGTAATCTCTGGATCTACTGAACCGATTTAGATGAAATTTGGTAGGAAGATAGTTTGAGAGCCTGGGAAGGACATAGGATGCTTTTCCCGGAAATCTTCCCTTAAAAGGAGTGAAAATGGGTGTGATATATAATAGTTTTACAATAATGTATGAAAGTATGTCCGATTTGTTGTCATTTATGATTACTGCTCCGCTCCCATGGGTAGTAGCATGATGATATATAGCCTATAGCCTTCCTCAATAAACGGGCTATCTAATGCAAAAATATTTTTTCAAATGAAGTTCCTGACATTAGAGCGATCAAACAAACAAACTCTGCTTCTTTATAATTTTAGTATGGAAATATAGATTTGTTCATATGACCAATTTACTGAAAAAAAATCTGTAGTAGACTTAGAAATAAAACTTTGTTTTTAAAATAGATGAAAAAAAACTCTACTGTAATGTAACTCGATACCTCCACGGGTTTCTGAGAGAAAAGGTCTTGACAGACCGAAGTATGGAGCCCTAAAAACATTATTTCTTACCAAGTTTGACTACATCTCCACTCTTTACACACATGCCTTGAGACACCAAGTAACCCAACAGCACCTCAAAGACTTCTTTGTTAGTATAACCGCAGGTCCTCATCAGCTCCTCTATAGTACCAATACGTTCTGCACCTGGAGGAAAGCTGTTTAGAAGGTCTGTTGCTTGCTCCTGAAAAAATTATACACTAGTATTATAAAAAAGTATGTATGTATGTTACTTCTCAATGGTGAAATTGCTGGATAAATTCAGATAAAATTATGGTACACAGACAGTACAGTGGTACTGTTAGGTATGCATATAAATTAAAAAAAACTGTGTTTTTTCATGCTTGTCTCAAAATTTACTGAACAGATTTTCATATACTTTTTCACAATAGAAAGATGGATTATCTAATTGTATTGCTACATATATATGTACATATAATGATTTTGTTATATTTGAAATCTATCTAAATAAAAACAAATGAATACATGTATGTGTGTACTCACAATAAAAAAAAAACAAAATCTCTTACCCTAACTGCACTTTCCAATACAAATCTCTGTGTAGGATCTATACTCGCTTTTGGCAGACCGTTAGAGTCCATGACTTGTCTTGCTGGAAGTAGTGATGTGACAGCTGTTAAGGCAAAGGCAGCTGGCCTGAATGCCAGACGTGCACCCCATTTTACCCATCCCTCCGGACCATTGTATAGAATTTGTTGGTATTTGGACATAGGAGAGAGTTCTCCTGAGCTGAAATAATATATACAATTGATTAAAAAAACTACAAATATATAGTAAGTACTAGCAGAAACCGCGGCATCGCTCGCGCTAAAACTACAAAAAAGAAATCTCTAAGAAGGTAGTTTCATACAAACTTTCATCCAATATTTTACCCTTCTAAGTTCTGTAGGATCAATTTCGAAAAATGCTAAAACACGTATTTATTTGATTTTATTGAAAAGCATTAATACCAAGTTTCAAGTAATTCTGATCATAAATATTTTTTTTAATTGTATTATAACGTGTTTTCTCGTGGGAATGAGATAATCTCCCGCGATAAAAAGTAGCCTATGTCACTTTCCAGCCCTTCAACTATCTCCACACAAAAAATCACGCCAATCCGTCACTCCGTTTCGACGTGTAAGAAGGACAAACAAACACACTTTCACATTTATAATATTAGTATGGATTACACCCATAACATTTTTTTTTCACAAAATCACACACAAATCACAGTTCCTAATCAATCACCAGATGGTAATAAAATAATGAAATATTTATCAAAAACATATTTTGTTTTTATTATTTAATTATAATTTGTCAGTAATGTGAGAAGTTTGAAAATCATATAATAATATCAAAATTATGTTTTTTTTTAAATATATATTTTTAGTGTTAGAAAATAAAAAAAGAATCGTTTCATCTTTCTACTGATTATGATTATAAATTCATCTAAAATTAGGATTCTGCTATAAACTTAAGACTGTAAATGATTCTAATTTTGACATATAATTACATAAAATGGGGAGCATACTAATAAAAAGAACAGAATAGTAAGAATCTTTAGACATCTTGCGAAATACAATAATCATTAGACCATCTAAATTCTCTTAATTGGTTTAGAAATATAATATATGTTTTAGAAATTATAACTGTAAAATAAAAACTAACGACATACCTCAACATCACCTACCATACAAGTGGTGTTACAGACTAAAAATCGTATCTTATATATAAAGATAATATTCTATCATAGACATAGAAAATGGATTGAACAATACTCTCACGAAATTGACCACTCTCTAGAAAGAGAGAATGCGAACGTGCGGCCAATGATCTCTCTTTTATTTCAATTTATAAATGGAATGTAAAAAAAATATAATATTATTGAAAATTATAATATTATAATGGAATGTAACATGGTTATAAATATCTATCTTCATTAACACAGAAAGCTTCTGGCCGCACATTCATTTTGTCTCTGTCGCGCCTGTCCGCCATGTTTAGCTGACGGCTGGCAAGTGGCAAAGAAGCAGTCCACTCTCTATGTCTATGTATTCTATGCACAAATATCAATCACAGATATTAAATTGAATACAAAAATTATTATCACATTTAAAGATTATAAATAAAGTCAACTTATAATAATTTCAGATAATATTTGTTTTTATTGATGACAAGGTCCAAAGTCAGTAAGTTCTAAGTATTTTAAGGTTCAAGGGTATTTATATATTAATCTATACATAATATAATACAATTATAACTAAGCCGAATCTGTACATAAAATATTTTTCGGAAAATTTTATTGAAATAAACATTATTATCGATACAGGCCGAATCTATACTTTTTAGAATTTTTGTCTGTCTGTCTGTTACCGCATCACAGATAAACCACTGGAGTGATTTAGATGAAATCTGGTATGATGATAGCTGGTTGTCCGGGTCAACATATAGGATACTTTTTTCCGCGGTAAAATATCTCATTTCTGAGAAAAAAATACAAAAACTGCAATGTAATAGTATACCTACTAATATGTAAAACCTAAGAATTTGGTTTTTGGTCATCTGAACGCGGGCGGAGCCGCGGGCAATGCTAGTAATAAATATATTAGGATATTAACAGATACCACCATCTCTTTCCATGGTAAGCTACAAAGCTCGTGTTATGGATACCTCATACCAGATAGTTGATACACTATAAATAATATATAACTTTAAATACATACATATTATTAATATAAACATCCATGACTGGAGTACAAACATTCGTGTGCTCATCACACAAATGAATGCCAAGGGTCACTACAAACTGAGCCAAACATGCCATCAAAGAATAATAAATATTGAACCTTAAATAATTAAATCAACCCAAATACTGATTAATATATATTATGAACAAATGTTACCAATGTCTAAATAATACTTTAGTCATTAATAGATAAATGTTATCTGATTTAAAAGTGCTTGTATAAATCTACTAGCAACTCACCCTATACATTTTAACTGTTAGTATGAAATACAAATCTTTGAATTTCTTGGTTATTCTGTACTATAATATGCATGTATTATACATATAAACCTTCCTCTTGAATCACTCTATCTATTAAAAAACCGCATCAAAATCCGTTGAGTAGTTTTAAAGATCTAAGCGTACATAAGGACAGACAGACAGCGGGAAGCGAATTTGTTTTATACTATGCAGTGATTTCAATAATCCAGATAATCTGATAACATACATATTTAACCGACTCGGTGGTCTAGTAGCTAGCATGTACGGCTACAGATTCGGAGATCCTGGGTTTGAGCTCCAGATCGGACCAAGTTTAATTACAGAATTTTTCTGTAAAGATATTCTCAGTAATAGCCCAGAGTTGGAAAATTAGTGATGTTTCAATCCCATACCTCGGAGAATAAAGTCGTATCGGACTTTGAGATTATAAAGAATAGAGAGTGCAGTGTATCTGCGAGTACACTTGTGCACTATAAAATCTCTTGCGCATCGGCTAATCTCAGTGAGATTGGCCGCCTTGGCCGAAACCAGGCAGAAGGACATTGTAATTATGTGTTTATATTTCTTTAAATTTGTTGAATTATATATTTATTATATCTAAGTTTTATTTTATAAAAATTAAAAAGTGCAAATATGAGTGGGAAATTCAAATTAGTATAAACGCACGCCATTGGTCAGACCGAATATGACGTCAGAGTATTATTTATCACAACAGATTTTTGATTTTTCTAGTAAGCTACAATCATTTTATTTACACAAAAATGATAAAATATACAATTCACACATTCACACTCATCCCTTGGTATGTTTTAACGGTTAGTGTAGATTTCTCACAGATGAGATATTTTTCAGCAGTAAAAAGTATTCTATATATTGACCAGAATAACGAGCTATGATCATACCAAATTTCATTAAAATCTGTCTAGTGGTTTTCTCGTGATGCATTCCCAGATAGATCGGAGAATGCATCACAGAGACAAAAAATCTAAAAATAAAAGGTATGGCCTCTGTGTCAATAATAATTACTATATCAATAAGATTTTCCAAAAAATATTTAATGTACAGATTCTACTCAGAATTTTATTATATGTATAGATAATTAATTGTAATTCCCATTAAAAGTCTTTTTTTTTTGTACTATAAAAGCTAAATTCTAAAGAATCAATGATTGAACAAGTAATTAACGTGTTTATTTTTGTTATGTTTAACAATATAATATAATTACTTGAAAATCACAGTAAGAAATTATGCATGATTTTAATTTTAAATTATTGAATATTGATCTTTTAATTTTTGTATTCATTAATATATTTGTGTTCTTTTCTTATGAAATGTGTTTAATATCTATAATTATGTCAACACTTACAATTTATCATTTCTTGTTTAAATATTATGCTTTTGTTAATGTATGTCTTGTTGGTGTTAAATAAATAAATTTATTAAAATAATTTTATTTTATTTCCTTAAATGGCAACCATTTTTAACAATGACCTTGTATAACTGGTATCACTTCCTCTATAATTAAATAGACTCAATATTCAGTTTATGGTCTATCTACAAAATATATACTATACTTCATTGTGAATTTTCTTTTGATTTTGCTTTAACTAAACACTTTAATTTAAAAATAGTACACAATAAAAATATTTAACTTTCAAGTTTACAGCTAATAATAAACAGAACTAAGCTTTTTAATATTATGAAATACCAAAATTGGAACTGTTTGTATCAATTTCAATTACTATTGATAACTCGATAACTGTTTTCATGTATGATATAGATTTTCCCTTAATGATATAAATAATTTACCATATAGATTGAAATTCTGTCCACACACGCTTATACTATTAATATGAATAATATTATAATGAAAAAACAAATATATATAAGTACAATGAATAAAGACTTACCTATACATTTCTTCAATAACTATATCTATGCAGGCAGCAGTCCTGCCCCTCCTCTGGAAGACGAATCTTACGTCTGCTGCAGACACTATAGGATCGACTTTAAACCGACACCATTGTCTAACCATATCTGACCAAAATTTCATTTTCATTTCCCATGACTCGGGATTTGCAGATTTTAACCGAAAAGGTGCAAAAAGAGCGTTCATTCGGACATCGTCTGACCAGCATGGAGGAAGCTTTTCTTCAGGAATACCACAGTCGGCAAGACCCATATTATTAATTGTTATATATTTTTCTTTGTTTGCTTTTGTTTAGATATTATTTGCAATAAAGGCACACGTTAAAATATTTTTAACCATTGACGTTTGAACAATGAGCACAGACTAAGTAAATAATAAGAATAATAAATAAAATTGGAGGCATAGAATAAACTAAAAAATTGAATAAAACTAAATATGGCGAAGAATTTTGCCTTTTCCTTCCGCCAGATATCGCGATCACTATGGCCCTCAGTGGCTCAGTAGTCCGTAATCAGTATACTGTAAAGCTCTATAGAGCTCTTTAAAGAGATATATAAATAAGTATATTTAATATTATAAAGAAGTAATGTTTGTGAAGTTGTAAGGGATAATCTCTAGATTTACAGAACCGATTTAAATGAAATTTGGTAAGAAGACAGTTTTAGACCCTGGAAAGGACATAGGATGGTTTTTATCCTGGAAAACATCCCTTAAGGGGGTAAAAATGGGGATGAAAGATTGTATGGCAAACCTAGCTAGGGACGAACCCGAGCGAAGTGAGGGTAAGTCGCTAGTATTAAATAAAATGAAGAAAAATCCATGGATGGATGGAATTTTTTCCATTTTATTTAAAATTTAATTAAAATGACATTTGTGCAGTGCCTGAGCCCATGCTGCAAAACATATGGATATCATTTGATCCCAAAAGACTAAAACTGAAGAAATTGAAATTGACTAACCGACTAAATAAATTGGCGAAATTACAATGTTATATTTAAGGCTATGTAGACATCATTTTAAAGAAAGTGATTTTAAAATTATTAAATGTTATTTTTTTTTTTACTTTTTTCATATTAATTACAGAGTTTCATTACAAACTTTCATCCTCCATTTTACCCCCTTATGGGATTGAATTTTGAAAAATGCTAAAATACATGTTTATTTAATTGTATTGAAGAGCAAGAATACCAAGTTTCAAGTAATTCTGATCATAAATAATTGTTTGCCCATTTAAACTTTATCACCCCATTTTACCCTTTTAAAGGATGCATTTCGAAAAAAATCTAATGCATAATTCTTACTAAAAAAAAAACAAATCTATCCCACGGGAACCGTACATTTTTTTGGGATAAAAAATAGCCTATGTGTTATTCTGATTATAAGCTATATATTGTTTTTGCGTGAAAGAGTAACAAACATCCATTCATCCGTACATACAAAGTTTCGCGCATATAATATTAGTAAGGATATATAATCTGTGTCTTTGTCTTTTCTTTGAGTTTTGACCATGGATGACAATTGACAAATAAAAGTTTTGACTTTCGAGTCATGTGAACATGACATCTATGAAATAAGATTTAAAATTTAAATGTCATAATATGTTGACAAAATGAAAAAGCCCGATATAAATTCAAATTAAACAATTACATTTGAAAAATATTTCCACTGCATTTAACTCAGCTACACGAATTAGCTAAAAATTTACTCTAGAAATAAGTTCTACGAATTAATATGTACAAGTGACCCACATTTACTTTTCAAGGTGTTTTTTATAATATTGTTTCCTTGTTAAATATTAAAGCAATTATCTACATGCTCGTTCTTAATACGTTCACGATTCTGCTACATGTATCATTTATAGTGCTTGTGTCATTGTTGTCTATGAACATAATTAGGCATTTTGCTGGTAGTGTTAAGAAAATGGCTGTGATCGCTCCAGCTTTATTTGTTAACCATGGTGGAGGACCAATGCCTTTATTAGGCGAAAAAGATCATCTTGGACTCACTTACTTTCTGCGAGATGAGGTAAAAAAACATGTAAATTTGAAAGAAATCAAAGCCATTATCCTTGTCACTGCTCATTGGGAGGAGAGTAAAGTAGCAATTTCGTCAGCAGAACATCACGAGCTATATTTTGACTATTATGGCTTTCCTCCAGAAACATACAAATATCGATATGATGCTCCGGGAGACCCTGAGTTAGCTAAACGCATTCAATTAGCATTACAAAAAGCTGGTGTAGACTCAAAATTAGATCCAAAACGAGGCTGGGATCATGGAGTATTTGTTCCTATGATACTAATAAACCCATCAGCTGATATTCCTATAGTTCAGATATCAGTGCTATCAAACCAAGACCCGGAAAAGCACTATGAGATTGGCCAAATATTACATCAATTTAGAAAGGAAGGTATTGCAATATTAGGATCTGGTATGTCGTACCACAACATGAGAGAGTTCAGATTCAGTCGTAATATTGGAAAAGTTGTGAATGAGGAATTTGATGAATTTTTAAACAAAGCCTGTTTATCAAGTAATGATAAAAGAAAAGCAGAATTGACTCAATGGGACAAGCAGCCTGGAGCTCATGAGGCCCATCCACCCCGAGCGGCAGAACACTTAATGCCCCTAATAGTAATTGCCGGAGCGGGTGGAGAGGCTCCCGGAGAAAGAATATTTAACTGGGACATGTCAGGTACTTTTAGATTGGGTGGTTACATTTGGAAAGGTGAATAAAAGCTTAAGAAAAACCTATTAAGGCATATAAATCTATACATTTTTTTATTTAGTTTACTTATAGAACAGTTTCTATTTAATTTTAAAATGTTACATTGATAATGATTTAATTTTCATTTAATATACACAATATTTAATTTTAACTTTATTACTCACAAGGCATAAAACAATAAGGAAAATGTTACATTAAATGAGCAAAAACTTAGTGCTAACACTTCAGTTCCTAATTATAATACCGAAAAAAAATTATTATAAAATATTTTATTTACATAGAATGATACTAAAATTTTATACCTATATGTACACATAGTGAAGATATTGCTTTGCTGCTTTAGAAGTATATTTACCAAGCATTTGTGAATTCAATATTATTTAGGGGTTTAGGGGTCATGCAATATTATGTAAGCAGACAGACAGAGTAGTGGGTAACGGGTTCAATCGAGGTGGAAATAAAAGATGTAAAAAGTGATTAACAATAATGTTTTCAATACAATATGAATGACTTGCGAAGAAAGCTAATTAATTACTAATGATACAGCAACTTCATTCCGATGTCTCGTAACGACATACAATTCTTTATTTATTAAGCAATAATATTGAAATTACAGAGCTAATTTTGATATATAAATTTTATTATTAAATAAGTTTCAAAAAATTTTGTCTTATTATTTGGGGAAGACAAGATTGAGGGTTTATTTTTTTTTATATGCTTACATAGTACTTAATCAGCCTCTAGCACAAGCAAAACCTTTTTTTATATACGAACTTTCAGACTAGCACACAATATCACTATTATTTATATAAAGGATAGGATCAGAAATACCGACTCATCAGAGCTCATACTGTATAACTTTTTATTTATATACATATAGCCGCTAGGGCTCACTGTCGCTTCGCTCGGGTTCACCTCTAGGAAAACAAAAACAAAACTATCCCACGGGAACCGTAAACTTTTCCGGGATAAAAAGTAGCCTATGTGTTATGTATAATAGATCTCTGTGCAAATTTTTTATCTGCGCGAGTTATACTTATTTTCTTTCACTTTTCAGTTGAAAACAGCACACTTAATAATACTCGTATTCCTTCGTCAGGGCTCAATATTAATTATTACTTACAATATGTACGTATGTATGCACAGTTCTCGAGGCATAAGCTCAGCTTTGCATTTATGTGATAGCCAAAAGTAAGGTTAGTAAAAAAAAAATTACATAAAAATAAAATCAATATTTTATCACTTGTAATTGCTGACATTTTAATTATTAAAAAAAAAGCAGTCATGAGGACCGCCGACGGAAGTGAAAACTTAAAACTATGAACAAACAGTTGTTATTTTTGAATATTGTTTGATCTTAAATTAAAATTTGTAAATTAAAACTATTCATATTTACTTATCTGTTAGCGTTAACATATTCGTTCAATTTGCACAAATTTCTTTCGTTTGGCTGCTTAATGGTTTTCGTGTAGTCAATTTAGTTACAGTAGAAGCCATTTCACTAATGATGATAATCTATACATATAATAAAATTGTAACTAAACCGAATCTGTACATTAAATATTTTTTGGAAAATCTAATTGAAATAGACATTATATTATCGATACAGAGTCCGAATCTATAGTTTTTAGAATTTTTGTCTGTCTGTTTTTAAACTTATATTAAAATTATCTTCACAGACGTAAATCGTTGATTTTATGGATTTGGTTTTTCCAATCTCGCTTTGCCAGATCTAAACAATTTCTCAGGTGTCTTATTAGTATTATTTCGACATAAGGGCACTGAACAATACTGATAATAGTTAATTGCACTCATTTTCGATATTCTTGTTCCCTTTTCAATTAATATAAATCGATTGAGCCACCAGATTACGGAATATATACGCTCTGTATGATAAGTGACGTCACGGTCACGCTCGAAGAAAGAGTGGCGTTTTAGCGCCAATTCAAAAGTGAAAAATATTTTTCAATTTTTTAACATAAGAATACAGTAATTTCGGAAACTATTTTTTATATTTTTTATATATATAGGAAAATATTTTTAGCAGCATTTTATTTATGAAAACAATAGGCTGAGATATTTTTCATAAAACAGTCCAAGACCCTATTAGATGTATAAAAAAATAAAAAGCCTAAAATGAAACTTTTTGTTTTAGTAAAGGTTTATTTTACAGAAACAAAACAATTTAGAAATCTTATCTTTGACGGTAGCACAGACGAAACACAACGCTGAAAAAAAAGTATGATGTTAATATCTATTTATTGGAATAGATTCTATCAATGGAAAATTCTTCTTATATTACACTAGCGACTCACCCTCGCTTCGCTCGGGTTCGTCCCTAGCTTGCTTCCCAATACGAACTAAAACCCCATTTTCACCCTTTTAAGTGATGATTTCCGGGATAAAAAGTATCCTATGTCCTTCCCAGATTCTTAAACTATCTTCTTACTAAATTTCATCTAAATCGGTTCAGTAGATCCAGAGATTACCCCCTACAACCTCACAAACTCGCAAACTTTACCTCTTTATAATATTAGTATGCAAGTATAGATGTATTATTATAAATGTTTTTTTTTAATGTATAGTATAATTTCTGAAAATACTAAATCAATTAAAAATAGCTATGGATTATACTAATAATAAACGTGGAAAAGTGTTTGTTTGATTGTCCTTCTTTCACGTCGAAACAGAATGATCGATTGGACATAGGTACATGCATAATGTATACATACAGGTCAAACCAAAATCCTTCTTTCGGTGGAGTCGGACAATAAAGATTTGAGACCCGTGATGTCCCATCGTTAGTACATACATATACATATGACTCACCATCTTAAAATTTAAGAGCGTGATCTACGTCGGAGACGATATCTTCTGTCACACTGACTGCAACGCTTGAACCTCCCCGACCGCGATCGGCAACGCCATTGCGAACTGTTCCAAAAATTGAGAGATTAATTGTACATATATCATATTACGTTAGATACATACTTAAGTTATAAATATTCAAGATCATATTTATCTAATTACTGTCTTTGGTGTAGCCTTGAGCTTTACTAGTTTCTAATTTAACGTACTTAGTCCTAGGGACTACGGAAGAGGGGGTTGGGAGGTACGGTTTCTGTTGGGTCTATAGTAAGTAGCACCTGTGTGTATGCAGATATAATGCACAAATGCATTTCCCAACGTTAAAAAACGACCTAGGTGGACAAATTAAGTCCTACCACCTGCATACGTACAGGTGGTATGTGGGACTCGCCGGTAAAGTGAGTATTACCGAGTAAAACCCAACGAAACCTCCCCCGTCTTAATGGGGCGTCGCAGGATCGCTTACGCACTCAACCACGACGCCCCGACGGCATGTCTGCTAGTATACTACAACCACCATGGGAATGCTCCCACAGCCCACTCTGTTTTCAGAGAGGTACCAGGAGCAATCCGCATAGCACACCACCCACCGAGATGGGTCGCCTCCCAGCAAGCACTTCTTGGCTTCGCGCCCGGCTGTGTTGCCGGACACTACTGAGTCCCCCAAATTCGGATATTTTCGCAGATTAATTTTGATTTTTGGTTCCAATTATTAACTATACTTTTTGTTAACTAACATTACCCGTGAATACAGGAGCAACGTGAGGTACACCGTACGAGACCATTGGGAAAATTAGTAGGATATATGAGACCGTTATATTATGTGTGCAACTCCCTCGGTGGTGTAGTGGCTAGCATGTACAGCTGCACACCCGGAGGTCCTGGGTTCGAGTCCCGGGTCGGGCCAACTTTAGTTATTGAGTCTTTCTGTATATTAAGTCTCAGTAACAGCCCGGAGTTGGGAAGTTGGCGGTGTTTCACCCCCGTGCCTCGGAGAGCACGTAAAGCCGTCGGTCCAACGCCTTAACTCTCACTGGTCGTGTCGAGTGGTCCTCCCACCGGAGTATGAGAGTGATAGGAATAGAGAGTGCACGTCGTGTCTGCGCGTACACTTGTGCACTATAATATCTCCTGCGCAGTTGGCTAGTCTCAATGAGATTGGCCGCCGTAGCCGGAATCGGCTAGGAGAACATCATTATGTGTGGGCTCTCACCGTGGTCTCCTTCCACATCTAGATCTTCGGCGACAACTTCGTCTTCTAGAACGTCCTCTAATACGGTACCGTCGGTCGCCAGACCTACAACGTTTGAATCTGCCTTGCTTCGTGCGACATCGTCTGGAAGATTATTATAATCTAAACTAATATTATAAAGAATTATGAGTGTGTGACGTTGTAGGGGGTAATCTCTGAATTTACTGAACCGATTTAGATGAAATCCGGTAAGACGATAGTTTGAGAGACTGGGAAGGACATAGGATACTTTTTATCCCGGAACTCATCCCTTAAGGAGTGAGAATGTGGCTGAAAATTTGTATAGGGAATAAACCTAGGGACGAACCCGAGCGAAGCGAGGTTGAGTCGCTAGTATTAAATATGTTCAACTTTTAAAGAAGGTAAGCCGGTTCATGAACCGTATTTTTTTTCATAAACTGCTAAAATACTTTATTCATATTCACATAACCATACATACCTATGCATTCAATTATTATATAAAATTTAGAAAAAATTGACTTGAATTGTGCTAAACAACTGATAAAATAAAAATTCGCCATCTATGAACACGCAGTACAAGCTCGTAACCTGATAGCAAATTTTTAACAATCAGTAAAATTTCTATAACCTAATTGCTAAATTTAGTATTCATTCGCATTACTTCGTTTACCTTCGTATAACATATTTTATTAACTAAAAAATTCTTTTAAAGAATATATTTCTATCTTTGATTATTAATTTTACACAAACAGTTAAAAAAAAACAAGATATGTAACGCCATCTATCGGTGTTTAATTGAACTATTTTTTTCTTACACTAATGTCCGTAAAGTCTCAACTCATTTTGATAAAACTGGAGAGAAATTGCAGATAATTTGAGCAAAAGTAAGTAACAAGTGATAGCTTTAGTCGAGGAAAGGATTAAAATTTCATAAAAAAGATTAGAATTTAACAGAACTTTCTATGGCATAGGATTATGATTTATGATACCTAATCCCGTGCAAATATATCAAGATCTCGGCATCTGCATTCGTACTTACTACTAAACCAACTAGTGCCTTTAGAATACACCTACAGTACTTAAATAATCTATACATACTAGCGACTCACCCTCGCTCCGCTCGGGTTCGTCCCTGGGGTGGGGTCTGGGAGGACCACCCTTATCCTTATCACTTAGGGGTATGAAAAATAGATAGTAGCCGATTCTCAGACCTACTGAATACGCATATAAAATTTGGTAAAAATCGGTAAAGCCGTTTCGGAGGAGTACGGTAACAAACATTGTGACATGGAAATTTTATATATAAGATAATAAAATTGCAACTAGCCGAATCTGTACATTAAATATTTTTTGGAAAATCTTATTGAAATAAACATTATTATCGATACAGAGACCGAATCTATAGTTTTTAGAATTTTCGTCTGTCTGTCTGTTACCGCATCACAGAAAAACCACTAGAGTGATTTTGATGAAATTTGGTATGGTGATAGCTGGTTATCCGGGTCAACATATAGGATACTTTTTATCGCGGGAAAATATCCCATTTCTGAGAAAAAATACAAAAACTGCAATGTAAGTACTACTAGTAATAGTGTACTAATATGTAAAACCTAAGAATTTAGTTTTTGGTCAACCGTACTATAATAAAACTAAATACTCGAATAATATCACTGTCAAATATATAACAAAAAAGTATTCATCCCAGCAACCCTGCAACATGTCGGTATGTCTGCCCTGAGTTACCAAAGGCCCAGCCGTCAAAGAAATATTTAACTTACGTTTTGCGCATTCTGAAAAAAAATAAGCTTATAATAAATTGCCCAGAGAAATGGAATAAAAAAAATATTATAATTAAATCAATAGACATGTATACATACTTTCTTCTACACCTTGCCATTGTGTCTGAAAAAAGTAAGAAATTGAAATATAGGCAGGCAGTGGTAGCTCAGTGGTAAGGCGCTCGCTTGGGAAACCAAGTGAAGCGGGTTCGAAACCCAGATATCTCACCTCTGATATTTTCATGTGCGAATCATTTCCAACATGATTACCACTTGTCTTACGGTGAAGGAAAACATCGTGAGGGAACCTGTATGTCTGAGAGGACCTAGTAAGCTTTCGAAAGACATGTGAAGACCGCCAACTCGCACTTGGCACTTTTACAGTTTTGCCTATCCGCTAGAACTAATATCTTTTTTATAACTAAATTTTAAATCTCAAATAAAGAAATATTTTTAATTTTTATTCAACTTTTATGCAGATATCTAAATTTAAACAGGGATTTTACTAATAAAACTTTATTTCTTTGACTTTTTTCTACATATTTTCTTAGAAAAGAGGGTGCAAGTGCACCTCGTTGCACCCTTTCCCGACGTCCATACAGACTTTTGTAGACGAGTACCTACTTAAAGCTTTTGGTTGTAAGTTGATTCTCTATATTGGATCCTAACCTCGATCGAATCATCGATGAAGCCACTATTCAATTTGACGTCACGTTTGGCTCAGTTTGTAGTGACCCTACTTGCTGTGCCAGCGGTCGCGGGTTCGAGGCCCGCTGGTGGCATTCATTTGTGTGATGAGCACGAATGTTTGTACTCCAGTCATGGGTGTTCATATTTATAATATGTATGTATTTAAAGTTATATATGTATACACTACATAATCAACTATCTGGTATCCATAACACAAGCCTCCTAGATTACCATGAACCTAGACGGTGCTGTGTGTTAATGTACCAAGTCCCAACATTTATTTATTTAAATGCTTTGCCAGCAAAAAAAGATTGACAAAACTTACTTTCTCACTTTTTAACAAAAACTAAATTATATAGGTATATGATTTATAATACGGAAATTCTATTCATCTTACCTTTATATTGTGTTACTTTATAATTTTGCAAACATTTATATATAAAAATTAAAAATTACATGTACATTTTTATTAAAAAAATCAACACATCGCCGTATTTATTGTAAAATAAAATGAAGTTTGCTTTAAAATTATTCTGTTTTCAAAACTAATGTCATTATATTCTTCTATGAAACGAACCTCATTTCAAAGCAATAATTAAGCTAATTTTTACTATTTAGTTTAAAAATTAGGCATTATGTATGTCAAATTAGTGTATTATGTACCTATGTCAAAACAAAATTTATTGTGTGTTCAAAATTTATTTCAAAATACATGAGAAAATTATATGAAAACTTTGAATAATACTATAAAAAATGTTTTAAAAGAAAAAAATATGGAATAATATGTGGCATGTACATATTATTCCATATTTTTTTCTTTTAAAACATTTTTTATAGTATTATTCAAAGTTTTCATGTAATTTTCTGATGTATTTTGAAATATTACATATACAAAACGTAAAAAGAACTCTCCAATATAAGCCACGCTTAACATCAAGCAACTGACTGTACCAATGAAAGTGGTGAAAAAAATTACTGACATTAGATATGTAGATTTATGCCTAAATCTAAATACGATGTGCTGGTCATCGCACATTGGGTCGTCCTTTCCACGATAAACAATTCCCAAGGAGGGTTGACGTCACACAACTTTTGCCAAATCCTATCAGCAGTACGGAACATGTACTGCGTCGACACCAAGTGATATGGAAATGGGCAGGGAGATGACGATGTATGTCTGTATGTGTATCTGTTAGTCATCTTAATATGGCTAAACGCTGAATTTATCTTGATATAATCGCACTACTACGTGTGTGCCACTATCTTCATATACATACGTACGCATAATACTTCTATACGTATGTGTCACTGAACCCCTAAATGGCTAGACCTTAGATTAATTTTTTTTTTGTGTTCCCTGAATGTTTTAGATACAGTTGCGACCGGATTAATGTACATTTATAATAATTTGAGTATTCTGTAATAACTTGTATAATAACATTTGAGACGTCTAAAACCTTAGTCTCTCCTGTGACCATGATTGCTGTAAAGCATTCGAAACGAATCGAATGCTTTACAGCAATAATCAAATCGAAAATCAAAATAAATCCACGAAAAAATCCGAAAAGATAATTTTACTTAAAATTACTAATCATTCTTTGGAAAAAACAACTTGAGTAAAATAAATACTTTAATCCATAAATGTTAAAAAAAAAACAAATGTCATTTCAAGCTATTATATTGTAATATCACAAGCCATAACTTAAAAATAAAAACTATACAATTGTCTATTGCTTAAAATTTATTTTGTAGCCTTTTGTCTCTGGATCTTGTTCCATTTTGAAATTCTCTGTGGAAAGTCCAAACGGTTTCAATATCATATTTCCCAAATCTTTCAATTTTCCGAGCATTTCTGTTTTTAATTTTTCATTTCTTTCCTCAATCAATGGAGGCAAACGGATTTGGGCTTTCCGAGCTTCTATATGATCTGGATCAAGCTCTAAGATTTTTTTATAATCTGCGAGACATTCATCTAGTTTATCTGTTGCTTCATATGACTGGGCCCTCCTGTAACAAAATAAAAAAAAATTGGATGATGCAACTGTAACTTTCATACGCATTTAGTAAAAAGCTGTTATTTTATAAAATTGAAATGTCTGTTTGCAATGTTAAAATAACAGCTATTTATTAAATGCATATGAAATTATATACATTACTTATAAGAAAAACACAATTAAAAAATTTTTGTCTGTCTGTTTGTTCTGGCTAATCTCCGAAACGGCTGGCCTGATTTTGTCGGGACTTTCACTCGCAGATAGCTGATGCTACAAGAAGTAACTTAGGCTACCTTTATTTTAGAAAAACAATTAGGGTTCTGACTTCCACTCAAAAAAATAAAACATACCTAGGAACGCACCCGAGCGAAGAGAGGGTAAGTCGCTAGTCTAATATATAAATATCTCGTGTCACAGTGTTTGTGGACGCACTTCTTCGAAACGGCTCGGCCGATTTTAATGAAACCTTTTTTACATTTAGTACGTACGAGAATAGGTCGTATAGTATTTATCACTCTTCTACCCCCACCCCCATTTTTTATGTAACTAGGGACGAACCCGAGCGGAACGAGGGTGAGTCGCTAGAAGATTAATAGAAAAACAAAATAACAAAAATCTGAAACAACTACCTGTAGTAAGCTTTCAAATATTTATCATCCAACTCAATAGCTTTGGTGCAATCCTTTATTGCTTTCTTATACCGTTCCTGCTTCATTTTAGCAGCACTTCTGTTGCAATACAAAATGGATCTCTGCTGGGGAAATTGTAGGGGACAGATCCTTAATGCTGAAAATAATTTAAAATATATGATTTTATTATGTATAAGATGTGGTGTATATCTAAAAGTATCTTAGAAACGTGATGCCTTAGACCATAATTTTGCTAATAGTTTTTATATCTATTGTAATATTATTAAGAGGAAAGATTTTCTTGTTTGATTATTTATACCAAATAAGCTCTGAACCTTCTTTTTATTATTATATTTTAACTATTTTTTCACCAATAGAAAGCTATCAGGAAGTATCATAGGATATAATATATTTTCAAAAAAACTTCAAGATCCTTAAGAAAAATGGAGAAAATAACCCAAAAATGCAAAATTTTGCATATAAAATTTTAAATAACATAGGCTACTTTGTATCCCGGATAAATGTATGGTTCCCGTGGGATAGATAGAAGCAAAGCAAGGGTACATCACTAGTATCGTATAATTACAATAATATTTGTTAGGATCAATGAAAATAAAACCCAAGCATTTATTAGGAAGAAATATAAAAAAATACTTATTATTATGTACCTTCTGTATATTTTTCAATACTACGGTCAAAGTCTCCAACTTTAAATGCATTATTGCCAGCAACTTTCAGTTCCTCGGCAATAGCTTGCCTCTCCGCCTTCTGATCATCTGTGAGGTCCACCTCAGCATCTTTCAGAGATAGCTCATCTATTGAATCTGTGTCACTTTCTTCTTTATCGCTGTCTTCAATTTTCTCTACCTTATCTGTTTCATCATCACTAAGTGCATTGCTGGCTGAAAAATGCACATAATAGATAAGTATATACATATTTACTTATAAAATATTTAATAAATAAATTACTATGGCTAATATCAACATGTACAATTAAAATGTAATTAGTGCAGGTTTTTTGTGAAGCTTTAAAACAATTTTTATTAATTTATCTAAGCATAATTAAATTAAAGATGTTTAATAGATAAAGTACCTATAACTATTATCTTTATTAGCAGCAAAAATGGTACATATTTTAAAACAGGCTCTTTAGATCATCTAAAAGATGTAAGTAATAAACACATCTATAAACACAATACCACTTATTTATTGTCAAAAGTTTTGAAAAGTAAAAAAAATCTTAACTCATATTAAAGAAATATATATATTATATATACAGTATCTCACTGTATTTTATAGTTGTTATTCAAATGTAGTAAACAAAACATAAAAGGCGTGGTAATAATGTGTTAATGAATAACAGTATTGACCTACTTGACTGACTTTCCTTAAAACTATCACCACCAGAGGCCACAAAATCTTCTTCACGGGCTGTGGGATTTACAACGTTTTCTTCATTTCCTGGACGTAAAGATAGTTCCAGATCTTTAGTTAAATCGTCTATTACGTCCTCGTTTGAAACGTTGTGTGTACTTTTTAAACGATCTGACATTATTGTAGCATAAAATAGCAGAAATATGTCAGATTCAGTATTTTATTAGCAACTGAGTTAATCAATATATAGAAGCTTCAGGAAGGCACATTAATTTAAATAAAGTTTTCAATTTTTCAGGTTCGTCTTAAAGGTATAAACTTTGACATTGACAGCTATTGTTGTACTTGACAGTTGACGATTAGAAGCATATAACGCGTTCAGTTAATTTAAGATTTTAGTAACTGTACTATACAGTAAAAATATATTTATAATATTTAATAAATGCAATAATATGATAGATAAACCATGAAAATAAAATGATATGTTCATTTCAATGTATATATATTATTTTTCTACTTCTTTAGTTCTTCACAAAGAGAATATAATCACTACTTTTTAGTTCTGTAATACCTATACTATAACCTTCGAGCCTTCGAGCAATAACAAGCATGGAGAACTCTTATTAAACTGAACCAATAAACTTATAATTTTCACTGCTTTATCTTACTAAGAGATGACGTAAGTTAGAGAGAGTCGCAATAATAAAGAAACTATCGTCTTTAACGATGCAAAGCTACTTTTTACTTGCTGTGGTGACCAGCTGGTGACCTACAGTGTTTTTGATATTTCTGATTATTTTAATGATAAAAGAGTAGTTTTTTTTAAGTTTTATAGAACTCGTTTTATAAAATGATATTTTTTTTAGACTTGGATTTCTTAAGCATCGTTATTCGTTGCGAGTTTGGAATACGGCGACAGTTTCTAACTGCAACTGAACCTATGCTGTAAAAAAATATATTTGATTTATTTTTAAATTGTAATGTTACTTATAATTATGTATATCAACCAGTTTAGTCGTTTATTTGCTAATCCCTCCACGACCGCGGACACGTCGGCGTGGCGGTGCGGCAGTTAACAATAGATTCCTTAGAATTTTAATAAATTTCTTAGAAATTTACCTGTAGGTGTTTTAACGGCTGTACTGATCGTTATGAAATTTTAGTAGGTTACCTACCTTTTATTATATTATTACCTTTTATTATACCTTTGTTTTACCTTTTCACCATTCGACATTTTCATAGATTTTTTTCTTTATACTTATATGGATCCATACTTGAGATTATAACCCAATAAGGATTGTTTCACACGTATTTTATACAAAAAATTATATAGACATATGGTAGAGTAAAATATGCATGAATATCTGCGTGTGTATGTTTAGATGAAGCCAGATGGGGCAGTAATAGAACAAATAAATATTTTGTTTATATTTTTAAATTTTATGGTAATAGTACGATATTCTGAGTTATCCTTGTTACAAACTCTATACATGTAGCCACTGAATACCTCTTTTTCTATACGTATTGCTTTGCCACTTACTATATGTATTCTCGCAAATGACGTATAAATCAACAACTCACCAACTTATAGTACTTACGACAATAAAAAACAAAGAGTTTTAAAAACAATTTGTGGTAGGTATAAAAAATATAAGTTATTATATTAGTAAAGTGGATCAGTTTTAAATATTATTATTAATTAATGCTCCTGATCGATTTCGTTCACGAGATGCGAGATATTGTAGTGCACAAGTGTGCGCGCAAGACAAGTGCACTCTCTATTCCTGTCACTCTCATGCTCTGGTGGGACGACACGAGTCACGACCAGTGAGAGTTAAGGCGCAGGACCGACGCCTTTACGTGTCACTATGTGTAACTCAGCTCAGAGCCGGTTCAAATATTCAGTTCACAGTAGCTAGAGCCGTTGAGCTGCGGCTCAGTTGCTAGATAATCGGTTCACAGCTCAATATTACTTAATAATTTAATATGGCTCCGTGCATCACTTCAGCGCCACCTAACGTCAACTATTTCGATGGACCCGAGCCGACGGACCTGTACTATAGTCTATAATCTATACTTTTTACAGACAGGTCAAATTAATTGTTTAATATTTTTTATTCTTATAATAATAATAATTAATTACACGCTCCGTGTTTTAAAATAATATTAGGATAAATCTAAATATACTTTATTCAAATAGACTTTTACAAGCACTTTTGAATCGTCAATTTTACATTTTAAACTTTCAGTGTAGTTAGTTTGTGCGGAAGTTACCACCGTCTCGGAAGGCAGTTCTACTACTTAGTTTTATACAACAATAAACTAATATTAAGTAATAGTTTTATAGATTAAATATAAATAACTAGTTTTCGCCCGCGGCTCCGCTTGCATGATACAGGAAACTACGGTAGTCGGTACCTACGTTAATTAAAGTAGGTAGGTACTCTATGTCCTTTTCTGTCTGTATTTAATGATAATCGGGATTCAGGTGAATAGTTAAGGCGTGAAAGCGTAACAAACAAACAAACTCACTAGCATTTATAATAATTGCATGAAATTAGCATTCCCCTATAATTGTGTAAGAACGAAAAAATATGACTATAATAACTTTTTTCGAAATGCTGCTTTATTACATACAAATATAATTTAGGTACATCATACAGGTCATTTGTTTGAACAGAGTCATAAATTAGCTGTAAATCTATAGTTATAAGTACCCATATAACATCAATTGAGCTGAACTGTGAGCCGGTTCACAGCTCCGGTTCAAGCATATGACTCATGAGCTGACCTGCAGCTCATAAAAATTCATTGAGTTACCCATGTCTATTTACGTGCTCTCCGAGGCACGGTGGTGAAACACCGCCCATTTCCCAACTCCAGGCTGTTACTGAGAAATGAGAATGTCTTGACCTCAGACCAATACAAAAGTACTTTTTTATTGGTCTGAGATCTTGACAAAAACATGTTGAGTGTATGTACTAAACTTATTAGCCTCGTCCGAACCCACGACCTCTGGCTTAATCTTAAATCCGCAGAGGATTAGCCTTAGCTAATCCTCTGAGGATTGGGGTAGAAAACCTTAAATTGAAATAGATCTTTTAGTTAATGGATGTAAATACTAAGCATACTTTACACAGACTATTTTAGATCGACTTTACAATAATTCCTTTTTTCTTCTAAGGAACCAAATTTAAAATCACTTAAAAGTAATTATGTCCATTTTTTCTAAATTTAATATTAAAAAAGGCAAGCCCTCAATCACAGTCATTCCGCAGGGATGAGTAACAACGGTTAAAAGTTAAAACTTGAATATTTCAAAAATAACAAAATGTTCCAGTGACGTTACAGTAGTGACGTATATAACTGCGACAGAAATATGTTGTTGTCCCACTCGTACCCAAATATAGAGATAGCATGTTAATAATCAAACAAATGAAAGTGATAGATAGATTCACCAAAAGCTAACTTATTGAATTTACTTCTACTTTATTTGTCATCCATGTTGTCAAATGTCACTTGTCAATATTTAAAAAGTTCCCTTTCACGTAGACCAAAAGATTGTTTTATAAAATATATTATAATCTATAAACAGTTTAAAATGATAAAAAATAAATGATTCGATTTGTGTTCTTAATTTATAAGATAAAATTATAATAAAGATCAAATTACTTGCTTATATCAATAAATATTATATTAATTCAATAACAAATTACACATTGTCAGTACAACTAACACTACGTGAAACAAATCAAAATAACCTAACATGTCGTAATTTCAGGGTCAGGTAAAAATATTCAAATACTATCTTACTTCTTACAGACTTAGATTAATATTAAATTTGGCCAGCGCGGACGCGCGTGAACTGTGAATTATTCATTGATCAGACGTCATACTGTGATACAGTTTGTTAAAAACTGCATAGAAAATGATTTTTAGAAATATATTAAAAACTTTCTCCAGATCAAGAACATCATATTTACGGACATATAACGGTGTTGTCTCGACATTCGGTAATTATAGAAGCGTAATACCACTGTCAACAACGCGACTGGCTTTAAAAGATGATAAGTAAGTAAATATTTAATTCATATTCATTTATAATTCAAAATACATATAACATCATTTGTGTTTTCTCTCTAATCTTGCAGAATAAATTCGGCTGTAGATTAGCTTCAACACATCTAGTACCATTCATTCAAGCAACTAATATTAAGTAAAAAAATTCAAATATATCCTATCATTATAAATTTTTAAAATCATATTTTATTTCTCTATCAATGAATATTTTCTAAATTTATCAGAAACTCCATTTGTCTCAAGTGTAAATTTTATTAGTGATTGATTAATATTTACAACTAGCGACTTCACTTTTCTTAGGTGCATCCTTAGGTACATCCCTAGGTATGTTTTTTTTAACATGACCCTAATTCTTTTTCTAAAATAAAAGTAATCTAAGTCACTCCTTATAACATCAGCTATATGCTAGTGAAAGCCATCAGAATCAGTCCAGGTGTTTAGGAGATTAGCTAGAACAAACAGAAAGACAAAAATTTTAAAAATTGTTTTTGTTATAAGTACCATATATGATTTGTTTTTTTGGATTAAATTAAATAGCCTTTATTACAGGAGTCAGAGTTACAGAGTTATTCAGATAAAGTTGTTTTAGGATTTACAAAATATCTCTGATTTCTGTGTGCCTTTTGGCAAAGGCCTCCTCCATCTGTCTCCATCTGTCTCCATTGGGCTCTATCTAGCGCCACTCGTGTCCACAGTGGCCCTAGAGTTTGGCAGATTTCATCCTCCCATCTCCTTATCTGGCGCCCTCTTTTGCGTTTACTGTCTCTGGGGTACCAGACCGTTACACGTTTGCTCCACTTCTCCAGGCTACTTCTTAGTAGCTGTTTTTTTTGGATACTGCTTCTTAAAAGAGGCTTCATTTTTGATAGACTTTACTATCCCACCTCTCTATCCATCTATGAGGGACATATTTTTATGGGATATTTTTTTTATATACAATATAATATTTTAATATTTTTAAAATCAATAAGATCAAATTTAAGAAAACTACTTTTTTAATTCAGATATTTGTAACAACTGCCTTTAATTATATAATAACATTAATATCAGATTAAATTAAATAATATATTACATAAACTTAATATTTGTGGTCATGAAATATATGATAAAGAAAGATAAGTAGCACATGTAGATGATAGCACTTGACTAACTTGTTTTTTTAAAATATATGATGACACATTTGGCTCAGTTTGCAGTGACCCTACTTCTGGGCCAACAGTTGCGGGTTCGAGTCCCGCTGGGAGCATACATTTGTGTGATGAGCACGAATGTTTGTACTGCAGTCATTGGTGTTTATATTTGTAATTTGTATTTATTTGCAGTGTATCAACTATCTGGTATCCATAACACAAGTTTTGTAACTTACCATGGAAGTAGATGGCACTGTGTGTTAATGTCCCAACATATTTATTTATTTGTATATCTATGGTAGCTTTGTTTTTAATACAAGAAAATTAATTTACAGAGTAAAAGTAACCTTTCACCTTTACGATGGAAGGACTTTAGAAGCGGAAGGCAAGGTGGGGGACAGTTTGCTAGATGTTGTAGTGAATAATGACTTGGATATAGACGGCTTTGGTGCCTGCGAGGGTACCGTGACATGTTCCACATGCCATGTTGTGTTGAAACAGGAGGATTATGACAGGTTAGTACTAATATTTTAGGAGAAACCATGCGACTTACCTTTGTTTTATTCAGATAAGTTTTAATTTTTTGAGCGGAAACCTAATTCATCGATTAAAATCTATACATATAATAAAATTCTAACAGAGTCGAATCTGTATATTAAATATTTTTTGGAAAATCTAATCGAAATAGTCATTAATATCGATACAGAGGCCGAATCTATAATTTTTAGTGTTTTTGTATGTTTGTCGGTCTGTCTGTCTGGGAACGCATCACGAGAAAGCCACTGGACAGATTTTGATGAAATTTAGTCAACGTTTAGGATACTTTTCATCGCGGGAAAATATCTCATCTCTAAGAAATCTATACTAAACTTTAAAACGAACCCGAGCAGAGCGAGGGTGAGTCGCTAGTAATACATTATAATATATTCACATATTGAATCGTATTTATTTTATAATACCATGACAATAAAATCATTGAATTAAAAAAAAAATTGTATATTTTGTGCATTTTCAACCGACATCAAAAAGGAGGAGGTTCTCAATTCGTCTGTATGTTTTCTTTTTTTTTTTATGTTTGTTACCTCAGAACTCCGTCATTTATTAACCGATTTGGCCAATTTTTGTTTTGTTTGAAAGGGTATACTTCCAGATTGGTCCCATTTAAATTTCAAAAAAAAATACCACCCCTAAGGGTGGAAAAACAACTAATGATGAATTTAACCTACTTCTAATTGTCATATTGACTTGAAACTTTGCAAATATTTCTATTTCCGTTGATAGTACAGTGGTTCGGTGTTGTTGACCTGATCTGATGGCAAGGCCAGAAGGTGGATAGGTGGAACTCTTCAACGGCTAATAGTAGATATTTTGAGTTTGGGCTTATTTTGTTTGATTTGACAAGCCTAACACGTTAGAATTCTTACTTTGCTACTACTGTCTACACTAAAAAGGGAAAAATAAAAACTTTTTAACAAAAAAATAAAAACCGACTTCAAACAAAAGCACTAAAAGGTAAAACTCTTCTATTCAATTATTTTGTTCAGTGGCTAATAAGAGTGCTATATGGGCACAAACAAGCTTTAATTGAAATATAGTTAAGGGCCATTTCACGTGAAGCGGACAATGAAAAAAAGTGAAGCTCTGAAATTCGTTCATATTCGGTATATTTGTACTTCTAGGATGTGTAAAAAAATATTGTCTTAGTTATAAAAAAAATATTTCAAATATATACTTTTGGCTTAACACTAGAAAAAAAATGCGCGAAAAAATCCGAAAAGTCGCGTAACTAAGAAATTATAAAAAAAAAATTTGGAATCCGATTTAAAAATCAAAAAGAACAGTAAATATTCTATTTATGTTTCGTATTGTATGTTTTGTGGGTACATTTATTATTTTATAATAAACTAACAGAACCCGCGGCTTCGCCCCCGTTCAATCTCACCCTCGCTTCGCTCGGGTTCGTCCGGCGTCCCTATGTATTTATATAATATCATATTATTTGGTTATTATTCATACAAAAATATCAATTACGATTAAAAATGGGGGGTGGGGGTAGGAGGGTAAAATACTTTACGACCTATTCTCATACTTACCAAATATACAAAAAAAAACCCATTAAAATTGGTCGAGCCGTTCCGGAGGAGTGTGACCACAAACCGTGACACGAGATATTTATATCTCGAATCCTCATTATTTTTAAATTCCAAAAAGGAGGTTCTCAATTCGTCGGAATCTTTTTTTATGTATGTTCACCGATTACTCAAAGACGCCTGAACCGATTTAGAAATATTTTTTTTTGTTTCAAAGGGTATACTTCCCAGGTGGTCCCGTATAAATTTTATCGAAATTGGTCGAGCGGTTTTTAAAAAAATCAACAATAAATATATTTTTTAAATTAATTGTTTAATCGAATATGTTATTAAAAAAAATTCTTCTTACAAATTACCGGATTATTACGTCTACACAGAAAATGGAAAAATAAAAACTTAAAAAAAACCGACTTCCAGGCACTAGAATTCAAAAATATTTTAAGATATGAATATCTAATAGGTAAATATGTATTTTACGTATCGAAATATATTAAATTTTTTTGCATCGGCTGGCACCGACTTCGAAAATATCTGATTAGGTATCTATTCTAAATGAAAATCTCCGTTAAATTATATTTAGAAATAAGATATTTTCCCGCGGTAAAAAGTACCCTAAGTATATGTTGACCCGGATAATCAGCTATCATCATACCAAATTTCATCAACATCCCTCCAGTGGTTTTTCCGTGATGCGGTAACAGACAGACAAACATTCTAAAAACTATAGATTCGGCCTCTGTATCGATAAAAATGTCTATTTCAATAAGTTTTAAAAAAAAATATTTAATCTACAGATTCGGATTAGTTACAATTTTATTATATGTATAGATTTTAAATTTTTTATTCTGTTTCACTCATTGTGCTATACGAGGGAATTCAATTAGACAACCACGCACAGTAATTAGCTTTATTAGCTTATGATTAAAACACTGTAATACCTACACAATTCACAGTTCTCACTTGTACTTTCGTTTACAATTTACAAGCACTTTTTATTTAGCCATTGTAATATAACCCACACGATCACAGCACAGTTCCTAAGTCTTTCACTGACTTTATCGAATCAGGACACAAAATGAACTATTCAATATTTTGATCACTCATTTTTATTATTTTTTTTCCACCCGCCTAGGCTCTGTACACGCCAGTATGACGTTTGTGTGTCGTATTCATTTCCCGAATGCGACATATATATAGCACAAAAAGAAAAGCACAAAAAGATCTCTCCCACGGGATCCGTTCATTTTTCCGGGATAAAAAGTAACCTTTTGTTTGACCGGCAATATAAGGTATCAGCATGCCAAATTTAACTAAATTAGGTGCATAAGTGATTGTGTACTAAGCTGTATAAGTTACTATAGTTTTTTAATTATCCCACGGGAACTCTTTAATTTTCCGGGATAAAAAGTATCTAAAATGTTGACCAGGGACATAAGGTACCACCATGCAAAATTTCATTTAAATCGTCCAACAGTTTCGGAGATTAGCCCGTACAAACAGACAAACAAAAAATTGAAAAAAATCTAGATTTGTTCTATTTCTCTTCTTACATCACCCTGACTCGGTTTTTAGCATTTTTTTCTTTGTTCAGACATTCGAAATCTACAGTTTTATTACATATTACGTACTTCAATATGAAAAAAAAACTTTCTAAAGAAGCTCTTCCGTCAATCAGGTCACTTTTTTAGATTCCCATAATTTGAAAACTAAACCTCAAATAAAAAAAAATGTTTTGTTCACACCTCTAGAAGTACAAGTATGTCTAATATGAACTAATTTCAGAACCTTACTTTTTTCGTTTCGTCGAAATGGCCCTTTATAACGATGATTATACTTAGTAGGTAGTTAATTATAAGTAGTTTATAATGATTACAATACTTCCGTCATGGCGAAGGTCGACAGCGAAATGACAAGTGTTCAATTGAAAACAAGTGCCTGTACTTCAAACACAAATTTAAAAAAAAAACAGCATTGAATTATTACTTTATCATGGAGCAGAGAAGTAAGGAGCACTATCTGTGCGAAAACGTGTCCCTCAAAACACGTTCAATAATCCGTGTCGTAGTTATTGTAGTTTTTCGTACGCCCATGACCTTTATATTGGACACTCCGTGTATAACAGCTAAGGCTCACCAAACCTGGCCCCCCAGGAATTTTTTTTCTCTAATTTTTGAATTTTTATTTTCACATATCGTTTGTTCGTTGTTTGTTTTTGATTGTTCGCCATAAATAATAGTTTGTTCGTATATTGTCTATACTTATTATAAAAATAAGTCCCCCGGCCGCGTCTTTCTGTCCTCCTGTCTGTCCTCCTGTCTGTCTGTACGCGATAAACGTTTATCTATAATTAATTAATCCCTCAAAATAACCCACTCAATAGTCAATCGATATTTTTTCTTATAATAGTAATCTTCAAATATTCATTAATGTTTGTTCGTTTATAAAATACGTTTGTTCTATCATTAAAGTGCCTATTTAGGGTGACTCCCTCGGTGGGCGAGTCCGACTCGCACTTGTCCGGATTTTTTTTGTTTAATAATTAAATTAACTATTTTCATTTAGCTCACTTATTATTCAGATATACTTGTGTAGCGCATGTGTCAATTATATTTTTCACGAACATGAATGCAGTAAATATTTATCAACTTTCGAGATATTTTATATAAAACAAGTACATAAATAAATTATTAATAACTGAAAATAAAAATACACCTGTAAGGAATATTATGTAATTTGTATTTTTTTCATATGTAATTATTTGTATAATTATCTGTAAGTACACTACAACTTTAAGATAGTAAAAACATTGATTTTTTACAATAAAGATACGTTATATGTTCACAAAACTGGTTAAAATTAGAAAAAAAAACATACTGGGGGGCCAGATTTGGTGAGCCCTCCGTCTACATCGGCCAAATTAAAATCGTAGTTTTTCGTACGCCAGCGCCATCTATTTTCAGCATACAGTTGGGACACTTTTTCAACTTGTCTCCCATATAAGTGACTCCTCCTTACTTCTATGTTCTATCAATTTTATACTGAGTTTATTTCCACGTACCACCAGTTTCAACTCTATGTTAGAACAAAGAAATAAAAAGATGTGAAATATTTGTGTATATCTAATCAGGGCTCGGAAGCCCGTTTAATTTTTAACCGGTTTTGATCATTGATTCCAAACCAAAAGGTTTTTCGGTTTCAGGTTTCGGTTACGCTCTTTAACCGTTTAAACTCGGGAGAACTGTTATTGAGGAATTTAGGTTTCATGAATAAAATTAACCGGTTAAAATGAGTTTTTGTGTTTACATTTGGCGCGTCTTTTGGTGAATTGCTTAGTAGAAGGATGTATGCGCGTTTATTACTTATGAATGAATTAACCGGTTTATTTCGGTATCAAAACCTAAGTCTTAAGTCTAAGAATAACCGTTAACCAGTATTATTTCGATTTACTAAACTGTTCATTTTCATTAACCGGTTAAAGAACGGTCGATTAATTAACCATTACATTACCAAAATAAACCGTTTTTTTAAACCGGTTCCGTGTCCTGCATCTAAGAAAGCAATTTAAATATTTATAACTTTTTTCAAATTTTTTTTACAGATTACCAGAGGAAGCTGCGGATGAAGAACGCGACATGTTGGATTTAGCCTACGGTCTGACAGACACCTCTCGCTTGGGATGTCAAATAAATCTTACTAAAGAGTTAGATGGACTTGAGATAAAAGTGCCCGAGAGTGTGAACGATGCAAGGAGTTGATGATATTTGTTTACTAGAACCCTCTTCGTGGTAAAGAAATATATTTTAATAATGTTACTGTATTTAATGTTTTTAAAATATGACATATTTTATATTTATAAATGTTATATCTAAATTTAAAATTAAAATAAAGGTTTTTATCATTGATATTTAAAGAGATACACATTTCGTAACAAATATCTCTTCAAAAAGTGGCGTCGACACTCGACATGTGACGTTAAGTCAAACCAAAGAATGAAATTCAAAAATCGAAAGTTCTAATTATTTAAAAACAAATTCGAACGTACACGCACCGCATAAGGTAGGTTATTAAATGACACAAATTTCGTTTTATTTAATTTTGTCATCCGAAAAAAAGCAATGAACAAAAGAGGTTTCAAAAGAGCGCACAATTTTAAATTGCGCACTTCTTTTTGAAGACGCTTTTGAGACGCTCACTGTGTCTTGAGTTTTTTGTATATCAATGGTTTTTATCTTCAAAATAATGCAATTGAAACAAAGATACGAATTTATTATGCCTAGAGCTAATTATAAATTTGTTTGCTTAGATTTGTTACAACCATTTATTATTATTTTTTTAATTCATAAATAACCATATTTAAATTAGATGAATTTTAAATTCATTTTCTTTTATTCGACATGATTTACTTGATCATAATTGCTATAGATCAATTAATTTTAATCTGTATTACTACAGATTATTATTAATATTATATAGTATAAAAGCCTGATAATATAGTTTTCTTATCGTTAATTAAAATATAGTTTCTTTATCACTTAATTGAAATCGTTTAATTTAATAGAAATTTAGACCTCAAGAGATATTCGTGGTTGGGTTTTATACGTAAATATTCCAAACTAGATATAATTATACAAATGTGTGTTTAATTAATTTATTAGTGACGCATTAAGATTAATTGTTAGTCTTTATGAACAAATACATAAAATATAGACACTTATAAAGTTTGTATTCAGCCCTTTTTAACGTCCCACTGCTGGGCTCGGGCCTCCTTTCAGTACGAGGGGAATCAGGCCATAGTCCACCACGCTGGCCAAGTGCGGATTGGCGGACTTCACATGTCTTTTTGAAAACTTGCTAGGTTCTCTCAGACATGCAGGTTTCCTCACGATGTTTTCCTTCACCGTTAAGACAAGTGGTAATCATGTTGGAAATGATTCGCACATATATAGACAATATCAGAGGTGCGAGACCCGGGATTTGAACTCGCTTCAATCGGTTTTTCAAGCGAGCGCGTTACCACTGGGCTACCACTATATTATAAAGTTTATGGTCCAATTAAATTAGTTGATATATAAGAATTTTAGATACTTTGGTCTAAATTTTTGATGAAAATTTGTCTAGACATTAAAAAAAATTAAAACAACGTCTCAATAATCTAAATTGTATACATACCTACTTGCGCATACGTGCACATAGCGTTGCTGCAGTTTAATAGGAAGATCTTTTTGAGGGGAATCATTCTGTAATATGTTGTTTTCATATAACTTCATTAGTTTACGCGGCGCACGCCAATAAAGCTCCCACTCGACATGATTTTTTTCGACAACTTCAACAATCATTGTTATAATATTTCAGCCATTTTATACAAAACCATAATGAATTATACAACTAAACCTTTTTCATGAATCACCCCATCTATTGGTGAATATCATATGAAAATCCGTTCGGTAGTTTTTGAGCTTATCGCGCTCAGACAGACAGACGCGGCGGGGGTTTTTATTTTATAATACATATGTAGTGATTTTTAAAAATACAATGTTTTTTTTGTAATTATAAATGTAATAGTCTGCTTTTTTAATTGGACTATAAGTGTCAAAGGCTCAACTTGTCAATGTGACAGTCAAAACTCATAACCGGTCTATTTTGATTTTGACCGGTTCATATGCAGCTAAATAACTGTAACACAAATATTTGTTTATACAAAATGTTTTTACCTGACGTGTTTTTTGTTATTTCCTATTTTAAATAGTATTTTTTTACAAAATATAAAAAAAAATATTAATTTGTCTTATATATTATGTTCTCATATTTATACAAATTTAAACAACGACTTCGTATGATTATTTTAGTGAAGGATCGTTGAACTTAATTGGTCCAAATTAGTTTATTTTCTATTTGTTTTTGAATGTTTTTCAAGCAATTGTAGATAATAATGAATAAATAGTTTTTTTATAATTACCCGATAATAAAGTGTTTTCAAGCAAATCTTTGTTTTATTTCTTTTTATTTTAAGAATTTTAATACATCTATGTATAGCAAAACCTAGTAAAACCTCTATTTAATTGATTAACAAAAAAATAAAAACCGACTTCAAAAAAAAAGCACTAAAAAGTAAAAAATAACTGATTGGTAGTTTTCATTTACTATACATACCTAATCAAATATTTTCGAAGTCGGTGTGCTTTGCTTTGTATGGGCTGGCACCGATTTCGAAAATATTTGATTAGGTATGTATTTAATAGGTAGGCTTTAATTACTTAGCCAAAGCACACCGACTTCGAAAATATTTGATTAGGTATGTATAGTAAAAGAAAACTACCAATCAGTTATTTTTTACTTTTTAGTGCTTTTGTTTGAAGTCGGTTTTTATTTTTTTGTTAAAAAGTTTTTATTTTTCCCTTTTTAGTGTAGACAGTAGTAGCAAAGTAAGAATTCTAACGTGTTAGGCTTGTCAAATCAAACAAAATAAGCCCAAACTCAAAGTATCTACTATTAGCCGTTGAAGAGTTCCACCTATCCACCTTCTGGCCTTGCCATCAGATCAGGTCAACAACACCGAACCACTGTACTATCAACGGAAATAGAAATATTTGCAAAGTTTCAAGTCAATATGACAATTACAAGTAGGTTAAATTCATCATTAGTTGTTTTTCCACCCTTAGGGTTGGTTTTTTTTTGAAATTTAAATGGGACCAATCTGGAAGTATACCCTTTCAAACAAAACAAAAATTGTCCAAATCGGTTAATAAATGACGAAGTTCTGAGGTAACAAACATAAAAAAAAAACATACAGTCGAATTGAGAACCTCCTCCTTTTTGAAGTCGGTTGAAAATATGTAATTATTTCTCTTATTAAGGCAGTGGTAGCCCAGTGGTAGCGCGCTCGCTTGGGAAACCGAGTGAAGCGGGTTCAAATCCCGGGTCTCGCACCTCTGATATTTTCATATACGAATCATTTCCAACATGATTACCACTTGTCTTTACGGTAAAGAAAAACATAGAGAGGAAACCTGCATGTCTGAGAGAACCTAGCAAGGTTTCAAAAGATATGTGAAGTCCGCCAACCTGTACTTGGCCAGCGTGGTGGACAATGGCCTGATCCTCCTCATATTGAAGGGAGGCCCGCCCCCAGCAATGGGACGTTAAAAAGGGCTGAATACATACATACACGAATATTTCTCTTGTTTTTCTTGCTTCCATCGCTAAAGCGTACTCAGAGTACAATACTTTAGCTATAAAAATGTACAGACTTAAAAAAACATCAGAAACGAATTGTCTTTTACTCGTAAACGTAAGAATCAATCACATGGTGTTTATCAATTCATAAAAACCATATTAGAACATGTAGAAATTCTTTTCGATTTAAATCGCATCGATTAGTGTATCAAATACTTTTATAATATTAAATAGTGACTAACACTCGCTCCGCCCGGGTACATCTTTAGATATAAAAAAAAATTGGAGTTTTATTTTGATGCAAGACAATCCATACTAATATTATGTGAAAGTTTGTGAGGAAGGATGGATGGATGTTTGCTACTTAATCACACCAGAACGGCTGAACCGATCTGGATGAAATTTGGCACAGAGATAGATTATAGTCTGGAATAGCACATAGGCTACTTTTTATCCCGGAAAAATGTACGATTCCTGTGGGATATATTTATTTTTCACTAGGGACAAACATTTTTTTTTTCTGTATTTGCAATCAGCCCTAATAGCAAAAGCCCTATGAGCAAATCTGTTCTGTGATGTTGTAGGGACAAACTAAATAAAAAAAACATCCTCCTTTACAGTACTTTTTCTATATATTTTTATTTAACACAAATAAAACATATTAGAAAATATGATAAGTTATAACAAATTTAAAAGTAAAGAATATTTTTTTGATATCTTTAGATTTTAACATTTACACCAAAAATTCGTAGCTACTATTTACTTTTCAATTATTATAATGAGGAATTATTTTGATTCTGTATTTAAAAATTAGAGTTTTTCATACAATGATGTTCCATAAACATAATTTTGGACCTAAACCTAAAGGTGTCTTCAAACAATTATATTTATACATGTAGAACTATTGAACAAAACGTATTAAAGATGGCAGTTTCAATGATTTTTCACCAAGGTTCACATAGTTCATATTTTTCCAAACATTCAATCAACCATCCGATGGGCAGAGCTTTTAAATGAGACATGTTATACATGGGCTCATAAATATTCTTAAATATAATATAATGTGAACAATACTCTAACTTTCCACCTTTCTTTGCATGATAAGGCACTAATTTCTCCTCTTCTGGTATCAATTCTGGGTTCGGCACTCTCCGTAGCACAACACCGCCAGCATCCACTATCAACTTTGATAGAATAGATTTAGTTAATACTATTGTTTTAGATATTTCATGTTTAGTGTTGAAATTGTGTAAATAGAAGTGACAGCCATTAAATATACCCGGCAGTTGTTTATATTTGTTGTATCGTGAATTTTTCGGCCCTTTATATGCCTTGTTACCTACACCTTGAATTTCATATTCTTTGAAAGGTTCTATTTTGTCATTGGTTGATTTTGATATCCATAAACTTGATAAAATCCATATACCACTCACGATTCCTTGTAAAATATCTAAAGTAGAAGTGCATGTGAAATCATCGTCAGAATCAACAACCAAGTGTGTTACCGATTTTGAAAACTTGGGTTCAATATTTAAATTTGAATGATGTTTAGATAACAATTTCAATTTATTTTGAACTGTTTTGTCTTGTGAAATGCAATATACTCTTATGTCTTCTAAATCTAACTCGGTGTAAAGCTGAGACATGAATGTTACATTAACACCTTGTGTTTGAATTATGGTGTCAGCAGCTTCTTCCAGAACCTTTTTCATATCCTCTGAAGCTAATTGAATTGGTGTCTCGCCTTTACAGTTCATAGCATTAATATCAGCTCCATGTTTAACTAATACTTCGGCTATTTCTTTGAAATTATATCTGACGGCCTCATGTAGTGGTGTCTCGTTCCCTTGACCGGGCACATCTATAAGTGTATTATATTGTATCAGAAGTTTGACCAAATTCAGTCGGCCATTCTGTACAGCTTCATGTAAAGGTGTCCAACCAGCGTTATCCTTAGTATTAGTGTTAGCACCTTGCTTCAATAAGTCAATGACTGTATCAACTTTTCCTAAACGACAAGCAACATGTAAATTAGTCTCACCTTTTTTATTTCGTTTTTCAATAGCTTTGTTAATTTTAGAACTAGTAGTAGATAATAGGGTAGAATTAAGATTTTCGTTCTTACTGTCTTGCTTTTTTAAATTTGCTGTAGAATTGGCACTTTGATTGTTTTTACCAGTAACTTTTTTATTTTCTTTCTCGCTATTTTCAATATTTAGCTTATTTTTACCACGATTCTTACTCGTTCCACTTGAAGTTCCAGCTTTTGAATCTTGCAAGATATTTTTATTTCTAATTTCTTCAAATATTTTATTTAATTCTTTTGCAGAATTAATACAGGACTCTAAGCCTTCATCTTTGAATGGTATAGAGCCGGCTAAAGGAATATTACAAGTTGGGCAATGTTTTAAGGCTTTAAAATGTTCCGCACATACGATGTGAAAACAAGTACTTAAAGTGATAGGGATTTTGCAAAATTCCAAGCACACTCCACACGTATAGTCTTGGCTTAGAGTATCTAGAGCTTTTAAAAACTTGTTCAACTTATCAGAAGACATACTTAATTACTTACGTTTTATTTAATTATTTTATATTTATATTATACGTATTTTAATTAATTACGTTTTATAATTACTTTTACGGCGCGCAAAATTACTTTCGAGTTTGTTTGAAACTTTGACGTTTTTACTACTAGTTACTACTATATTATTTATGCGATATTATCTGTGCATCTGTCATTTGTAACTTAAGGCTCGATATTCACTATTACAAGTAAATCTAAACCAGAATTATTTATTTTATTAAACAAGATGATAATATTTTACTATTATTATAAAACTGATATATTTATTTTCTTGTTTCCCAATACCATCAATAAATTAAAACAGCACCATCTCACTCAAATCAAAAGTCATCTTAATTACTATCATTATGTATTGTGTTTTATAGTATGTAGTGTATATTATATAGTATTATATATAATATTTAATAAGCTAAGCTTTTTGAGTATTCATATATCATTTATATGATTACAACTGCACGAATTTAGCCTGCTTTATAACACTATTTCTCACCACCATAGGTTGGCTGGAAGAGATCTCTTCTAGAGATAAGTCCACCTTTGCAAACAAAATTGTTTTTAAATTACTGTATTGATTTTTAAATGCAAAAAAGAATAGTGTATACCTTAACTACCTCAAGTATCTTCGTGTGGCACGTACAGTCTACGCCGTGGTTAGCGGATCATGGAGGAGAGAGGGGCAGGTGAGCTATGAAGCTACCAGAGTGAATAGGTGTGTAGGTATAATATTCGTCGAAATATAATATAAACAATACCCTGTGGGGTCCATTGGACCCCGCGCACCTAATTAAAGATTTATAATCTCAACCTAACCATAAGCAAATCATAGATGTTTTAATTTTTTTGCTAGTATGTATGTGTATAAAATCTAAATTAATTTTAAAATGTACTTTAAATTGAAAAATAAAATAAATATGTTTGCTTTGTGTATTATTAATGAATTTACATGTATTGTTCAAACTCTTTTTGATCTAGTAGAGTAAGAAAAATAATTCGCATATTATTATATAGATTTCACGGTTTTGTCAAAAAAATATTGCTAATAATTAAAGGCTAGATAAAAAATATAATATAATTAAAAAAGCTAATAAAGTTTCTTTAAAGGTCTTATTTATCCACATCCATTATCCATACTAATATTATAAATGTGAAAGTTTGTGAGGATCGATGGACAGATGTTTGTTACTCAATCACGCCAGAAAGACTAAACAGATCTGGATGTGGCACAGATATAGATTACAGTCTGGAATCCCCGAAAAATGTAGGATTCCCGTGGGATAGATTTGTTTCTGTTTAGGGACGAACCCGAAGTGAAGCGACGGTGAGTTGCTAGTATTTATATAATAAACTTAAATTATTAATTTACTACAGTAAATCATAAGGTCCTGGGTTCGATTCTAGTTGTAATGGCTTAGATGGTCGTTGTGTGTGTGTTGTTGTCTGCTTCGGCACATCTGCCGTCGGGGCGTCGTAGTTGAATGCGTAAGCGATCCTGCGACGCCCCATTAAGACGGGGGAAGGTTTTGTTGGGTTTTAGTGGGTAGTACTGACTTAGCCGGTGAATCCCACACCTCGTGTGTAAATGCACTTCCCAACGTTAAAAAAGAAGGTGCGTGTATGGTTATACCTTTGTAATTTTGCTTAGTAAAAGGTTTTTTAAATAAAAAATAAAAGAAAGTGTTTGTTTATTCTATTTACAAAATTGTATGAAAGTCCTTACATATCATATGTACATAAAATGGCTTCAATTTAAAGATTAATGGAGGACTTAAGATTCTATTTTTTTTAATTTTATTTTCAATAGCACACTAAATTATTTTTATATTATCTACATAAAACGTAAATAATCATAGATAATAGCAAAGCTGTGGGCGCCATCTTGAATGCTGAAGCGCGCAAAACATCCTTCACTTGACAGCTGTCACTTGTGACATTAAAAGTCAGTTCAAAATTGAACGGCATCGTACTGTAGGGGTACACGGATAAACCCTCAATAGTTGAAAGGGATTCTGTGTTATTATTAAATAAAACATCAATTTGGTGATTGAAAGGGCCGTACATTCGGAACATGGCGTCCATTATTGTGTAACGTCTATTTTTTTGTCCATTTTGCATTTGCTTTCCGAACAACTTGTCTAGTCGTGTAAAAACTGTTATTATTTCGTCACGTCTCATTTTGGTTAGGTTTTTCGATGCGTAAATATGGCCGAGGTGAGACCATGAAATAACACAATGTTCTTGATTTTCTTTTGGACATATTGGCGCTATTTTTATTGTGTTAGCAGCCCATGATTCGGTTATTAAGTTATCTGTAAAAAAATAAAAAATATTTCAATTATATAAAACTAAACCTTTATCTTATATTAGTCCAACAGTTTTCGAGTTACATACGATAATACACACGAACTCTGTCTCTTTCACTCTAACAATACGATGGGGCGACCATTCCACATGAACAGTAAGAGATTGCAAATTTAATAGAGTGAACTAACTCTCGATTGTTACTATACTTGGCCCGATTCAATATTCGAACCCCAGACCCCCAGAACTGTACTCGTGCATGGTAGCCACTAGGCCACTGAAGTAAATATTATTAGGTACGAGGTATATTTTAAATAACTATCTAGTCAAATTCTTCTTCTCTATATTTATATAAATAAAAATGAATGTCAGTATGTTTGTCCTCTATGCATTCCTAAATTGACTATTGACCCGATTGTGATGAAACTCTGGTGCAAGACAAATTATTTTTTTCTTTGGACGTTAGTATTTTATGCGTTTCTAAGAGAAACTTAAGGATGTACACGAGTAAAAGTAATAAAGTAAAAATTCGTTCAAAAATTAAGGAATACATCATCGATCAAAAAAATATTAGGTACACAATCAGCGATAAAAATGTCCTCACGAAATGAGCGCTCATTTGACCATTCGAGCGCGCTTTTAATTATTCTTTTTATGAAAACAACTTTAAGCATTGCATTTAAGGTTCCATTTACATTGTTGTATATTTATTTCAACTAGAATAATTAGCTAAACACAATTGGTGACAGTTTTAAGAGAACTTTTGCATGGGAGTGTGTATCTAGTACTTTTTTGATTGATGGTATACATTAATCGAATCATATTTAAAACTACTAAAATACTTTTTCCTAGATTTACGCGAATATTTCTGATATTAAATAAAACTATATTTTCAGTCTTTTTGACAGTTTTTTTTCTGACATTTCGAATGTTACGTGAGAAACTAAGCTTATTGAGGTTTCTATAGTCATATTTAATACATACCTATATTATAAAATTATAATTTGGAAGAAAAGGGTAGTAGCACCAAAGTATTTTAAATATAAAAAAAACGGACAAATGAGAGTCTGACTCGCGGTTTCTTAGCACGAAATATTAAATAAGTTTATAACTGCAAAAATATTTCTTTTGTGATTTAACTACAAGTATAAGGTTTTCGAAATATCGTTATGTCAGAATGTGTGACATAAGCAGTCGTATCTTTTCACTGCGTTGAGTTAGAAGTTTGATTTCTCCACTACTCCAAGGGATTGTAGGACTGAGTATTAGCTATAAAGCGCGAAACGTCGTTAACAAAAAAAAGTTTCATTTTATTTTTTATTATTAAATATGTTGTGAATTAATTTTATACTTACTTTCATATAAAAAGGCAGTTTTCATACTAATAAAAGCGACGTCACTCCGCCCTTCCACCAATGCCCTTAACGCCCCGACTTCCCCACTCGTAACATTTCCATTCTCTTTATAACAATTAATAGTAAACTTCTCAATTATATTTGCACTAATATTTAAATTTTCCATTCCCGGCGCGCATATTTCACTAAAATAATCTGTCAATACTTCAAAACAATCTATATTTTCGTTTTTCTTTATATAGTCTAACATTGAATGCCAAGCGATGCCATCGTAACGCGGGAAAGAAGCTCTTTTCCCGCGCAAATCCGCCATCTTGTTTAACTTGTCATCATATCTGACGTATGCCATTACGGTGTTCATTTTAGTTTTTGTTGGAGGTGTTACTTCGAAAAGTAATGGTTGGAGGTTGTAGTCCCTGGGAAAAAAATAATATCTAAATATTAATATTATAAATGTAAAAGGTTGTGAGGATGGATGGATGGATGTTTGTTACTCAATTACGCCAGAACGGCTGAACAGATCTGGATGATAGGCACAGAGATAGATTATAGTCTGGAATAGCACATAGGTTACTTTTTATCCCGGAAAAATGTATGGCTCCCGTGGGGTAGATTTGTTTTTATCTAGGGACGATTCCGAAGCGAAGTGAGAGGAGTCGCTACTCGTTAGTATTACATAAAAATGATTTCAGTAGGTACATGATATTTGGTTGGTTTATACTTTAAATGGATTTTGAAGAAAGCAGCCATTAATTATTAATATTTTTTATTCAATTATAACGTAGAACTCACCTCGTCCCTTCAACCAACCACTCGGCGTCTGCCACAGTGACGTCACAGTCGCCATTTTGCGCCGCACTGAAGCACTGACGCATATTATTGCGTAAAACGCACTGTAATGGCGGATTCACGCCGTAAACCGCGCCCGCTTCACTCAGCCATTCGCATTTGTTCTTCTCTAACAGCGATGTGGTGCATAACGTTATGTGTCTAGGACAAATGGATTGTTTTTTTTTTTTTAATTTAGATTAAGTTTTTTTTATAAAAATTAATATAAATGTCGATCGTATTTAGTATTGTATAATAACGACGCGTCTGACAAAATGTGAAAACGGGAAGTGATATGGAAATTGTTTTTTTTTAATATATTATTTTTGTATTTATAATTAACATTTATAATTTCCTCTACGCTAATTCAATAATTCTATGGAAATCAGTTGGAACAGTTTTGAAACTATTTTTAATAAATATGAGAAAATTTTGATGCCCGACGTTTGGAATGCTTTACAGCAATCATGGTCACGGGATGTCAGACAATTAAACAACGGTTATGGCAACATGGTAATGTATTCTATCTCGTTCTCTCGCCTGCTTAGTCCTATACATTTATGTGCTTGTCTCTTTTTAGTGTCGCATTTTCGTTTCATCGAGTTTTAAACCACAACGATTCTAAAGAAGTTTCACTTCAAAAAGTTGCACTAACCTCGGTGGATCGCAGCCGCTCTGGCTGTAGGCTTCTCTGAAACCCTGAGCTGAAGCCAGGTAGTCCAGAGGGTTCTTCGGGGGTCGTAAGGGGGTGGAAACTTGGCGCATTTCTAGAAGGAACGCGAGTGCTCCGCGCCAATGGCTGTCGAAGAAATCGCTTTCAGCGAACGACGTGACGAGAGTGCTCACTGCGGCTGCTGCTTTCCTGTTTAATTAAGAACTTAGACTAAATAATTATACGTATAGACGGACACCGCCTAAAAAAAATGTTGAGGTTAAAAATAGTAGCGTAATTTGCTGTTTATTTTCAACTTTTTTTTTAATTATTAGGATAATCAACAAAAGTTACATTAATTCATTTGTTATTACATTTACAAAGTTAGTGATAAATGCACTTGTTCTACAGGTTACCACATCATGTACTAAAATAATATAAACAAGCCATCATTATTTAAAAGAAATTAACAATACTTTTGATATAATTAAGTCAAAATAATAAAAGTTATATGAAATTCAATTAAGTAAAAAAATAGTTAAAATTAACATAATAAAAATAGAATATTGTAATTCTTTGAAACTTTGCAATACAGATCGTTTACTTGCCATTCTTGAGTTATAAATTGTGTAACTAACTAGATTTTGTCAGGCCACTATTAGGCTACTGTTAGCCTACTGTTAGGCTACTGTTAGGTCACTTTTGGCCTACTGTTAGGCTACGGTCAGGTCACTGTTAGGCTACTGTTAGACTACTGTTAGGTCACTTTAAGGCTACTGTTAGGTTACTTTTAGACTACCGCAAGGAAGTAAGTCACTAGTAAAACAAATTATTCAAAAAACTAACCGTTTAGCGATGACTACAGGCCAGGGTCTGTGTATCCACACGCAGGGGTCGGTCGTATTCAAGGGTTGAGTGGTTCCGTCCCTACATAAGTATGCGAATGAATCACTTTGGAGTGCATTCGTATTGGATTTTACGTTTACCTGTCGATAATAATATGGAATTAGCTCTTTGTTATTATAAACAAACAACTGCTAGTAATAACATTGTAACTTATCAATATTGAATATGCTGTGAAGTGGACTCGTTTTCCGCACTTAGACTTCGTCAGTCCGTTAAAATTTTTTTATTAATATATATAAAATATTGAATATGCTGTATATAAGTTTTCAAATTCAAAATATTTTATTCAACACTAGTGACAAATCCTCGCTTCGCTCGTGTTTGTCTCTAGGTTGATTCCTCATACAAACTGTCATCCCCATTTTCACCCCCTTAAGGAATGATTTCCTGGATAAAATATATCCTGTCCTTTCCAGGGTCTCAAACTATCTTCTTACCAAATTTTAATTAAAATCGGTCTAGTAGTTTTTGAGTTTATTCGTTACAAACATACAAAAATACAAATCTTTCCTCTTTATAATAGTAGTTTAGATTAAACTTCGAAACAGAAATCCTTTCACATTTTACTTTCATTGTTACGAGAATGTATATATATCACTTGCCTTTATATAGACATGGTTCAGTAGAACCGGATAAAATAATTATAGATACGTGATATCGGATATACAAAACCCTATGGTACAAAAGTACCCCACACGTAAAACAGGGTTAATACAAAACATACCCCAAAATATGCTTTCACATCGTCCAAGTCCCCCCACATGGCGTCTCCGGCGCCATCACTCAGGCACTGCAAGTTGCCAATCGGCCCCCAGTACTTGTCCTCCATGAGACAGTTGCTCGCGCACGCCGCGCACAGTGACTTGTATTTGTTTTCTTTGTGTTAAACACAAAATTGTGTTAATATGATGGTATAATCTAATCTGCCCCATTCTAGTTATTCTTATGTATATACACAAGTTATATTAGCCCCATATAAATAAGTTATAATAGTTGACACACGAGTCAAAGCAAAACATTAAACACAAATATGTCAGAGTCGTATTGTTATGGAAACTTTTATAGTTGAAGAATTATGGCGTCAATAATGCATTGTGTAATGTTATGTTATTTTTGTATTTAGTATAAACAATTAAACATGAAGTTTTAATACGAATCTTAAAAGTATTTAAGCCTTCATATTTATTCTAAGTCTGTAAAATCGCTTTCAAAACGATTAAATCCCTGCATATAGCCCCAGTACTTATTCTTTGTGAGGCAGTTGCTCTTAACTACTTGTATTAATTTTCTTTGTGTTTTACACAAAATTGTGTTATTATTATCGAAAAATCTAATCTGCCCCCTTCTAGTTATTATAATATAGACAAAATTTGGTATAATACAAGCCCCATACAAGCTATGATATATGTGTGTATGTGTAGTAAACAATATACTCTATAAAGCTATGTCAAATTCCTATCGTAAAGAAAACCTTTTGCCTGTCTAAAATCAGACTATATATTAATCCATATGATCTATATTTGTGTCATATTTTGTGTACTAAATATCTTCTAAAACCATCCAGACGTTTCAAAGTAAAATAGTAACAAACATACACACATAAAAATTGTCCGATTACATGTTATATACACTACGAGACACCACTGACCAGGACCATATAAAAATTATTGGTCGTTTAGTTGTCACTGTTGCGATCACTCTTCTTGGCTTACCCTTAAAATAAATTAACAATTCCACTACCCCTTTTTCATCCCCCCTTCGTTCAGATTAGTTTTCAATACTTAATATAACATTGTCTTTCCTTTATATATATATATATATATATATATATATATATATATATATATATAAATAAATAAATATGTTGGGACATAAACACACAGCGCCATCTAGTTCCATGGTAAGCTACGAGACTTGTGTTATGGATACCAGATAGTTGATACACTACACATATATAACTTTAAATACATACATATTATAAAAAAAATTTTTCTACATATAAATTATCTTTTCAAATGTTGTTACGGTTTACGGAGAGAAAAATCAAAAACATAATATTATGTAAAATGTCAAATATTTACAATAAACTCAAAATATATTAAATATTAAATAAAACTTACTTAGTATCGCGTCTCCATATCGAAAAGGCACCCACGGTCCAGCTTTGCAAGCTTGGTAGAAGAAAGAGGCCAAACCTTTTAGCCTGTTTTCTAGAAGAGTGAGATTTGGGTCGCAATTTCTAGGCAGAACTAAAGACTCTAGATACTGAAAATGGAGGAAGTAGTTCATTTTTTTATAATTTTAATAATTAATTATCGCGATTAAAACAATTTTAATCGACTTTAAAACGAGGTGGTTGATTCAATTCATATATATTTTTGTGTCGGTTGAGTTATCACTCACATCACATCCGACAATATTTTAAGATATGAATACCTAATAGGTAAATTATGTACCTATTTTATGTATCAAAATATATTAGATTTCCTATGCGTCGGCTGGCACCGACTTCGAAAATATCTGATTAGGTATCTATTCTAAATGAAAACCCCCGTTTAGTTATTTTTTATATTTTAGTGCCTGGAAGTTGGTTTTATTTAAAAGTTTTTATTAAAGTCGGTATAACACGAGAATGCACACAAAGTATTTTTTTTGTGTTTAAACTATAAGTAACTATAATCATTATAACTTAAGTATTGTGTACAACACTATACTTGTGTGTAGTTTAGTGTTGTGTTGTGTAGAAAATTAAAATTAAAAAAAAAGTCATTTCTCACCCCAGATAAAGTATCCGATAACGGTCGTATAGTGAATGGATCAACGCCAGGATGACACAGTGTAGTGTTTCTAAGCACACCGTCTAAAGAGGATTCGTGCTCTGGGATAATACGACGGTTGATCACAGATACTATGCTACGTTCGAATGGTCCTGGAAAGATGGAAAATAATCGATATTTAATACTAGCATAACCGGCGGCTTCTCTCGCGCTATAACTACAAAAAAAACTCTAAAAAGTGGCATTAATATAAAATTTTCTTTAAAATTTTCTACGTGCTCTGCGTTTCAACTTTCCACTCTAGACTGTTAATAAGAATTTCTTAAAAGAAAAACTCAACAACTGAACTGGTCTGATCCGGGACTCGAACCCAGGACCTCCAGACCTGCAGCCGTTAATGGGAGCCTCTAAGTCTAGAGCACCGAGGCAGTGTTAAGCATAACCAAGTATATTTAATATGGTATATATACGCATATTTTTAAATACATACTTATATTATGTGTATATTTTTATATATATCTATACATATAATTAAAGTGTAACTGATCGCTGTCCGTACATGGAACATATTTGAGAAAAACTGTCATTGGGGGTCTTTATTTACGCAATAGAACCCAAAACAATGATTTTCAGAATTTTTGCCTGTTTGTCTGTGCGTTTGTGCGCGCTAATCTCAGTAACGGCTTAACCAATTTGAATGCGGTTTTCACTAATATATTGTGGTAAGCTTCACTTAACATTTAGTATTTATTTTATTTCAATCGGTTCATAAATAAAAAAGTTACGTTAATTTAAAGTTTTTATATATACCTATTTATGTGTTAAATTACTCACTCCTTCGTATCCTTATTTCATTTGTCACAAGTACATCGATGTTAGCCCACTGGGCCGCTACCAAATCTTCTGGACTAAACACGCCAAAATCGACTGTGCCTTTGCTTATACGTCGTAAACAATCTAATCTGAAAAAAAAACTTTTATTAGACGAAAATGTTTTTTTAAAAGTAAATCTAAACACTTAATAATTATAAGTAATTTCACATGAGCTCTAGGTCATAGAATTTCAAACACTGTAAAGTCTTAAGTTCTTACAACAGGTTTTCAGCAAAAAAAACTTTAATTTTTAGATTTAAAAAATTGATGAGGAAGGCTATAGGCTGTATATTATCCCGGAAATATGTACCCGTGGGTTCCCGTGGGATAGATTTGTTTTTATCTAGGGACGAACCCGAATTAAAGCGAGGGTGAGTTGCTAGTCTATACTAATATTATAAAGAGATAAAATTTGTGAGTTTGTGAGATTTTGAGTTTATGACATTGTAGGGGGTAATCTCTGGATCTACTGAACCGATTTAGATAAAATTTGGTAAGAAGATAGTTTGAGACTCTGGGAAGGACATAGGATACTTTTGATCTCGGAAATCATCCCTTAAGTGGTTGAAAATGGGGATGAAAGTTTGTATGGAGAATCAAGCTAGGGACGAACCCGAGCGAAGCGAGAGTAGTTGCTAGTTATGTATATTTATCAAGTTATCGCCATTTTGAGACCGGTATAAACTATGAGCTATTACAACATTTTACCTGTATCGAGTGTAATGATGTAATACAGACTGGTACATGCAAAGGGCCTTTTGGCCTAGTGAAAGTACCTATTTGAATTAAGAAAAACTAGTGATGGGCCCTGACTTTGCTGAATAAACTTATACATCATATATTCTCCACGGGAAACACATACCTATATCTTTATACTACAAACATACAAATAATATGTTTAATTTTGGTAAGATAAAATCTTAAATAATTATTATTATTGTACGTACTAGTAAAAACATTCGTACTCATCACACAAATGAATGCCCCCATCGGGACTCGAACCCGCGACCGCCGGCACAGCAAGTAGGGTCACTACAAACTGAGCCAAGCGTGTCGGTAAAATATATGTACATATGTTTCGAGAGTCGAGACATCAAAAACCAATCTCTTTCCATCCAGCAAACATATCTTAGGTATATCTTTAAACGAGCAATTGTTGTATATATGTATATATATAATCTGAATTTTGGAAACGGTTTCAACGATTTTCATGAAATTTAGCATGCGATCTAGAATAGTCTTATGTCTAAGAAAACGCGTGTTTTCGAGTTTTTATGCAGTTTTCTTTTGCATTATTCTACGCACAATATGGTCGGTAATTTGCACGCTTGGGCATAAGCATCGTGGTCAAGCGGCCTAGGTGCGAGATCAACAATCACAGGTGTCCAGGTTCGAATCTCAGTCGTATGCATAGTTTTTCCTTTTTTTATATTTATTAAAGTTTTTTGTTTTAAAAAAAATGTACTTTAGGTCAAAAACTCCGAGCGAAGCTCGGTAGCCCAGGTTCTTCACGGTAAACCAGGGAACTTCGGGAAAAATATAATCGAAATAAAACCACGACAATATAAGAAATGATAGTTTTTCTTAAAATGAAGAAGTTTATAAATTATAATCCATTACACTTACTGATCTGCGCCCAACACGCATTCGACACCAGATTTTTCTTCATCTAAAATTGGGCAAAACGTCTCTGCTCGTTTCAATGGACCCCGCTCCGCGACTAAGCACAGCCGTACTGAAATGCAAATTATTTAAAAATAATTTTCAAGTATTATAATCAGTCAAGTGTGAGTCTATCTATACTGATAAATAAAATTGAAGTCTCTGCTTGTAATGTCAAAATAATATTCCGAGAGCTGGCGACGAATTTTGGGAAGGTCCTTTTGGCAAGTTGAAATTGTGAAAAAATATAATTTCGTGAATTGAGGAGTCCAGTCCCGCGAGTCTGGTATAGCTTTAGCGGTTATTTCATTACTGCGCAGTATATAACATTTGAAAAAAATATATCCAAAAAAACATATTTTTGGCAACTTGATTTTTGCTTAATCTTTTAATTTTGTTTTCATATAATTCAAAAAAAAAGAACCCCAGACGTTTTTGTCGGTTATAAAGTATTGCCAAAGATGCTTTATTATATATTTTAGTAGTCTGAGTCAGGCCTCAAATAACACTACGAAAATGAGCGACGAAAAATCAACGCATTTACAGCTCTTTCCATTCAAAACGACGTGCGACAGTTGAAGGAAACTCAAATAAATCCCGACTCTGCTGCCAGGTGGTGCGGTAGAGAGCGAGACCGTAGACGGATAGACAAGGATAGATGTATAAACGGCGGAAACGGAATTGCCTATCTCAATACGTAAGCTTTGAATAACGGTCAAGTCAAATTAATATATGAATTATTTATATTGCCCACGGCTCCGCCCGCGTTCAGATGATCAAAAACCAAATTCTTAGGTTTTACATGTTAGTATACTCTTACATTGCAGTTTTTGTATTTTTCTCAGAAATGAGATATTTTCCCGCGGTAAAAAGTATCCTATATGTTGACCCGGATAACCAGCTATCACTTTACTAAATTTCATCAAAATCCCTCTAGTGGTTTTTCTGTGATGCGGTAACAGACAGACAGACAAAAATTCTAAAAACTACAGATTCGGCCTCTGTATCGATAATAATGTCTATTTCAATAAGATTTTCAAAAAAAATTAATGTATTAGTAGATTCGTCTTAGTTAGAATTTTATTATATGTCCTGTCTGGTCATAGCCAGAGGACTGTGAAACTTTTCCTCACTAAATCCAACAGCGGAACGCTATCGTAAATCGTGAGCTGTTGTTTGGAAAAATATTAGGAAGACAATAAACAATGTTATTAATAATTTCGTTTTGATAAAAAGTACGTTTTTGATCGATTCTCACTCTGTCTTTCAAGCCGGTAATAGCTTCCTCCGATATTCGAATAAATCAATAAAAATTAAAAAAATCCCCTACCCAAATTAATTGTCATTTAACGATTAGGTATACTGGCACGCGTGAAGCACTTAATCGAGTAATCATACTAGAAAATGCCTTACATCATTTTGGAAAAGAGCTGGTACTATTACACTGCTGGACCGATATTAACCAAACATGCCAGCTAAGAACCACCGCAAGGAAACTGGCTTTCAAATGAAAAAAACCGCATCGAAATCGGTCCATCCGTTTGAGAGCTACGATGCCACAGACAGACACACACACACAGAGAAACAGACATCGACGTCAAACTTATAACACCCCTCTTTTTGCTTCGGGGGTTAAAAATAATAATAATCCTTCCTATTTTGACACTTAACATATAAAAATTGACTTGTAAATGCTTTGTAACAGTCTAATTGAATAAAGTATATTTTTAACTTGTGACTTACCTAGTTGCATATTGTAGGTATTTATATTTATAATATTTTGTAAGTATGTATTTATTTATTTCTATTTAAGTAATTCACGCACGCACGCATGCGCATACGCACGCATATATATATACACACACACACACACACGCACACACGCACACACGCTCACACGCACACGCACACACACGCACGCACGCACACACGCACACACGCACACACGCTCACACGCACACACACGCACACACACGCACGCACGCACGCACGCATTTATAATTATAGTGTAATTTAATAATTGACATTGACAATATTATTCCTTGCAGCTGCCGGTTATAGAAGGCCATTAGATACCTATATTATCATTTTTTTGGCCAACTATAAAAAAAGGCAGCCAATTCGTCTGTAGGTAGGTATTTTTTGTGAGTGTAAATGACTTTGTGATTATTTTATACAAGTTTATCATATTTAATTACAGAAGGTAGTTTTTATGTTATGTTTTCCTCAAAAACGATTTAATCATAAGTAAATAATTTCTTAGAACTATGTCTGATATTTGAGATTATTTTCCCGTTTAAGATCAATCAAAATTCATTCAGTACATATATATGAATAACTAGCGACTCACCCTTGCTCCGCTCGAGTTCATCCCTAGTTACGTTTTAACGTTTAGTATAGATTTCTCAGACATGAGATATTTTTCCGCGGTAAAAAGTATCCTATATGTTGACCCGGATAACCAGCTATCATCATACCAAAGGATCTAGCCGTACTTCTATGGCGAAACTGCCCCCGATAGGAACCTATATCGTAACCAATGCTATATTGTAGAGGACACTAACAGTAATTGATCCAGTAGATATTAGCTCTATAACTTATTTGAAAAAAGTGTCCGGGGACGAGTTATTTTTAAAGCGATATATCTTAGTTAATTTCAAAGTTAGCAAAATAAAACTAAATTAAGTATTATAATACACTTTATAGTTTATTTTATAGCTGTTTCCTAAGCGCCAAGCCTAAATAAAAGTATTAAAAAAATGCAAATAAAAATGTTGTCAATCGATTTCTATCAGATTTAATAAAATTACCACTTTGAACTTCATAATAATTGTCTATCGCGGAGCGGAAGTAACTTATATTCTATAATATTTTTTTATATAAGATTTTTCATCGACCATATTGAAGACTGACGACACACTCGCTCCGCTCGGGTTCGTCCTTAGATACGTTTTACCGTTTAGTACAGATTTCTCAAAGATGAGATATTTTCCTGCAGTAAAAAATATCCTTTATGTTTACTCGGGTAACCAGCTATTATCATATCAAATTTCATCAGAATCTGTCCAGTAGTTTTCTCGTGATGCGGTCATAGACAGACAAAAAATCCAAAAACTATAGATTCGGCCTCTGTATCGATAATAATGTTTATTTCAATTAGATTTTCCAAAAAATATTTAATGTACAGATTCGGCTTAGTTAGAATTTTATTATACATATATGTATAGATGTATAGATATAACTATGTAGTTTCTAAGAATACATAATATTGGTAAATGTTCCTATATTCATAATATAATTTTGTTATGTATTTAATTACGCAAGGCCAGTCAGTTAGCATCGATGTTTGTTTACACAAATCGGTAGATGTGACACAATATTAAATTTACATACTAGTTCTGTGTTCGGTTTTCATCGTTACTTTTTATGTAAAATTTGTTTTTTTTTTATTTATGTCATAATTTAAAACATAAGTATAGTAACTGGACTGTTTCAAATTCAAATACTTATATACTAAGGAGGTAATATTTGTATGTGGAGGTAATCCCTGAAACTGCTGATTCGATTCTGAAATTAATTCTATCTTTGATAGAAAGCTATATTTATGTATATTACCGCCGATACCGCAGAGTGCCGTTTTTTATTCCGATAAATTACCATTATCTGTGTATTACGAAATAAAACTATATTTAACTTTATTCAATTATGTTTATAAAAGCACTTCCAATAGGCTATTTGATTTAAATAGAGCAGTGTAGTCAGTTCGTGAGGAAGCTACAATCAGCTCATCGGAACTCAACTGAACCATTATTATTATAATGTTCGAACTGAAACGTTAACGTAAGGACATACATACATACAAAACAAATAATATAAAATAATGTCGTTAAATATATTATGTATATATATATAGGTATATATATATAGGTATATAATAATGACCTAATAGTAAGCTATTATTTCTAAACGGCTGACTTTTGCAACCAACACAGTATATACATATTATACAAGATATCCATACTAATATTATAAATGCAAGAGTAAGTAACTATGTCTTCTACCTTTTCACGCTTAAACCGCTGAACCGATTTAAATGAAATTTAAATAAGGATATAGCATAGCTTTTATCCCGGAAACCATCCCTTAATGAGCTGAAAAGAGGGGTGGAAGTTGTATGGGAAATCAATCACTTCTCAAGTAAGGGATATAAACCCATCATATTCGTACCTATTGGTACATTGTTATTGGTTAGACCAGCGACTTCCTCGGCTACTTAGCTCGGTGTAGTGTTTATAATACCATGTACATGTAACGCCACCTTCTGGCCAATTTTATCTATACTAATATTATAAAGAGGTAAAGTTTGTGAGTTTGTGGCGTTGTAGGGGGTAATTTCTGGATCTACTGAACCGATTTAGATGAAATTTGGTAACAAGATAGTTTGAGACCCTGGGAAGGATTTTATCCCGGAAATCATCCCTAAAGGTGGTGCAAATGGGGATGAAATTTTGTATAGGCATGAACCCGAGCTAAGCGAAGGTGAGTCACTAGTACAATATATTTTAGTGTGATTGTTTTTAATTTAAGTTAAAGTACCTACATTGTATTCATGAGACAATTATTGACTTTTTTATATGCAAATTTAATGAATAGAATTATGTGTATTCCTACAATCTACGTTTATAACCTGTATTTAATTACTCCATCAATAGGGAGTAGGTAATCTATACAGATAAATAAAATTGAAGTGTCTGTTTGTAATGTTAAAATAACAGCGTTTTTACTAAATGTATATGAAACTATATACTGTACTAAGAAAATCACAATTAGTTTTAAAATATTTTGTCTGTCTGTTTGCTTGCTCCGGCTAATCCCCGAAACGGCTGTACTGATCTTGATGGGACTTTCACTGGCAAATAGCAGATGTTGTAAGGAGTAACTTAGTTGCTTATATTTAAGAAAAAGAATTAGGGTTCCGCTTAAATAAAATAAAACATACCTAGGAAGCAGGGACGAACCCGAGCGAAGCGATGTAAATTGCTAGTTTATAAATGAGCAAAAACAAAACAGTTC